GGCGTGGGGGTGGCACCCGAGGAGGAGGGCGAAGGTGAGGCCAGCACGAGGTTGGCCAGTCGAGGGGTGTCGGGGGCGGTGTCCATGGCGTCGGGGGGCGCAGGACACACTTAAGGTCCCGGAGTTACCCCGATCAAGTCGGTCAGCCGGGACACCGCCATTTGCCGAAGGTACCGTTCACCCGGGCTCGGCCGGACTCACCCGGTTACCTCGGCAGAGTCGTCCGGCCGGACTCACCTGGTTTTCCTGGGGGAGCCGTTCGGCCGGATCCGGTTGAAGTAAGTATGGTGTATAGTATGTGTAAATATGTTGTAGGGTGTATGTAAAGCTTCAATTAGGTAGCTTGGCATTATGAAGGGCAGCTAATGGGGTATATACCGCACACTGCACAGGTAGGGCTAGGGTGTGTTACAGCACAGAACCCAGTCACTAGGTGCCAGCTGAGCCTACCCAAGGACACAGCAGCCACCTTTGTGACCTTACTATCTGACATAAGGTCTGGCACAGTGAGCAGGGTCCAATGCAAGTAGTGGACCACCGGGCTGTGGTGTGGGACCGACACACTGGGTGGCAGTACACAGATGGCCGGTAGTGATAGATGACCGTCGGCAAACAGACGGCCGGTGATGCAGCTTGAAGCGGACCGACTGTCGGCAGTGGAAGCCTCGGACTGACCGCAGCGGAGCGCCGGCTGATGGCGGCCGCGCATAGCGCCGGCGCATCAGCGGCTGTGCACTGCCGCCCGCGCTCCGAGTGATCTGAAGTGGCCGCCCCCCCGACATGTTTGTATTCGTTCTCCGCCGTTATTGGTCTTAATGACATGCAAAAGAGCGCGTTATGTGCGTATTAACAGCGCGAATCAAAAGTGCCCTGGAACGTTACGTTCTGTGCAGGCGCCGGCCCGTGACGTTATATGTAAAAATGGGGATGAGATGGAGTATGCTGACATTAACTTACATCGGATATATGTATGCATACCCAGATATTCTTCGCATCATCTGTGACTAACGAAAGAAGCAAGAAGCGTGAATAAATAGCAGAAACTCGCGAAGATATACTGTTTTGACCAAAAGTGTGGTTCACATGTAGGTGGGCTTCCATATGTTGGGATGGAGGATAGATATTGCATATCTGTAAGCTTTAACATTGATTGTAGTGTACACAGACCAGGAATCTATGTTTGTGCGCAGACAGATTAAGAATTGATGGTACAGTGCGATATGTCATTTTTCAATGACATATCGCACTGTACCATCAATTCTTAATCTGTCTGCGCACAAACATAGATTCCTGGTCTGTGTACACTACAATCAATGTTAAAGCTTACAGATATGCAATATCTATCCTCCATCCCAACATATGGAAGCCCACCTACATGTGAACCACACTTTTGGTCAAAACAGTATATCTTCGCGAGTTTCTGCTATTTATTCACGCTTCTTGCTTCTTTCGTTAGTCACAGATGATGCGAAGAATATCTGGGTATGCATACATATATCCGATGTAAGTTAATGTCAGCATACTCCATCTCATCCCCATTTTTACATATAACGTCACGGGCCGGCGCCTGCACAGAACGTAACGTTCCAGGGCACTTTTGATTCGCGCTGTTAATACGCACATAACGCGCTCTTTTGCATGTCATTAAGACCAATAACGGCGGAGAACGAATACAAACATGTCGGGGGGGCGGCCACTTCAGATCACTCGGAGCGCGGGCGGCAGTGCACAGCCGCTGATGCGCCGGCGCTATGCGCGGCCGCCATCAGCCGGCGCTCCGCTGCGGTCAGTCCGAGGCTTCCACTGCCGACAGTCGGTCCGCTTCAAGCTGCATCACCGGCCGTCTGTTTGCCGGCGGTCATCCATCTACTGCCCAGTGCCGGCCATCCATCTAATACCGGCCATCTGTTTATCGCCGGCCATCCGTCCATTGCCACCTGGTGCAGTGTCGGGCCTGCACCACTGCCTGGTGGTCTGCTGCTTGCATTGGACCCTGGTGCTCCCTGGTATGTCTGTCCTTGGACACCCACCTCCAAGTATCAGAGGTTTTGAAGGTGGCTGCTGCATGCTTGGGTAGGTTCAGCCAGACCTGGGTGACCAAGTTCTGTGCTATAACACACCACAGCACTACCTGTGTGGTGTATACTCCATAACTATCCAACCTTGAGGCCTAATTGATCATATGAAGCCTTACATACACCACACAACATGTTTTATGCATGCTACACTGTACTCACTTCGACCGGGTCCGGCCGGGCGGCTCCTCTGGGAAAACCAGGGGAGTCCGGCCGAACGACTCCCCTGGGAAAACCGGGTGAGTCCGGCCGGAAGACTCTGCCGAGGTAACCGGGTGAGTCCGGCCGAGCCCGGGTGAACGGTACCTTCGGCAAATGGCGGTGTCCCGGCTGACCGACTTTGCCGAGGAAAGCCGGGACATGCACTGCAGGACGAGCGGGGGCGGGGTGCTGCTGTGGTAGGCCCGGAGAAACGGGCCCGCCTTCTCGGCGAGGTTGCATGTGACTTCGAAGTAGTCACAGTTGAGGTTGTAGTAGTGCTCGGCCTCTAATTGGTCGACGCCGAGCGAACGGGCGATGGTGGCGAGGGAGTCGAACGAATTGGGGCGTCGGACGATGTCCTCAAAGAAGGCGGCAGTGGCGTCGAGGAGACGCTTCTCGTCCTCAGGGTCAAAGTTGCCTGTGGCCTGGAAGTGGGAGGGGGAGCCGTCGGGGAGAGAGGGCCCGGCAGCGCCAGGACCGAGGAAAGGGTTGTCGCCCATGGCCCCCGCGAGGGAGCTGTAGGACGACGCGGAGCCGCGGGGGACGAGGCCGACGGAGTGGTAGATTCTTGACGCGATATGGCATCAAGGAATTTCTTCTTGCCCTTGGAGGAGGGCGACATCGTACGCAATGAGGAGGAGGGCACGGAAGTGGTGATAGGCGCTGGAAGTGATGGTGGCGGTACAAGGTCAAAGAGCGATGTGAGACAGGCGCGGCGAGACGGACACGTTGAGCGTGGCGAAGTAGACAGCGAGGTGCCAGGCAACGAGGTCTGTGTACGGAAGGTGATTCCCACGGCAAGCGCAGGCCGCGTGTGTGCCGTCGGCGTTGCCAGCGCACGCGTCTTTTCTTGTTTTCCCCCACTTCGCTACTCCTCTCGGCGCCCCTGCTGTCTTGACTTCCCAGTCGCTATCGCCCTCGGCCACGCTTTTCTCGGCAGCCTCTCCCACGACCTTCTCATTCACGACCTCTCCGCCATTTCTATTCACCCCCTTCGCTGTCTTTAAATCCATTTCCTTTCGACTCTCGAGCTTTGTCTTCACCCCGATTTTCACCACTTCCATAGCGCTCCGCACACACTATTCGATCACGGAGACTGAAAGCGTCTCGCACGCCACTCGGGGGACGACACAAATGCATGGCACGACGTGCATGCTTTGGCGCTGCGGTGGCCGACACGGTGAGTTTTTCCCCCTTCTGATGCTCTGCTGCCGTGTTCCCAGCCCGCATTGTCGTCTGACGCGCAATTTGCTTGAAGCCCCAGCCCAAGTCCATGCGGGTGGCACTACACACTCGCCCGACACCATCCTCCCTGTTCGACGATGATACGCAGCTGCGTTCTTTTCGTACGTCAGTACAATTTCTACTTGTTTGCTCTTGTTACTTGTATTGCGCCTGTATATTCATGGGCAAGCCCCGCGATCCCCTCCGTCCCAGTCTGTGTCTGCTTGCGTCCGCATACGACAACATCACGGCGCTCGTAAGGTACGTCTCCTCCCACTCGTCTCCCTCTCCCCCGCTGACAGTCTTTAATAGATGAGAACTCGTAGCCTTGCTCGCTCCTCCCGTGAGCTACCGTTGCGCGTTACGCCTGGTTAGGCCCGCAAGAGTGAAGATGTGCGCCCAGTCTCTCATCGTCATGGTCATATCCATACGGCGTTGGAGGCCATACCCAACATGAGCACAAGCCCGGGGAGCGCGACTACACGCGCAACAACGCGTGCGCACCGCCGGGCCCGAAGCAGTCACAGATGGCCTGCAGGTGCGGGTCCACGGCCATCGGGTGCTCAGGCGCGACGTGGAGATGGAGCTTGGGGCGCGAAGAACGCGTTGCCGGTGAGCGGGGTTCTGTTTGGGTGCGGGCGGAGGGTGCGGGCGATGCGGTGCATGGAGCCGTGCTACGCTTGAACGTCGTGCGGGTCGTAGCTGTCAGGGCCAGGGAGAGGTGTCGTGGGCTGGGGGTGCGGAGATCGCTGGGTGCAATGGAGCTGGGTAGGAGGGTGTTTCGTCACCTCGGGAGTGTTGTAGGCGACCAGTAGTACATGCTGTTTTGCCCGTCAAATCAATATATTTTATGCCTGTCCAATGAATGTGCAATATGGATGACCAGACCCCAGGATTTGCACTGGTGCAAACGTACTCGCGACTGCTCCAGAGTACTCTGGAGAGGGTGCTCGGAGCTACTCCAGAGCACTCGGTGAGCTGGCGCCAAGACTCCAGAGCACGCGCGAGCCGCCCGCCGAGCTCCGAGATGCTCCATAAAAGGGTACTTGTCTCAGGCTGCTCTGGCTACTCTCGAGACTCCGTTGCACTCTGGAGACAAGGTGTTTTTGCCTGATGTGCTATACCGGTTTATTTGCCCTGACCGCGCGTGAGTTTTGTCGTATGTTCTAGCTCAGCGCGGGTGAACTGACTGGGCCATCAGTCGTGCATTTGTTCCAGTCGGTGCGCTATCGCGCCTGGTGGTTGCTTCCATCTATCGTCGTTGCCGCCTTCGGCGAGACCGTGGGCTGGGCGGCACGACTTCAATCTGCATCCAACCCCACACTGAAGGGTCCCTCCATCGTCCAGTGAGTCTTGTACCGTGTTCTTCACGCGCGGAGAATTAAGCCTTCTCGCCTTCAGGACCCTTCTTCTTGTCCTGGCCCCCACGCCTTTCGTCGCCGCTCTCTTCATGGGATTCGGCAAGATCGTCGGTGGCCTCGGTGTGCAGTACAGTCGGCTGAGCCCCAAGTTATACTCGAGGATATTCCTTTCATGCGTTAGTGGCCCTCACTCTCGTTGAATCTGCACACAAGTCCTCATGGTTCTTTGAACGGCAGGATATCCTCTCGCTCGTCGTGCAAGGACTTGGAGGTGGAATCTGCGCCTCGAATACCGAAGACCTAGATAGGATCAGACTTGTAAGTTGGTCTTTCCTGCCGTACCCCCCGTATCGCGCGTCCTTGTGGAGCGAACTACCAACGCTCGTTTTCCAGGGAAGCAACATCACCCTCGGAGGTCTGATCTTCCAGATCCTCGCCATGTCCGTCTTCTGCGCGCTCATGGGCGAGTACGCGTACCGGTACACCAACGACCGGCCGTTCCGGAGGGCGACCGCGCAGGAGAAGGCCGCGCAGCACATCCTCGACAGCAACGTCAAGCGGCTCATCGGCGGCATCCTCGTCTCCACCGCGCTCGTCTACGTGCGGTCCGTCTACCGTATGGCCGAGTTCATCGAGGGCTTCTCGGGCGCGCTCGCGCACAACCAGGTCACCTTCGGTGCGTCGTCCTAGTGGGTCCCGTCTGGGTTGCACGTCTCGGGCGCTGACGAGCGTGCGGGCACGCAGTGATCTTCGACGCATCTCTGGTGGCGATTGCGCTGTACATGCTCAACTGGTGCCACCCTGGAAAGCTGCTGCTGCGCACCGCGGCGTCGGGGGGTCAAGCCTTTGAGGCGATGCTGGTGTAGATCGCACCTCCGATGATTTGGATGGACTAGACGTCGTCTTGCTATCTCGCGTCGTCGGTAGCGAGAACCAATCCTACGCTCTTTTCGGACTTGCATTCACTTGACCTACTACGCAATCGTTTCTGTGTGTGTTGGAGAGAAGGAAGGTCGTGGTTCTGAACGGGGATTGTTGAGTGGCTTGCAGAGAGCGTAGAATCGTGCGGATCATGGCAGTAGTAACCACTAGTCAGCGGTTCAACGTAGTAGCTTGGGTGGATCAATCCGAGTCCGAGTCGTCGAGGCGCCGGGTGTCCGACCCCAGCGTCGGGCTTTCTCCTGGCCAATCACAGCGCGCTCCCACGGGCGACAACACTGGTGCTGTTCGCCGATCCGCTCGCACAACGCCCCATCTCCGAACCACCACCGCCGACGACGCTGATTCGCACGTTCCAGACCGCACACGCGTCGTCTTTGCCTCTCGAATCCCTCCCAATGGCGGGGCTCAGCGCTCAGAGTCCACATCGCGCCTGGTTGGCGGGGGCCGACGGCGTATAAATGCGCCATCCTCTGCCCTTTCCTTCCGACACCACACCCCCACCTGACCATGTCTACACGCACCACCCAGAAGACTTTCCACTTCACCGAGGCCCCTCCCCAGGGCAAGTACGCCATCGCCGAAAGGCAGGTGCCCACCCCGGGTGACAGCGAGGTCCTTGTCCGCGTCGAGGCCGCCGCACTCAACCCTGCCGATTGGAAGATCACTGGCCCCGAGCTCATCCATATGATGGGCGTCCTCCCCCTCCCCCTCAGTACGGACGGAGCGGGTGTCGTCGAGGCCGTCGGCTCCGGTGTCACCACCCTGTCCAAGGGCGACAGAGTGTACGTGCTCTTTCGCGACTCCATCTTCTCAGAAATGCTCATGATTTCGTTTTCAGCGACTTCACGCTCCGAACCAGACCACCTTCCAACAGTACACGATCGTCAAAGCCGCGTTCGCAGCCAAGGTGCGTACCGTCCCCTCATGATCCCCGCTTTCGGTCTGACACATCCTGGCGCTCAGGTCCCAACGAACATCTCCCTGGACCAGGCCTCAACCATCCCGACAAGGCCGCTTGCCAGCCGAGTGCTCAAGCCTCAAGGCCCCGTACTCAGCCGTCGTCAACTTGTCGGGCGCATGAGCTCGATTCTGACATCTGACACCTGTTTAGCAACGACAGGAGATGGGCGATTCGGGGCCCTCTCGTCGCTTCCACCGTTCCGGTCTGGGAGCGCGCGCGGCCGTGCTGGCACGAGTGCAGCGGCGCGCCGAACGGAAGGACGTCCTGTCCTGTGCGGCAACACCGTCCCGACGGGGTGCCGATATCTGGCAACGAGGCGCACGTGAATATGGTGAGGCCAGAGCACACGAACAGGGTGAGCTCGACGCGCACCGTTTCGTATTCGCACTCTCAACCCCTTCCCAATCTGCAAGACTCATCTCACAGTTCACTACGCCGCGAGGGTTTCCCGAACTCAGCGAACTCCCGGATATCATGGCTTAGTCGACATTGCCTTCGTACCTGTTGGCCTGGTCATCCTCAATGGGAGCGTGTGTCCCTAGTATCGCGGAGTGTGGATTCTAGGGGAAGTAGATGCTGTCCGTAGTCGTGGTCGAAGAGAAAGAGACAATCCCTATCGGCCCGCTGGTACCGTCACAGGAATGCGTGAGGATGTGACACCAAGCGATGGCGTGATGACAACGTCAGAATTCAGCCTCCGACAAATCACGGCTATAAGAACCCAATCTCGTTTCCGCCCGCTCTTTTCCCTGCCACACATCGTGTGGTCCTCGCCTTCGAGCAAGGCCCGTATCCAAAGCACTCCGTGCTGCTCCTCCGCTGCATCTTGCGCGATCCCCTCGTCGAGCCTCCGCGCTCTGACGCCGAGGGACCCCTGGTCGCTGTCGCCGCCAGGCGCGGTCCCCTCGAGACCCCACCAGCGCCGTCGCCGTCCGCGGCCGGCCAGCTTGCGCTGCGCTGCGCGCTCCCGGGGACGCTCCGTCGTCCCCGCCCCCGCTCGCTACGAGTGCCCCGCCCGTCGGCGCCCCCTGCGCGCACGACGCCGCGCGCCAGACGGCCGCCGGAGACCTCGTCCCCGACGACCGCGGCGACGCGCCGTGCAGCACTCGGGACGCCCCTCGGAGTCGCTCCGTCGAGCACGGTTTCGTGCTCGGTGGTCGACCCAAAGAGGATCTCCTACGATACGAGCAATATATCAAGAGGTTCTCCCTCCGTGTTCCAACAACGCCGCCGTGTGCACGACGGCGACCCGTCAACTGCGCGGCGTATGTGTCAAACTCCCACAAGCCGCGTCGAGACGCGGACCGACGCAAAGCCGCTGGTCTGCGCTCGACGCCGTGTGCTTCAACTTTGCTCAGAACGCCAACGTCCACGGGACGACCGTGAACTCGGTGTGCGACATTACCGCGCGCGTCTGGGGTGCAGAGAGTGGGACGCACCGTCGTCGTACGCTTTGTACCCGGTCGATGAGCCGTGTACATCCCGCTCATGTAGTGCGCGCATAGCACACCAGCAACGCCAACGCATCACACCCGTCGTCACCTATCCGCCGAGCATGATCACGCACTGGGCGGAGCGGCGTCGAGGGGCTGCCCAAGCGCCGCACGACACACCGCCGCGGCCGCCTGGAACGGTGTCTCCGACGGCCGTCTGGAGCGCGGTGTTGTGCGTGCAGGGGGTGTCGACGGACGCGACAATCGTATCGAGGGAGGGCGGGGAGGGCGGGGCGTTCCCGGGGGCGCGTGGGGCAACGCAGGGCTGGTCAGCCGTGGAGAGCGACGGCGTTGATGAGGTGGTCGAGGGGACGCGTCTGGCGGGGAGAGCGACCAGGGCTTCCTCGACCTCTGAGCGGGGAGTTTGGGCGAGGGGTGGGTCGTGCAGGATGCAGGGGGCAGCAGTACGGAGGTGCGGAGGGGGAGGGATGTGTCGTCTGGGTCGTAACTTGTGGAGGAGTGGCGCAAACGCGGAACGAGAAAAGGGTAAGTTGCGTACGCATCGAGGTGAGTTCCCATGTCCTGACACGTTGTCGCAGCCCTCTGGTCCACCGTCGTGTGTCGCCGTGTGTCCGGGTGGAGCTTGTGAGGAACGTCGTGGACGAGCAGCATTGGTGAGCTTTTTGCGTACTGAAGCGACCATTCCGCGACTGATCTCCTCCCCCAGACCACTAATACACACCCCATGCAAAAAGCTTCATCGAAGCGAGGCTCGGCTTGCGACTTGTGAGTCACGCGTGCATCGTACGTTCCGGCCTTCAACTCATGCATACGCCCTTCCCCAGACCATCCCACGAGGCCAGCCAGCTTCCGCGAGCCCCAAGGACGAAGGAGATGACACGAGGACGGTGCAGAATGGTTGACGACTTGGCGTATTGTTGTGTGCTGAATCCATACCAACATGGTGCTATGCGTAAGAGACTGAAGTGAGCACTGGGCGAAGAGGAAAGGGGAGGCGAAAGGGGAGGGACATTGGAATGGTCGTGGGTACTCTGAGGGCGGGATGCTTTCCCACACGCTTCTCGACTCTCCCAGACGCCCACCGTGAAATACGGGCGCTCGATAGAGCAGATCTCGCTAGCTCTCCCCGGGATTGGCAGCATTCTCGTCAGAAAATTCCGTCACTGGCATCGCCAACCAGAATATCACATATCGCCCTCCTGGCAACAAGCGTACTCGTATGCATTGTGGATGTGCCTCAACCAGTACTCGCGCACCGACAGAGGGCAGCGCCTCCGTGGTTTCATGATATTGCACTCGCGAAAACGACTGGCCGTTCCACAGGTAAGCATAACTTGCCGAATCTCGACGGGTCACCTTGCGCGTGACTGTTTCCTGGATCGCAAGGAAACATGTGTCCCGAAGAATCGACCTCCTCAGAAATCCCCCCGACACCGTCGCGACTGTCCTCGCCTCCTCCATTGTATGTACCTCACGATCCAGCTCAGGGCCGTGCCCCGACCGGAGGGGCCCGCCCACCCATCGTTCCACGCCTGGTGGCACCGTCCAGTCGAGGTCCACGTCCGGCATCGTAGGCGCGTACTCAGTCGTCCGTCCACAAGCCCAAGAGAACGAGCGAGGACCGCGTTTCGAACCCTGATACCAGCGCGGAAAAATACACCGGGGGCGCGCGAGGCGGCACCCACCCCAAACCTCCCCCAACAAGTCGGCCGTATATCGTCGATCCCGCGGTCCGTACAGATAAATGCATACACGCACGAGGGCCGCTCTCACCCGCGCCACCCTCACACGTCCCAAGGGCGCACCGCTGCAGAGAGCCGGGCGCACCATCAGCGCGGTGCTCGCGGCGCACGGGGTGGCGAAGGAGGACTCACTCGGGTCGTGCTGCCGCCTCCGATAGTGGTACACGTACGCGGGCGCGGGCGCCTCCGGGCCCTCCTCCACCACCGGCGCGAGCGCGAGCTGGGGCGGCGCCCACTCCAGGCGCCACGCGCCGTCCGACTGCGCGCGCTGGTGCTTCGCACCGGCGTCGAGCGGAGACGAGGGCGAGGGCGCGGAAGAGGAGTGCGACGAGCCGGACGAGAGCGGGCGGAGGAGCGGGGCGAGGCCGAAGGGCGAGAGCGCGCGCGAGCGCCGGCGTGGGTCCCAGGACCACGTCGGGGAGTCGGGCGAGGCGGCGGCGTCCGGGTCCGAGTCGAGGGCGTCGGGGTCGGACGAGGGCGCGAGGTAGGGGGGTGGAGAGACTTCGGTGCGGCGGAGGCGGAGGAGGAGGCGGGCGAGCACGGTGGTCGTCGCGGCCCAGATGAAGCTGTGCGTGCGGGAGGCGCGGTGAGTGGGTGGATTGAGCGCGAGCGTGGGGGGACACGTACAATACGCCGAGGAAGGTGAAGGACGGGCGGGAAAGGGAGGCGAGTACGAGGTTCGTGACGCGGAGCGATGTGATGGCCTGAGATCACCACATGCGGGTCAGTCAGAGACTCTCTCGAGGGATGGGGGACGTACGAGGAAGAAACTGAGACCGTCGGAGTGCAGGGCCTTGATGATAGGCCTGTCTGTTGTCGTTGGGCGGTCGAGCGCGTTCAGCGCAGTCGAGCCCAGCACGAACGCCTCGAAGACGAGCTGCGTCAAAGGCGCTGTGTCAGCCGACCAACCCAGGCGCCGCAGGACATCAAGAGGTGCGCACCGGCGCGGCCCAAACGACCACAAATATATGCGACGAGCGCGTCGCGATACACATCCCCGCGACGTCCGACCACGAGATGACCGCTGAACATGCGAAACGTGAGTAATTGGTCCTCACTCCGGCGCGATCGGAGAAGCGTACGGAGAAGATCAAGGAGCGTGACGATCATGCAGACCACTTGCGCGGTGAAGCTCAGGAAGAAGCCCGCGGTCATAATTTTGAGCACGATCTGCAGAGCACACGCGCGTGAATACGACGCGTCCGCACCAGCCCAGGCCGAGACGTACCGGACGGTGCTCCCAGAGAATGACGACGCGCTGGAGGATGAGCAGGTTCGCGATACCGATGGAGATGATGGATACCATCGAGCATGTGAAGATGAACTCCTTGCATCTGCGGCGCGCGCGATGTCGGGTCAGTTACAGTCGTTTGCGGGGTAGCACGCGAAGGAACGGCACTCACCCCTGCGAATTGAGGGCACCACGTCGCGCGTCAGTCAACGGTAGTGAAACGATCATCGCGCTCGGAGATGGCGCCTACCTGGTCGGTGAACGTCGTGTGGACGAAACCGCACATCGCTACACGTATATATGCACTTCAGGAGATGGGATGCGCACGCAAGAAGCAAGGGCGTACCATAGGCGGTGGCAAGGAGAGTGCCTAGTACGCCGTACCGATTGAGGAGGAACATGTACTTGGCGTATGTCGCGGGTGCGGGCCAGATGAGCTCGACCTCGTCGGGGAAGGTGAGGAGATGGTCGTAGAGAAGGACGACGAGGCCCGCGGCTGAGAGCGCGTGCATTTAGCATCTAATTTGCCACATTTCCGTGGCGGAGGATGGCGGAGGGGGTAGGGTACGCAGGAAGTAGATAGAGGACACTCACCGCTCATGTAGCGAACCACCGAGAGATCGTGCAAGGCATCAAGAGACGCGGCGGGGATGTCGTCAACCATGGCGCCAGAAGATGGTCAAAAAGGAACGTGAGGGGATTAGGACGACCTGTCGCCGGGCAGAGTATGCAGTGATTAGTCTAGGTCGTCAAAAGCAGTCGCCGGAAGAAGAGGGCGAGAAGGAGAAGTAGAGAACGCGCCGCGCAAGCGCGAAAGAGAACAAGAAAAGCAGAAAAGAGCGCGGGCGAACGGCAGGCTCGTGGCGGGAGGAGGCAAGACCTGCAAGCCATGTCCGCAGCAGATGCCGCGGTTTGAGCGCGAGCATCAGTGGTCGGACTAGCGCCTTTAGTGGCGGAGGGCGGGGTCACCAGAATCAAGGATAGTGGGTCGCTTGATCGCCCGCCGGTATGGGACGGGAGAACGCCCATGAGGAAAAAGCAAGGCGAAAGACGTGCTAAGGACAGGCGTGGAGAGGCGGAACAGAAGGACGCAGAGAGAACTGTGATGTGCGGGTGAGACGTACATACCTCGGGTCTGGCGGAAGGGGTGCCTTCTGTCTTGAGTGACTAGTGAGGCTTGGCTCGGGCATGGAAAGGCTGCCCAGGGGTGCCTAGGCTTGGGCTGGCGGGAGAGAACGGGACAGCGTCGTCTGGGGGCTGGCGAGGCCTGGGGGGACCTGCGCGCGGGGAGGAGGGGGCGTCATTTATATGCATGGCAGCTGTGCGAGCGGACCTGGGCGGGGGTGAGAGCGCGAGAGTGCGGGAACCGGGATGGCGGGCGGGGGGAAGGAGGGTGGGCAAGGGCGAGGGAAGAGTTTGCGAGGGACATCAAGGAATGTTGGCTCGTGAAGATGGTGAGAAGAAGGTCCATCGAATCCACTGCTCAGACTCCGGCTTGGACCAGGGCCAGGAAGCGCGGTGGTCCCGTCTGATATGAGGACGAGGTCGGGTCTCATGCACGTATCGGAGAAAGACCGTCCACTTTTCGCGAGGGGAGCATCCAAGCCCCGGCACAGGCGGGCCGGGAAGTGCCGATCCGGATCAGTCGGTCGCCCCGAACCGTCAATGTCGACGGATGCTCGACCCTCCTCGGGCTCCAGGACAACGATCATGAGCCCAGCGTGTACATGTAAACTCGACACGCCGAGTAACCACCATAGTTGTGGGCTTATATAGAAAGCCTCCGCCGCTCCGCCAACAATCGCTCTTATCCTCAGCTCCGCCGGGGAGAGTTCTCATCGACATCACTTCCATCTGGCGGAGACTGGCTGCGATCTCGTCCATCGCTCCCACATACAGATCGCCCCCGCCGTGTCCCATCTCTCCGCATGCCCTGTCGCGCGTCAGAACGCTGAGAGCCGCATCTGTTGTCGCACGTCGCGCCCCAGTTCTCCGGATGCCGCCCTTGTGGCCTCGGTACATCGGGCCTCTGGGCAGCGAGCCCGCGTAGTGGCAGAGCACTGAGCGCAGAGATGGCAGAGAGTAAGTATGTCAAGTCGTCAGCGCAGGAGTGCCAAGAGGCCTGGCCTCTGGAAAAAAAACCCGGATAGCGCGAATGTTGGCTCACCAGAGGCGATGCCCATGACGTGAGGCTTCTGCCGTCAAATACTGCGATATCCCTAGAACGAGCGCAGCACACCCCGGAAACCGATACCCGCGCGCGGGGATGAGCGGGCGGAAGTGGCACAAGTTGAAGAGGACGGACGCTGACGGGCTTGGCTGCACAATCGTTCGATGTAACACGTGTGCCCCGTGCGAGTCAGTATACACAACGAAACAACCGCGCCTCACCCTACGGATACCGCATGCCTTCCCGCAACATCCCTATACATACGTTCACCCATCCATCAGCCCCCGCCATGCACGCGCCCAGCCACGCCATCTCCGTATCTGGCGGGGCAGGCACACCCTGAACGAGCGGGTATCCAAGATTAGGTTGTAGCGAACCGGCTTCCGAGAAGATGAGGGGTAACCGGGTGCTGAGGAACACGGCGAGGGTATGCATACGGCCTGCGAACGCAAGACCGGTCAACTACCGAACGCAAGCCAATGGGAGAAGAGGGTAAGACGCAAGAAGGGACTACACACCATTCTCGAGCATAGGGGGCACAAGGTCTTGCAGCACGGGACCATCGGGCAGGTATATCCGCACGGGGATGTTGCGCACGTTGGATGCGCCGTCCCGGTCGGGAGCGCCATTTGACCCAGGGTCTGCGGAGGGAGGCCGGACGTGGAGGGAGGTCGATGACTGCGGTGGTGGAGGGGAGTGGGAGCGCGTCGGGGCCGTGGTGGGCGTGATCTTCGACGCGACGCGCCAGTACTCGTCGAAGTTGTCTGGCAGAGAGGCCGGGCGTTGAGATGCGCGCGAAACCGGGGGCGGGGGCAGCGGAAGCGCGACTCACGTTCTTTGATGCCCTCCCAGAGCCCGTCCTGCTCCGCCTTCCGGAGCCCCGTCATACGCTTCGTGTTCCCCCAGCGGATGAAGTCGGCCTCCTTCAGCTGCCCCATGAACGCCTGCTTGCACGCATCGGGGCTCGGGGCGAGCAGCAGCTTCTCCGTCGGCGGCGACGCGAGGTGGAGCACCATCCGGAGCGGCGTGAAGACGTGCGGGTGTGCGGACGAGCGCACGGTCTGCGAGATCGTGTGGTTGTCGTAGATCAGGCCGATGGGCCAGTGCCTGCGCTCGCCGAGCACGGATCAGCCCTGCGGACACAGGAGCGGCGGAAAGGGGAGCACGGACCACTTGAGCGTCGCGCCCTCCTCGCTCTCGAACCACCAGTCCTCCTCCTTCATCGTGCGCGCGGCGGCCTCGTCGAAGACGACGTCCATGAGGAAGCGCTTGATCTCCGGGACGAGCAGCGGGAGGTAGCTGACGCGGGGCGCCTGGATGTAGTAGCACTCGAGGCCGCGGTCCGAGTTGGCGGGGAGCTCCTTGGAGTCGACGCGGATCTCGAGCGGGACGGTGCCCTCCCAGGTGAGCCGGCGGAAGAGCGTGGTGGAGGCGGGGGTGGAGAAGGACGAGGGCGAGTGTCGGGGCGCGTAGGTCGACATGACGGCGAGAGCGAAGTCGGGCTCGCGGTTCGCAGCCCCAGTCCGCCGTCGGAGGAGTAGACGGCACGCGCGTGCTCGACGGCTCGAGATACCGCGCCCGGCGCTCGCGTCGTGCTCCGTGACACCAGGACACGCTGTGACAGAGCCTCTGCGCACACGTGGGCTCCGCAAGACGCGGTCACGGTGGGGGTGACGTCAGGAAGGCTGCGCCATGGCGTCGTCGGACCTCGGTGCGTCCGGACTCCGTACTTAAAGCCTCGCCGCACCCAACCCCCTCCTGCCCTTTCTGCTTCCCCCCCCCCAACGACGCTCCCCCCGCCATGCCCTCCCACAGTTCCTGGACAGATGGGCTCCCGCTCAAGGTGTGTTCGACGCGTTGGTGGTGAGTGGCAACGACAACGAAACGTTGACATCTTTGTTCTGCTCACAGATCGTAAACGTTATCGTTTATTTCCTCTTCCTGGGCTCCAACATCTACACCGTCGCTGGCCCTGCCGACATCTACTACACCGGAAAGGAGACGTATATGACCCCTGCGCCATGGGCGTTCCTCATCTGGTACGTCCGTTCCCTCCATACCTGCGCCGTACCCCCTCTCAGACCCCCTCAGGTCCCTCATCCACCTCCTGCTCCTCGGCACAGTCATCTACCAGTTCTTCGAGGGCGGAAAGCAGGTCATCATTGATGGCATTAGCTGGCGTTTCGCGCTCCTCGCTGTCCTCAACGCCATCTACGTTAACGTCTGGGCTCGGCACTATTACATTGTTGGTACGTCGAGCCCTCGGCCCCGCCGCAGCGCGCAGTCTTCGCCAGAGTCTTAACCTAAATGGCGTTTTTCCTTAGCGTTCATCTTCGCGCTCTTTGTCAGCTCGTGTGTCACCGTAAGTCACCGGACCCCCTTTAGCGCGATTGCAGTTCATCGGACCTGTGTTGATCCGCACCCTCAGCACATCTACTACATAGTCAAGAAGTTCCACGAGCCACAGAGCACCGCGGACGAGCTCTTCATCCACCTCCCCTTCTCGCTCTACCACGGCTGGACCACCGTCCTCGTCGTCCTCACCCTCTTCGAGGCTGCCGGGCTCAACGCTGCCGTCCAGCCCGCCGGCGTTTGGACCGACGTCTTCGTCTTCCTTGCTCTGTACGTCTGCCCCTATGCCCCATGGCTCAGCCTACTAACATTGAGAGCCTTCAGGTTCTTCCTCGAGGCGACCGCCGCTACCTACGCGTTCTCCTCATCTGAGGGCGACCTCCCCGCGAGCATCGCCATCTCCTGGTCGCTCTGGGCCATCTTCGCGCACCAGCACCGCCCGGCGTTCATCCACTGGAGCGCGCTCGCGTTCGCCGTGCTCTCGCTCGTGTGGGTCGTCAAGGCCGCGATCGGCGTCGGGCTCAAGATCCGCAACGGTGGCCGCGGGATCTCGCTCGACGAGGAGCGTGCGCCGCTCGTGGGGTGAATAAAATCCCGGCACGCGCCCAGGAAGGTTCAGGAAAGTGACGTCATGACCCTGGTTGTACACACGGTGCTATGGATGGACGGGGGATTGATGGATGGACGATATGTCTTGCTGAGTCTTGTGCACTGTTATGTTTCTCTCTCGTACCTCCGCCGTGAAGATGCTTTGACTAAGTACCATACTAGTTCGCTACTAGTACGCTCGTCGTTCTCGGTGATGTATTTGTATCACATCAACTCGACTGTCCCATACTTCCTTGAGCCAGGACTCCGCGCTCCATTCGCACAACAAGCGAGGTCTTGACACGATGTCGGCAAGTCTGGGTATGTCTCCATCGTCGACATCCATTGTGGCCCATCCCTGCGGAAAGCAACCTCCAGCGGTGCCGTGGTGTGCACTCGGACCCTCGTCCAATCTACCTACTGCGAAGACGAAGAAGTCCTTGCCACTCCTCGCCAAGCCTGCCCTCCTCGCTTCACTGTCGCTTTCACAGACCAACCTACTCCGCGCTGGCTCACACCGCCGGGGGCGCCCCGTCTCACTCGCCCTCCCACTATGCGTAGCGCAGGCGACGGGTACCTCATCGTCCCCCGCGCGGCGTCGTTGTCGACACGCTGAGGAGGAACATGCAAAGCGTATGAGCGGATCGCCAACAAGTCGACCGCCCAGAATCCGAGTCATTGGGTTGTGTCTGGTGCGTGGTGCAGTGTCCCATGACCGGCTTCCGACGACGACCAGGCTGACGGTATCGCGCATGGCACCGAGAGCGGCCATGCTCCTCGACTGGATGTAACAAATGTAGACAGGGCTAAGAATACCACCTGACTCGCACATCATATTCGCTCTTGAGATAGCCCATCCAGCGGGGCTGGCGGCCTACTATATGGTAGTGAGCAAGCAGCCTCCACCCTCAAGTCGGTATGGAACCACATCCTGCGCAGCTCCGGCGTCGCGATCCGCTCCCAACACCATTCCTCGAACTCTTCGAACGGCCACTTTTTCCCCTTGACGCACGTAGAGCCGACGATGGGTTCCACCGGCCGGTTCGCTGTCGGGGAACGTGATCGGCACGGGCGCAGGCGGTAGATGGCGAAGGGGTGGAAGACTCGCGATGTGGTCACGTAGCTGGGGCCCAGAACCGGCCATGGAAGCCGACCAGCGTCGTTCCTCTTGTTGACGTCATCCGGCCAAGCCGGCCCGCTGAATCTGCACAGGCGCTTGAACGAGAAAGCCTGCGACGCGTCCCTCATGTTCTCTTCTACTTCCTCCCCTCATGCATCTTCCCCTCTACCTACCCCCCAAGCTGGGACAACGAATTTGCGAAAGATATCGCGAAGCAAAACGTGATCTGAGAAACTTGCGAGAACCTCTGTTCTATGCTGCGAAGGAGCGGGCGTGGCCTTCGATCGAGGCTAGGCAGGATGCTGGGGACCCGCGAATCCATAAACAGCCCAGCATCTCGGTTCTCGACGTGGACCGTACTCAGCCGTAGCGAACGCGACATGTGACTATCACTTATCGTACGTTTCATACTCTCCTTTGTTACTCTCTTCGCCCCTTGACATGTATCGCAATTTCTTGCTTCTTCTCTTCGCTGCACCATCATCGCAGTATTGGTGACACTAAGAGGAACAGGAGGTACGCAACCCCCAAAAGTTTCTCTTAGTGTCTCAGTTACGTCAGGGCGCAGGACGACGACGCATCGTGCCATACATCGACTCATGCAGCATGCGGGTACATGTGGACGGACTCCGGCTGGGAATGGTGAGCTTGCTCTTTCGTCCCTGTGAACGGGTCCCATCGTACGCGCCCTATTTCCCGACTCGTCCCGTCCTTAGATTTGCAAAGTCGAAACGACAGGGCCCCTCTGAACCGCACAGGCACTGGCGTTCTGAGGCAGGCCTCACGGTATCTTTCCTCTCCGAATCTTTCGAGCGCCGTCGACGGCCGGCGGTGTTTCCAGATAGATGGTGGAGGGACGACATACTTCGCTTGCGAATATACCGTATTGCAGACGATCGTCCATCATCTCGGCTCCTTCCTGGGTGACCTTGAACCGAGGTAAGACGGTCACTATCTCGCGCTGTCTGCCTCGATTCAAGGTCGTATGCCACCACAAGAGCCCCAGCTGACGGAAGGGCGTGGTGATGGAACGATTGTCCACGCTCAAGATACGTGGCCCCACATTATTCGTCCTCTAAGCCGGGGCGGAAATGGGGGCATGGTGCGGGATGCGCGTCCTTCGGACGGGCGATGGCAGCTATATGCATCCAAGCATCTTCGCCGCCGTTATAGCCTTACAGGAACGGAACGGGAAATTATAATGGCATTTTTGAGGTCGTCGGGCTTCTCAACGGATGCGTCGCCTGTTCAAGAAGCAGTCGAGCGACATGGACAGCATCCGTGGGGCGGTAGGCACGATCGAAACTAGAAATGGATGAACGCCTTCTCACTAGGCATCAGTCTCTTGCAATATAAGATCCAAACGGCGAAGGGTGTCTCTCCAGCACACCGTCGACAGCCTGCAAGATGCGCTTCGCCGTCCTCGCCGCGTTCACCCTGGGCTCTCTCCTCGCGGCTGCATCTCCGCCGTTCTCGCCTGGCTTCAAACCAGACCTTCCCCCTCCTGGTGGATGGGAACCCGTTCCACGTTCAGAGACGATAGCTCCAACGGTCCATCTGGACCGCGCCTCGGTTGAGGGCACATCCGATGGCTACACTGACTCGTACCTTGGCATCCCGTACGCCCAAGCTCCGTAAGTATGTGTTGCTCCTCCACCGGATGTGTTTCGCTGACTTTTTTATTCTGCGCAGCGTTGGTGAGCTGAGGTTCAGCACCCCAGTTGCAAATAAACCTTACAATGGGAAAATCAATGCCACGGCGTTCGGGAACATCTGCCACAACTTCATTTCTACGCAGCCTCCCCTCCCGACGTGGATCACCCACGACCAGATGGAGTACCTAAGTATCTTCCACACGCCAGCTCCGGCTCCATACTCAGAGTGTTGAAGATACGCGCGGAAGCGCCGGCTACGATTAGATTAGATTACGCTATGCGCTCGGATGATCTTTGTAGTTCCTTATCTCTTAGTTCAGTCTATCACGCTTACGATACTCTTAGGTCTTTGTTCTTGTCATGTACTATTTACAGCGCGCGCGCATACAGCGCTAATCAAGCTTCGTTTTCCCTTCCCCGAACCTGCGCGAACTTCTACAGGTTATGAGCCCTGCTTCGTTCTAAAGCAGTATCCACTCAGCCTCTTGTACACACCTTAGCTTGACATCTCCACTCACTATGACTTCCAACACCGACAAGATCAACTCGTTGCTCCGGGCGAAGATTGAGCCACTCTCGGGATCGAGCGACTATCCCCGGTGGCGTCGGCAATTCTCAGGGCTTCTCAAACTCGCGAAGATCTCGGACATCGTCCTCGGTCACGAGACGCGCCCGAAGCTAGCCGACGACAGGAGCAACAGAGCCGACGTCGAAGCCTGGGAAGACAAAGACCTCGCGGCGCTTGTCGGTATGCAACTCAAGCTCGGGACGGCGGCCGCGGCGCTTGTATCGGACGCGGATACGAGCCACGACGCCTGGATGAAATTGGAGAAGAACTATCAAGTACGCGGCGTGGGACGCATCATCGAGATCAAGAGGAAGATGATGAACTCACAATACTCTGATGGGGAGGACGTGGACGAGTGGGTGCAGAGGATGGGTGTGTGGCGGTCGGAGTTAGCGGACATGAACCGGACGATCTCAAACGATGAGTTCTCACTTCTGCTTCTCTGCGCACTCCCGGAGTCTTGGCGCGGCTTCACGAGCTCGATTCAAGAGAGCGCGCTCCAAGACCCGGACACCATCATCGGATCAATACGCGATCACGGAGCGCGCACTCACGCAACCGAGGCCGCGTTCCTGGCGAAGCAAGGTGGGACCGGCGGGAAGCGGAGCGGCGGGCCGCCGCACTGCTGGAAGTGTGGGAAGGTCGGGGTGCAGAGGGATTGCCCGAACCATCGTCCGTGGGGCGGTGGCAAAGGGAAAGAAAGGGAGACGGGAAAGGATGAGAAGGCGTTGACGGCGAAGGAGAAGAAAGGGAAGGCGGAGGAGAGTTCGGACGATGAAGGATACGCCTACGCTCTCATCGAGACGGGCGCCACGATCAACGAGGTCGCGCTTACCGCTATGAGCGCCGGCGCATGGATCGCGGACACCGGCACCACATCGCACGTCGCGCGCGAACGGCGCCTCTTCACCACCTACTCACCCGTCACTGGCAAGTACCTCCAAGGCGCCGGAACCACCCCCATCCTCGGTCGCGGAACCATACGTTTCACTTACAAGCACGACGGGAAGACTACCACCGTCGACCTGCTTGACGTCATCCACGCACCCGGCATTCCGCACAATCTCATCTCGATCGGTCGCGTCGAAGCGGCCGGACACACGGTTCAACTAGCCGGCGGGGAGATCAAATTCCTCAACCGGAAGGGGCGCGCTTACGCCTCTGGACGCCGCGGGGGCGGCTACCTTTACGAAATGGACGGAGCGCCGGAGATTCCGGAGGTATCGTACCCGGGCGCTGTTTCCAGACCTATCCGCAAACGAACTTACGACGAATGGCACGCCATACTAGGGCACCCGGGCTTGAAGGTCGTGGACACGATGATGCGGAAGGAACTGGTGGACGGACTGGTGGTGGACAAGGGGACGCCCGCGCAGGAGCAGTGCGAAGCGTGCGTACAGGGGAAGCAGACGGTGGCACCATATCCGGCGGCGTCGGAGACGGAGGTGGGAGTGATCGGGGAGTTGATCGTGCTGGACACGTGGGGACCGGCCCGGACGGAGGGGATAGGACACGAGCGCTACGCATGGGTGTTCACCGACGTGCACTCGCGTATGTCGGAAGCGGCTTTCGGGAAGGAGAAGTCTGAAATCAAATCACATTTCCACGAATACCGCATGCGCCTGCAAACTCTCCACGGCGTCACCATCAAACGCGTCCGCTTCGACAACGCGAAGGAGTTCCTCGGGGGAGAGTTCGGCGCTTACCTCAAGGAACACGGCATCACGATCGAGACTACCGCACCCGAGTCTTCTGGCCAGAACGGGATTGCCGAGCGCGTCTTCCGGACCACCTTGGAGCGGTCGCGCGCCATGCGCATCGCTGCCGATCTACCCAAGTTCCTATGGCCACAAGCCTTCGCACATGCCATCTTCCTGAAGAACATCCTCCCGACTCGCGCACTCAAGGACAAAACACCCTACCAAGTGTGGCACAAGCGGAAGCCCGACGTCTCCGAACTCCACGCCTGGGGTGCCGAGTGCTGGGTGCTCACGTCAGCAACGAAGCGATCAAAGCTTGATCCGAAATCGGAACCGATGCGCTTCGTCGGGATGGCTCCGGGGAGCAAAGCCTGGCTATACTGGGACAGGCACGCGCGGCGGATCGGAAAGTCACGCAACTTGGTCTTTCGCGTACGGAAGCCCACTCCGCCCGCGGACGAGGACGAGGACGTATGGGAGTACATGGAGTACTTCGCCCAGCCGCTCGAGGGGGAGGATGTGGAGTCTGGCGAGCGTCAGGACGAAGAAGAAGGGGGAGAACCCCGAGGAGACGCGGACCGGACACCCGCACCCGAACTCGCGATCGCGCCCGCGCCTGAACTCGCGCCCGCGCCTGCGCCTGCGCCCGCGACCGCGCCTGCGCCCGCACCTGCGCTCGCGCCCACGCTCGCGCCCGCGCCCGTACCGGAGGTCCCGCGTCGCGCGTCGCGATTGGCAGGCAAGCCACGCCTAGACTACAAGGCACTTGCGCACAACGGCGAACGCGTCCCCATCACCGACGAAGCACTCATCACGTGCTTACTCTCACTCTTCGGCGTTGAAGGGGGAGCGGGGAACGTCATCGAGCCGCGCAACTTGAAGGAGGCGCGCGCACAACCGGAGTGGCCAGAATGGAGGCGCGCGATGGAGAGCGAGCTCGCCCAACTCATCAGACTTGGGGTCTTCGAGATGGTGCAGCTACCGGAAGGGCGGAGGACAATAGGATGCCGCTGGGTCTATCGCCTGAAGGTCAACGCGGAGGGCATCATCCTTCGATTCAAGGCACGGCTGGTCGCGCTCGGGTACAGCCAAATCTTCGGGCTGGACTTCTTCGACACATACGCGCCAGTCGTGCGAATGGATGCACTTCGGGCCTTGATCGCGATCGCAGTGCACAAGCGACTCATCATTCGGCAATTCGACGTCGTCGGCGCTTACCTCAATGCCGACCTCCAGGAGGAGATCTACATGTGCCAGCCCCCGGACTTTGAGGACGGGACCACGAACGTGCTCAGCTTGAAGAAGCTCCTCTACGGACTCAAGCAAGCCGCCAATGTCTGGAACATACACATCGACGGGGCACTCGTACAGGACATGAAGTTTATTCGCACTGAACCGGATCAGTGCGTCTATGTCCGGCCCGGCGGCGAGCACGGCATCGGACTGCACGTGGACGACATGGTGGCTGTGGCTCCGAACGAGGCGGAGATGGACGCGATCAAAGAAGGTCTCGAGCGTCACTACGAGATCACGGATCTAGGCGAGCCGCGTCTACTCCTTGGACTTGAAATCTCGCGCCCTATCGGATCACCTGACGACCTCACGCTGCGACAGACGAACTACCTACGTCGCGCGCTTGAAGCACACCACATGTCAGAGTGTACACCGGTGAAGACGCCGATGGACCCGAACGTCAAGCTCCTGAAGACGAGCGAGGATGAGGAGGTGACCCCCGCACAAGTCCATGAGTACCAATCAGCGATCGGTACCTTGATGTACGCGGCACTCGGCACGCGACCGGATCTCGCGTACGCCGTACAGGCGCTGTCCCAATTCTGCTCGCGCCCCGGCCCAGTGCATTGGACGGCCCTCAAGCACGTCTTCCGCTACATCAAGGGGACACTCGACTACGGTATCACTTACCACGCGCAGGGGGAGCTGGTAACGAAAGTGGCGTACCAGCACTTGCGCCTCGAAGGGTACACCGACGCGGACTGGGGCGCTAATCCGGTGGACCGGCGATCAATCTCCGGATACGCGTTTCTGATCGCCGGTGGACTTGTCGCGTGGAGCTCGAAGAAGCAAGCGGTAGTAGCGCTATCGTCGACAGAGGCGGAGTACATGGCGGTGTCGTACTGCGCGCGACACACGATCTGGATGCGCGCACTTCTCGCGGCGCTGTATCTGAAGCAGGAGGACGCGACGGACCTCAATGCGGACAATCTCTCAGCCATCGCGCTCTCCAAGAACAACGTGCATCACGCGCGTACCAAGCATATCGACATCCGGCATCACTTTATTCGCGAATGCGTAGAAGCCGGTACTATCAAACTGAAGCACGTACCTACGGAGGACAATGTCGCGGACATGTTCACGAAGCCGCTTCCACGCGACCGCTTCCACATGCTGCGGCGGCAACTCGGGATCCTCTCAGACGCCGAGTTGAGGGGGAGTGTTGAAGATACGCGCGGAAGCGCCGGCTACGATTAGATTAGATTACGCTATGCGTTCGGATGATACCTTTGTAGTTCCTTATCTCTTAGTTCAGTCTATCACGCCTTACGATACTCTTAGGTCTTTGTTCTTGTCATGTACTATTTACAGCGCGCGCGCATACAGCGCTAATCAAGCTTCGTTTTCCCTTCCCCGAACCTGCGCGAACTTCTACATTGGTCAATGCGATATATTGACAACGACGCCCAAACTGATTGGGCTTCTCGCCGTGAGCACTGATTATAAATTGGGCATCGGCTTGTTGCGAGACAACGCCTTGATCAATATTGCTGACCGCACGAGCAGCGTTGAACCGCGGGTTGGTTGTGAGCGTTTTGGACATAATATAACGTCACGTTCGACTTGCGCAAATATCGTATCGCGCGGTCGAAGCAAGGTCTGGATTTTTGCGCCCAGGTCCACGCCGTGGGGATGTATCATCTAAGTGGTCTGCTCACCGTCTCCCTCGGAGTCCCCTGGCGCCAGATCATGAGCGCGTGTGCCGCAATAGATACAAGATCGCTGCCATGCGGCGTGGGCCTCCGGAGTTCGGGTGCAGCGTGTTGGCTGAGGATAGTCGGTCTTGAAGGCAACGGCGTTGTGGTGCTGCGCAGTTCTGTGTCGCCAACGCTGCCTCTGTCATAGCCCGGCCGCGCCCGTCAGCGAGAATACGCTGCGGCCCGCTCTTCGTTCCTGGCGCCTCGAGCAGGCTGCGCTTCATCCTTGAATCACCGACTCGTGCGGAGAGCGGTGCTTTCAAACCAGTTCTCCGAGCTCAAGCTCAAAGTTCGGAGACGAGCGGCACATCTTCCGTGATCATCATCATCATCATCCGCACCTGTCGTCCGTGTGCGAGCGCGGCGATGCCGAAGGACTCGAGCGACTTTCCCGTCCGGACAGGAAGTCCGAAGGTTGATGCGTCAGCTGGATCCAGGAGTCCCTGCCACCGAAGCTCGGGACACGAATTCGGACGGCGCGGCAGGGCTGGTGGACGCGTGCCGCAGTGTCGTGCAGACAGGCTGCAATGACAAGCACAGATCGCCCGGGCGTTGCCTGAAGGCCTGAGAGGTACCACGGCCGGCAAGCTCGCGTGTCGATCTCATGGATGGTGAGTTGGGAGCCGGGCCGCCGCGTCGTTCGCATGGCGCTGGGCAGTGGGCATGGCGGGCTTCTGCACCCACGTAAGTAGCACTCACGGCGATGGACGTGGTGGTCGTGAGCCGGGGCGGCCTGACCGGGTGGGTTTCTCTCGGAGAGAGGCTTGAAGTATTGCTCGAGTTGAGCTGGAGAGGACAGAAGAGGGTTCGTTCGAATAATAATACCTCGCCACCACGACTGGAAAAGATAGTCGCCGCGGTCAGATGCCGATGGCAGAAACTTGGACTCTTGGCACTCTGTTCCCGGGCCTGGGCGCCCGCAGCGCACCGACTGTGCGAGTTCTGCAGATGAAAGACATATCGTCGTGGAAACCACCGAAGGACGAGTACAAGCTTGTCGTCGCGAGCACGGGGTTTGTAAGAAAGAGAGTGCGCATCTGCGGTTCGACGCCGGGCGGCCGAGTTCCGGGGTCCGACTGGGCGGCCTTGGCTGCGCCAGCATCCGCTCCGCGCCCATCGCCACTGCCATCCCAGAGTCTACTCTTCACCAGCAGCTTTGCGTTTCTCCGTTCCTTTCCTCCACCCCTTCCCCCCTCCCCCTCCCCCTCGGCCGAGCTCGGGCTCGCGGCACACCCATGGCCCCCTTCTCCCGCCACCACGATGAGGACACCGACGAGGACGACTCGGTCGACCCCGAGCTCCGCCTCCGCACCGTTCGCACTGCCGCCTCGACCATCGCAGAGTCCATCCGCCAGGAGCAACGCGCCGAGCGACGCAAGTCCGTCCGCAAGAAGGGCTCGCGCTTCTTCCGGAGAGACAAGAAGAAGGATGTGCAGCCCGCACCGACGGGCACCGCCGCGCCCCACGTCGCCGGTCGTCGACGGAATGTGTATGTGAACGTCAACCTGCCGATGAACGAGGTGGATAATCGCGGAGAGCCGATCGCGAGGTATGCGAGGAACAAGGTCCGCACGAGCAGTGAGTACTCCAGTCATCGTACGCTCGAACGCGCGTAACCGCTCCGCAGAGTATACGATCATCACATTTGTCCCCAAGAATCTTTACGAGCAATTCCGCCGGTGAGTTCTCTTTCTTGGCTTCTGCGCACCTCGAGAGGGTCGTCGAGCACTCGTTCTGCACCGGGGAGACGCTGCGATAGTACAGCATGCAGAGATGGATGGCCGCTCTGGGTCGAGACTTTGGCCGTCTTCCATCACGGTGTCCGTTTCACGGAAAGAACTTCCAAGGGGGGAAGACGGTACCAACATAGTCTTTGTGTGCCCTCACGAACGCTGCGCAAGTTGAGAGTACACAAAGAACGTGTTTAACTCCAGCCGGCCCCTGTTATCGTTGCTCTTGGGCTGGCGGCGATATTGATACTGAGCTGACTATTGTACTCCAGTGTTGCGAACCTCTACTTCCTGGCCCTGGTCATAGTCCAGGTCTTCTCCGTTTTCGGCGCCCCTTCACCACAGACTTCCGCCCTCCCTCTAATCTTCATCTTGACCGTGACCATGATCAAGGACGGCGTTGAAGACTACCGGCGAGCGATGGTCGACGACGAGGTCAACAACTCGGCGGTCACGAGACTCGGCAACTGGCGCAACGTCAACCAGCCGCAGGATCCCCGCGCATGGTACCAGAAGATGCTCGGGGTGCGGGCGCCGGACAAGGTGACACGCGGAGTGAAGAAGCTACGGGAGCGCGAGGCGAGTGAAGGCAAGCAGATCGTGATGAGCAAGGACCCGGGCGAGGACCGCAACAGCATGAGCACGCTCCCTGCGAACAACAACAACAGCATGGAGCTCGGCTTCTACGGCGCCGGCGGCAAGCTCGACGATATCCAGAGCATCGACTCACACAGCTACCCTCCGGCGGACCCTGCGGCCGGGAACACGACCTCGTGGGGCGGCAGTACGTCTGGCTCCTTCACCGCCTATCAACAGTCCATCCACCCACCGGCCGCGACTGGCGTCGTCGACTACAGCAAGCGAACGCCTGGTCTGGCGCACTGGGAACGCACGCTCTGGAAGAAACTCGAGGTTGGTGACATCGTTCTTCTCCGGGACAACGAACAGGTGCCGGCGGACCTGGTCGTGCTTGCGACGTCGGACGCCGATAACATGTGCTACCTCGAGACGAAGAACTTGGACGGGGAGACGAACCTGAAGCCACGCAAGGCGGTGCGGGCGACGGCGGCGATGACGTCCGAGGAGGACATCGAGCGTTCGTCGTTTATCCTCGACTCCGAGCCGCCCCACGCGAACCTGTACCTCTACCACGGCGTGCTTCGGTACAAGGACCCTGCGAGTGGAGAACCCAAGCTGGACACGGTGACCATCAACGAGCTGCTCCTTCGTGGGTGCACGCTGCGGAACACGGCATGGGTCGTGGGACTGGTAGTGTTCACGGGTGCGGACTCCAAGATCATGCTCAACGGAGGTGACACTCCGTCGAAACGGTCCAAGATCGAGAAGGAGACGAACTTCAACGTCATCGTCAACTTCCTCCTCCTCGTCATCATGTGTCTTTCGTCGGCGATCCTCAACGGCTACTTCGACAGCAAGAGCGACACAAGCGCGGACTTCTTCGAGCAGGGTGCCGAGGCGTCGCACTCGAACGTCCTCAACGCTGCCATCACTTTCGTGTAAGTCTTTCTGCTTCGTTTTCATGCTCACCTCGCTGATCCCGCTGTAGGTCGTGTCTCATCGCCTTCCAGAACATCGTCCCTATCTCGCTGTACATCTCAATTGAGATCGTCAAGACGATCCAGGCGTACTTCATCTCGCAGGACATCGACATGTACTACCAGCCGTTCGACGCGACGTGTACGCCAAAGACATGGAACATTTCGGACGACCTGGGGCAGATCGAATACGTGTTCTCGGACAAGACGGGTACGCTTACGCAGAACATTATGGAGTTCCAGAAGTGTTCGATCAACGGCGTCGCGTACGGCGAGGGTGTCACCGAGGCGCAGCGCGGGGCGGCCAAACGTGAGGGCAAAGTGGAGTCGATGTCGCCGGAGGAGCAGGACATCCAGCTGCAGATATCCAAGCGGCAGATGCTCGAGAAGATGTCGCAGGCGTTCAAGAACCGGTACGCTCAGCCGGACCACCTCACCCTCGTCTCGCCCAGGCTCGCAGATGACCTCGCGGACCGCACCTCGCCGCAGCGCCAGTACCTGATCGATTTCTTCCGCGCGCTCGCTGTCTGCCATTCCGTCCTGTCCGACCGCTCCGACCAGAACCAGCCGTTCAAGCTCGAGTACAAGGCGGAGTCGCCGGATGAGGCTGCGCTCGTCGCCGCGGCGCGAGATGTCGGCTTCCCCTTCGCCAACAAGTCCAAGGACGCGATCGACATCGAGGTCATGGGCCAGCCGGAGCGCTACATCCCGCTGCAGATGCTCGAGTTCAATTCCACGCGCAAGCGGATGAGCGTCGTCGTGCGCAACCCCCAAGGCCAGCTCATCCTCTACTGCAAGGGCGCGGACTCGGTCATCTACCAGCGCCTCCGCGCGGACCACGATCCGGAGCTCAAGGCTGCAACGGCGCGGGACATGGAGGCATTCGCCAACGGCGGTCTGCGCACGCTCTGCATCGCCTACCGGACGCTGTCCGAGCAGGAGTACATGGACTGGGTGCGCGTCTTCGAGGCCGCCCAGAACTCCACTACGGACCGCGACGAGGAGATCGACAAGGCCAACGAGAAGATCGAACACTCTCTCACCATCCTTGGCGCGACCGCCCTCGAGGACAAACTCCAGGAGGGTGTGCCCGAGGCCATTCAGACGCTGCACCGCGCTGGTATCAAGCTTTGGATCCTGACGGGCGACAAGGTGCAGACCGCCATCGAGATCGGTAAGCGTCCCATCGCATCTCCTAGCGCAAAAGTCTAACTCACTGCCCGCGCCGGCAACAGGTTTCAGCTGCAACCTGCTCAAGAGCGACATGGAGATCATGATTCTGTCAGCGGACACGCTCGAGGCTGCGCGCCTACAAATTGAAGGCGGCTTGAACAAGATTGCATCTGTCCTCGGCCCGCCGTCGATGGACCCCGAGCGCCGCGGCTTCGTACCTGGTGCGCAGGCGGCTTTCGCGGTCGTCATCGACGGCGACACTCTCCGGCACGCGCTCGGCAAGGAACTCAAGCAGCTCTTCCTCACGCTCTCCACGCAATGCGAGACCGTCGTCTGCTGCCGTGTCTCTCCTGCCCAGAAGGCGTTGGTCGTCAACTTGGTCAGCTACTCATCCGGACTCTGAGCGTCTGAAATGTGACTGATGCTTCGTACAGGTCAAAGAGGGCCGCAACGCTATGACGCTTTCAATCGGTGATGGAGCGAACGACGTCGCTATGATCCAGGAGGCGAACATCGGGTGCGGTCTGCTCGGATACGAGGGTTCGCAGGCAGCGATGTCTGCGGACTACGCATTCGGCCAGTTCCGTTTCTTGACGAAGCTGCTCCTTGTTCACGGCCGGTGGTCGTACCAGCGCGTGGCGGACATGCATGCCAACTTCTTCTACAAGGTGCGTACCCACGTGCAGTCCGTGATCAAGTCATCGTTAACGACACTGTGCAGAATGTCATCTGGACTTTCGCGATGTTCTGGTTCATGATCTTCAACAACTTCGACGCGACGTACCTGTACCAGTACACCTTCATCCTATTGTGCAACCTTGTGTTCACCTCGTTGCCTGTCATCGTGCTCGGAGGTACTTCCTGCGTGTTCGCTCGGTATCGCGTAGTCTGACCGAACTGCTCTAGCCTTCGATCAAGACATCAACGCCAAAGCCGCTCTTGCGTTCCCTCAACTGTACATTCGAGGCATCCGTGGTCTAGAGTACACGAAGCTCAAGTTCTGGATGTACATGCTCGACGGTCTGTACCAGTCCGCGGTGGTCTTCTTCATCCCATACTTCATCTGGCAAGTCGGCATCGCGACGTCGTGGAACGGCCGGACCATCGAGTCGCTTTCGGACTTTGGTACGACGGTGTCCGTTGCCGCCATCATCTGTGCGAACACCTACGTCGGACTCAACACCCATTAGTACGTCCATCCGCTTCCGGCGCTGCTACCATGCAGGACTGACATGCGCCTCACAGCTGGACGGTCATCACTTGGATCATCGTGTTCGGCTCGTCGCTGATCATGCTCGCCTGGATTGCCATCTACTCCCTGTTTGAGAGTTCTGATTTCGTCGACGAGGTCGTTATCCTGTTCGGGGACGTCACCTTCTGGGGCGCGGTCCTCTTGTCCGTGATCATCGCGCTCGGTACGTACCCTCCTCGCGCCGTCGTCATCGCTGTTCTCATCCCTCCCAGGCCCTCGCTTCTTCATCAAGTACTTCAAGAGCACCTACATGCCTCTCGACAAGGACATCATCCGCGAGAAGTGGGTGGCCGGCGACCTGAAGGACCAGCTCGGCATCACGCACAGGCGTGAGCGCAAAAAGACCACGAAGGCCGAGCAGGCGCCAATGTTCCACAACCCGCACTACCGCTCAGAGTCGGAGCTGAGCCAGCCGGATGAGTACGGCACCCCTCAAGGCTACACTCCGCCGACCGCACACACTCCGAACATGGACGGCTCTCCTAGGACCACCGTTCCCCTTATGGCTGGCGAGTCCCCGCGCCAGCTCGAGGATGGCTACCGATCCGCGAACCCATCCCCCATCCCCTCTCCGAACTCGAACCGGGGGCAGTACACCGCCAGTCCCAACTCACAACGACTGTCGTACTACTCGGCTTCGAATATCCCCCCTCCTTCGCCCCTTCCGGAGTCGAACCAATTCCATCCCTATACCCACCACTCGTCAGCACGGAATACAGCCTACGGGTCAGAACCGCACATGTCCGCCGTGTCCCACACGTCCGTCACGTACAACGGACCTCCCTCTCCACACCACAACAACTACATGACACCACCTGGGTCCGCGACACTGCAAGTGCCCGGAATCCGCTCACCACAGCGCTCGCCGACGACGCCTCCAGAGCAGTTCGAGATGCGCGTACGGTCGCCGCCGCACTCAGGAGAGCAGTGGGCAGGATACCCGCAGGAGGGGCAGCGGACGCAGCCGGACCGTCTCTCGCCGATGGGCCAGGGCCTGCACACGCCGATGGCGACGGAGGACTCGTACGCGACGGCGCGGACGGGCTCGGACGACGACGCGTACGACGGCTTCGACGTCGTGACGCCCGTCGCCCCTCCACACGCGCACACGCACGAGCAGCAGCAGCAGACGCAGACGCAGGCGCAGGATGGCTCGTGGCGGAACAGTACGTTCTCGTACTCGGGCCCGCACGCGATATAGCCCGTTCTTGTTGGTCTCGTTGGGCTCTGTGATGTGAGTGCGTGTGTTGCGACTTCTACTACTTAGTACTTAGCTCCGCTCGGACTCGGTGTGTATGCGCTCGCGAGCTTGGTCGTGGCGGGACTGGATCGCGTGAACGGACGGTTTGTTGGCACCCTTTACCCCTTCCCTCTCGCTTTATTTATCCTTGCTTGTATCGCTGCTCTCGGTCGTCTCGCCCCCTTCCCCCTTCCTGCCCACCGCGCCCCGGCACCTGCGACCGCGCGCCTCCCGCGCGCTCGTGCATGTCGTCCTTCCTTTCGTCCCCGCTTCGTTCGTGTACGCGCACGGTGCTGGGTCTCGTCCGATCCTTTTTAGAAGTAGTAGAACACGAACATCGTTAAACTGACTTATTGTGCATAATGACACTGTATACGCCACGCCTCTCGCCGACTGCGACCCTTAAACTCAGAGGAATGAGCTCGCCGGCCGCCACGATATTCTGAATTAGACGGCGCAGTGGTAACCGACGCGCGCCGTGCTGTCGGAGTGCTTGCGTGTACATACTGCCTTCACGGAAGGCGCGTGTGCGCGCGCACCATAGCGAGAGTCGCGCGTGAGCTCGCGCGGAGGCGGCGTTATCGTGCAACGGATACGTTTTGGGCGAGGATGGGGCCGGGCGAGGATGCACTCACGTCACGTGCGTTAGGGACGGTTGGACGATCGAGCCTACCCTTGCCCTTTTCCCTTACTCCTTTCCATCTCCCCCTCCCCCTTTGCATTCCTTACTCAGACTGTGCCCATTGGTCATGGAGCCTTCCGACACCGGGTAGCCAAGCCTTCTCCCCAACCGCCGCTTGCCGCTTGACAAGCCACTGCGACGAAGACAGGCCCACACCAAGCCCAAAGCGGACGGAATACCCTCACCATCAACTCACGTAGTCTCGCCAACACCGACATTGACGTTCAGCCCACCGCCCTGATCGCTCGAGATCTCATGTTGGAGAGGTCGTCCAAATGTACCAAGCCGCTGACTCTCGACGAGTTCATGCGCACCTTGATGCCCGAGTTCGACGAGAGGGACTTTGACCAGGTGTTCCCCTCAAGAGACATCGGGAACATCAGGCGCCGCTTCCATCGTAGGCTCAAGAACAAAGACCACACGGACAACTTGAATGTGGTTGAGAAAGACGTGAGCGCTGCCTGGGTACGTCTCCTCGCTCGTCGTCGTCGGCTCGTATCTTATGCAAACAGGCAAGCATCAACAAAGACCATCCTCTTTGCCCCGGATCCGTATTTGGCCTCTCCGAGGACCACGCCGACGTAGGAGAGCCGGCCGGGTCGAAATGCCACGGCTACTTCATTCACGAGCGCGACGAACACTCCATCAAAGAGAAGCGGCCCAACTGGGACTACCACCGCTTCACCGTCGAGTTCAAGCGCGGCGGGACCCAGAACGATCCTTGGGACGACGACAAGACGTACAACCCCGAGTCGACTGCTGTCTCGCGTAAAGTTGTCCGCGGCCAGCTCTCCTCCTACGCCGACCTCGTCTTCAAGCACCAACACCGCCTCTTCCACTTCATGCTCCTCGTCAACAGCGCTCGCTTCCGCATTCTTCGCTGGGACCGGTCCAGGATCGCGGTAAGCGAGGCGACCGACTACGCCAAGGGGGTCCCCGGCACTCGACAGCTCTTTAGGGTCCTCTACGCGCTCTCGATCATGACAGACAAGCAAGCCGGATACGACCCCTCTGCTTTCCAGCTCAAGCCTGGCTCGTGTGGGTGGGAGCGGATGAGCCACCTGGGCGACCCCACCAAGCACGCGTCCGACGTCGACCACGCTGAGCGTTTTGACTTTGCCGACCCCGACAAGACCACCTACCCCGAGAACCTCTACCATCCTCAAGACGCTTCTCATCACTCGCTGTTTGACACCGGCGGGATCTACAGCGACCCGAGGGCAAAGGTGACGTCGAACGCGCCGTGGGCCGACTGCGTCGATCTCCCTACATTCCAGTATATCCGGGCCAAGTTTAAGGCTTCCATTAGCGGCGATCGCCCTCGATACGTGTTCATCATCAACGACAGGTACTACCTCGTTGGTTTCGCCGAGTTTGCGGCGTTGGGTCCGATCGGGCGGGGTACGCGCGGCTTCGTCGCGCTGGAGTGGCACACTCAGCGGTTCGTGTGGGTCAAGGATTGCTGGCACCCGTTCTACGCAAACACCGCAGTGGAGGGCGACATTCTCAAAGAGCTCAACGAGGATGGCATCGAGAACGTGCCGACGTTGGTGGCGTACGAAGACTACGAGGGCGAACACCAGGTGACGTGGGAGTCCGAGCACAGCGGTCACCTGGCTGAAGCCGGGTCGACGTCGACCACGGAGCGTCCGAAGGCGCCTCTCCCCACCAGCACTCGCACCCGGCCGCCGCACTCCCCGTCGCCCGCGCCGAAGCCACATGTGTACAAGCAGGCCCAGCCGGCCCAGCCTTCGACGTCCTCTTCGGCGCAAGGACCCTCCTTCCCCTCCCTTGCGGCGTCGTCTGGTCAGTCTGGCGTCAAGCGTCTCCACGGGCAGGACGAAGCCAAGACATCTACACTGGTCGCGCTGCCTGACTACGTCCCCGGCCCTCGCCACATGCGTCATTGCCGTCTCGTCGTCGCCGAGGTGTGCTTGAAGCTGACAACGTTCGAGTCGTCTCAGCAGCTGGTGCGAACTATCTACTGGGCGTTTCGTGGTGAGTATTTCCCCAGTCTGCCCGCGTGCCAGAGTGAGCTCACCGCGGTCATCGCAGCGCATGCACAAGCATATAAAGTCTCCAAGGTCCTACACCGTGATGTGAGCGCGGGCAACATCCTGATGTACCCCAGGATCTTCCACGCGGAGAGCAAGACTGCGTGTCTGAGTCGCGGTATGCTCTGCGACTGGGAGATGGCCAAGAAGATCACGGTTTCGGACGTATCTCAGCCCGAGCGCGCTGTGAGTCGTTTCGATGTCGCGTGTCGCACTTTTCGCTAAGGACGTTCGCAGGGAACGTGGCCTTATATGTCGGTCATGTGCCAGGACAATGCATCGTTGGGGCCGAAGGTCGGAGACGAGGCCGAGTCCTTCCTCCACGTCGTCATCCGCCAAGGCCTCCGCTTCGTGAACCACAATTGGTCGAAGGTCGACGTACACCAGTTCTGCCTGCAGTACTTCGAAAGCCACGCCGGAATCCGGAGCCACATGCGGTCGAGCCCGTTCAAGAAGGAGTGCATCCGTGACGGCGTACTTTACCATCCCACCGGAATCCTCGGTCGTCTCGAGTTTACCGCGGTTGGTGACGACGGCGGCGCGGCGGTACACCCTCTCAACGAGCTCGTCCAACTTCTCCTTAACCTGTGCTCCGCCCGGTTCGCGGTCCACCTCTACGAGGTCAAGCTCGCGGAGTACAAGTCCGCAGTGTCCCGACCTGCGGCCCAGGTCGTTTCACAGACCACTCAGTCGACTAGCCTCTTCGATCTGATTGACGAGGACGAGGACGAGGACGAAGAGGATGTCGTCCCCTTCAAAATCAAACCCCCCTCTGAGCCGAATTCTGACGTCAAGGCCCTTGCTGCTCTGCTTGACGATAGCGGGCGTGTCTTGAACCAGCTGAGGCGGTTCGCGTTCCCTCGGAAGAACAAGACGGGTGCTCTAACGTGGACGTGGCCGGCCAACGACAGGAGCGCGGAGGACGCGCTCATCGGGTACAATGCGTACGCTGACTTCCCGCTTCCGGTCGCCACTGGGTCGAAGCGGACGTCGGTCAAGGCGCGGAAGACGTCGCAGGTGCAGTCGGCGGGTGCCGCTCACTTGTGTAGCTCGGAGTAGACGTTGATGGACTGGGTGCCATAAAAACGGTTTGGGTGGACTGTGTAGCGTATCTCATCTGCGTGTATATCGCCGCTCGTGTTTCATTCGTTAGCGACTTTGGAACCATGCATACGGTTGTAATAATAATTCTTCATGACGACGTGCTCCTTGTCGTTCATACTGAGCAGTATTTGCTTCACCGCGAGATCGCTGGGAAAGAGCATTCAGAGATCCAGCCGGAGAGCCCGTAGCGCGATTAACCAAATGAGGAGGATGCCTGTAAGTACGCGGGGGGAGCGCGGGTCGTGAGTGACATCGCGATGGGGGCTGGGGGGGACCGAACCTCTTATGGCCTTCATGTTACTACGCCAGCAAGGTACTGGGGGCGCACGATACGGCTCGGAGATGGTAACGGGAGACAAAACGTGTAAAGCCCGCGACCAAGGGCGGCTCGCGGCCATGGCCGGGATTGTTCGGACCGGCCCCGGCAGAGACCGACTCTGGAAAGCGCCGCGAACTTTTCTGCTGAGCGCTAGCCCTGACGCTGAGGGCAGTCGGCCTCTCTCTCTCCCTCTCGGACTAGTTTCCTGACCCCGGCCCCTCTGCGCCGGAAGCCAGTGTCAACGTCAGTACCGCTCTGGTATATAAATGGGATTGTCTCTAGCCAGTGTCTCGGGCTTTCGGTGCTCTCTGGATCCGCGACCGTTTCCCGGAATCTTAGAAACAACCCTCTACCCATGACTGTCAAACCCTGCGCCCAGGGTAAGTACGTACTTGGTTTGTTTATGGGACATCGTAACGTCTCGCGTCTACGAGCCGATTGATGCTCACTATATTCGTAAGGCCAAAGGGCTGCCACGTGCTACGCGGATGGGACGCTCGTTAAGTTTTTCAATGACCAACAACTCATCCACTGCAGCCTCGACCAATGCTGCTGTATTACGAGGTAATGTGTATGGTATTCAGTGTGTTCAGACGTGTGGCGGCCTCAGGTTCCACATCCGACCGAACCCCATCGCCTCGACCCGAACAGCTAACGACAGCGCTCGTCTCCAACATGTACACTCAGCATGCCCTATGCCCAGGCCGGGGATCCCATCGGACTTTCTCCGTCGAGCCCTCCCGTCGAAGCCGCTCGTTTCACACTAAATACCATCTCCACGCACCGTGCGTTGCCACGGCCCGACGACCTCCCTGTGCCCATACCCTCCCGGACCCTGGCGACACGACTCACGTCTCAAGATGGTGACTTCCCTAGGGTATGTCCTCCAGTCTTCAACGACGATCGCTGGTGACGATCTCCCGCATTGCCAGTGTCTGGGGCGACGAACGCGTCGTGCCTCTGTATGGCGCATGCGCCTCCGTTCTTGCCTTCGTGGTCCAGTTCGTCCATCTGCGCCGATCTCCTGAAACGTCGAAGGACCCCGTCACCGCACTGGGACGCTCTGATGACGAAGTTGTGAATAGTCGTCCGGGATATCGTAGCGCGTTCGGCCACGTCGTCGACTACAACGGGGGCACCACCAGATTTTCCCTGAAGATAGCGCGCTTGGTTTGCTGCGTCGCGCTCGCCACTTTCTCAGCCGTGCCCCTCGTTCGTGCGCACTTCGAACAGCCACTCGTTCAGTGGATCGAAGGTGTGCACTGTGGCCTATACGTGAGCTCTTTTCCCCAAGTGTCCCCGCGCGAACATACGCTGAACACAATTCTTCTAGGTTTACGCCTCGGCACTTTCTCTGGGCGATATTTTGTCTCGCAGTCGCAGCTCGACATTCTCCGCTCACTTGGTATTAGTCCTCTTGCTCCCCTTCTTCGTCTCCGTGTACCGCAACATCATCCCCCTCTTCATCCGCGGTGGAGCGCCCGCTGACGCAGCGGAAGGCGCATTCCTCTGGGCCAAGCTCTTGCTGTTGTTCGAAGCGAGCGTTTTGATCCCGTCGATCGTGCCTCAGTATGACCCCGCCATTGTGAGTGCTACGTCTCGTCCTCTGGGCCGTGAGCTAACGGAGCATGCCTCAGACGCACCCTAACGAGGAGCAGCAAGCTTCTCTACTGGCGTTTGTGATGTTTTCATGGCTGGACAGCACCGTGGCGAAAGCGGCCCAAGTCTCGCATCTGTCCATCGACGACCTTCCTACATTATCTGCCGGGAATACTGCGAAGGAGTTGGTGGAGCGTAGTTTCAAGGTACGTTTTCCTGATTTTCAGGCTTAGAAGAAGGTTGTGAAGCGTTATGCAGTACGTCGACCCCTTCAATACGGGCACGGATAGCCATATCCTTTGGGGTTTCTTCAGGTTCTATCGTGGGTCGCCATTCAGTTTTGTTGTGTGTACCTTATGCTCACGGCTCACCAAGGCAAAGACTTCGTCATCTGCATGCTCTTATCCATTGCGGGGGTTTGTACATATCGTATGATCTGCGGTATCATATCTAATTTCTACGTACTTAGGGGATCTTACCACTGGGCACTCCGATTGCCATTCAAAACTTATTGATGTGAGACCCCCGGCTCTTGAGCCTGTCGCTCCGCTCACATTAGGTCTATCAGCGTGCTCGAGACAAACGGAGCGGACTCTAAATACGAGCCGTGGATGTGGGTCTTGTTCTTGTTTGTCAGCGCTTCCCTCTACACACTCGCCGACCAATGGTATCTCTGGATTACAGTAAGTTCATCACCATATAGTACTCATCCTGGATCTTCTACGATTTGATCGACTATGATAGCATCGCCAACATGTTACGACGCAAGCGATCCTCACCGAGCTGATTTTTCAACATGCGCTCCGTGCTCGCGTGAAGGCCGAGACTACGCGCGACGCTGAAGACTCATCGTCGCCTGATGGGAGGAACGGCAAGGAGAACCTCAGCGGACGGCTCAGTAACCTGGTCACGAGCGACCTGGAGAACATCCGACTCGGGAACATCTTCTGGATGCACACCTGTGAGCACGCGATTTCCCTGTGAGTCGTGGCATGGGATTGATATTTTTGACACAGTGGTCAAGTGGCCGTTACAGTGTGTCGTAGCTATCGTTCTCATCTACCGCATCCTGGGATGGAGGTACGTGTTCGAAATACTGCACATGATGGTGAATTCCACGCCGATGCTCTGTTCCACAGCACTTTTGTTGGACTCGGGGCGATGATTGCGATGATCCCCTTGCCCACCTACCTCAGCACGTACGTGCGCAAGTACCAAGCAGTGATGATGGCCAAGATGGATGCCCGCGTGCAGCTAATCAGCGAAAGTAAGTAACTTCCCTGCATCATATCGCTCCTGCACAAGTACTGATGCAATGGGTGGACAGCCTTGGGCGTTGTCCGGATGATCAAGCTTTTCGGATGGGAATCTCGCGTTGCAGAGCAGATTGCGGAGCGCCGGCAGGAGGAGCTCGTTCAGCTCAGGAAGACGCGGATGGTGGAGATGATCAATAACGTTTCAACGTGAGTCCAGCCATAGTCGAGCTCTAGGACGATCTCACAAGATGCTTCAGATTCAACATACCACTGCTCTCCATGATCGTCACGTTTGTCAGCTACGTAAGTTCGTATCTTCCTGTTCATCATGCTGAGTGAGCTGAGCTGGCACTCCAGACGATCTTACAGAAGGGCGAGCTGACGCCGTCGCGTCTATTCCCTGCGCTTTCCGGTTGGTTGTGCCGTCTATGGATATTGTGTTATTCCCTCATTCGCTCCCGTTAGGCTTTTTAATGATGCAATACCTGCAGCTCATGTTCAACAGCCTCCCAGCTGTCCTGCAAGGTTCGTCGTTGGTACCCTGCAGCCAACTGCCTCGCAGTCTTACTCAGAGCATTCGCACAGGCAAAATCTCCATTGACCGCATCAACAACTTTCTGCACACAGTCCGTATCATCGTGCCGCACTCCAGCGCGACAGCCGCTCACTGACCTTCCATCCTGCCAGACCGAGCTTCTCGACGAATTCGAGCACCCTCCAGTCACCGGTGACGACGCCTTCGCTGCCCCCGCCGACGCCGACATCGACATCGGGATCAGCCACTCCGTCTTCACCTGGTCGACTTCCGTGCCTGGCAGCGGCGCCCAGACCCCGGTCGATCCCTCCTCCCCCGCTCCGCGCAAGTTCGCCCTCCGGATCGACGAACCGCTCCGCTTTGAGCGCGGGGCGATCAACCTCATCGTCGGGCCGACCGGGGCCGGGAAGACGTCGCTGCTCATGGCGCTCCTCGGCGAGATGCACGCGCACCCGTCGGCACCAGGTCTTGGTACGTGCGTGAGGCTACCGAGGGAGGGTGGCGTCGCGTACGCTGCGCAGGAAAGCTGGGTCCAGAGCGAGACTATCCGGGTACGTCGGCCGCTGCTTTCCGGAAGAGGTGTACGTGCAGGCGCTGACGGGGAGACAGGACAACATTCTGTTTGGATCGACGTTTGACGAGGTCAGGTACGACAAGGGTGGGTCGCTAGCTGGGCGGGCTCGTGTGCGTTGGTGTTGTACTGACGCACAAAACAGTGATCAAGCAGTGCGCGCTCGAGCGTGATTTGGCTCTCTTTGCTGCGGGCGACAAGACGGAAGTCGGGGAGAAAGGGATCACGCTCAGGTTCGTGGTTGTGCCGTTGAATTCAGAATTTACACATGATGAGTTGATGGTCTGCACTGTTATAGTGGGGGGCAGAAGGCTCGGATTACCCTCGCGCGCGCGGTGTACTCGAAGGCGGAGATCTTGCTCCTCGACGATGTGTGCATCTGCCTGTCTCTTTGACTCTCCCGGATGTCTATAAAACTCAAAACACAGGTGCTTGCGGCTCTCGATGTACATACATGCCGCTGGATCGTCAATCAGTGCTTCAAGGGAGAGCTCCTCCGCGGCCGTACCGTGATTTTGGTCGTACGTCGGCTTTCTTGCTCGTGCAGTCCTCTCACTCATGACCTCGCGTGTCAGAGTCACAACGTCGCTCTCACACGTCCTGTCGCCAACTTTGTTGTCGCACTTGGGCCGGATGGGCGCATCGCCAGCCAAGGCTCCCTCGACAAAGTGTTCGAAGAAGACAAAGAACTGATGGAAGAGCTCGAGGCGGAAGTGGGGGATCTCGCCAAAGTAGACCAAGAGGTCGACCGTTCACCAGTGGAAGAAGCGTCGATTGCCGTTGATGAGGGAAATCTGGTCATTGCCGAGGAAGTCAGCAAAGGGGGCGTGGCGTGGAGCGCAAGTGAGTGTTTCACGCTCCGGTCGCTGGCGATTGTCTGACAGTGGTTTCAGTGAAGTTGTACTTCGGGAACACTTCGAGTGTACCGTGGTTCTTCTGGCTTATGTATCCGCTCGCGTTCGTCATAACGCATTCTATGTTGAATCTACAAGTAAGCGTGTTGGATTAACGCGCTGATAATATTGTTGACTTTGCATAAATCGCAGCAATGGGAGCTTGGATTGTGGGCATCGCAGTACGAGACTCACGACCGAAGCGAGGTCCGTGTTGGACTGTGAGTCGTTCTTCAGACATCGTTGTGCATCAACTAACTTGATATGGTCATGATTCAGCTATGCTGCGTTGTATCTTGCGATCCTCGTGACACAATGCTGCATCTATGCCATCGGTTGGTACTGGGGCACAACAGGGTCGCTTCGAGCCTCCAGGATTGTTCACCAGCAGCTCGTTGGCCCGGTGCTTGGTACCACATTGAGGTGCGCGACTTCTGACTGCGCTTACTGACGTCCGGCCGTTGACACGCTATCCAGGTGGCTCGACATGACACCCACGTCGCGAATTATAACGCGTTGCACGACTGACATCCAGTCCAGTACGTCATATTGCTCTTGCTCTCCCCGTGGCTTCACTCACACTCTCTGGTACCGCTCAGTGGACAACTCCATCTTCCGCTCCTTCCACATGTTCCTCGAGCACACCTTCTACATTGTCTCTAAGCTCGTCGCCGTCACGATCATCATCCCGCTCTTCTTTTTCCCAGCGGCGCTCATATTCGCGATCGGAGGCTGGTACAGTGCGAGCTACATGCGTGCAGAGCTGCCCATCAAGCGTGAGATGAGCAACGCGCAAGCGCCTGTTCTGGGGCACTTCGGCAGTGCTATCGCGGGACTCGGTGTGTGTTCCTGGCTTCTCACTCGCTGGATATCGAAAGAGGGTTCGCTGACCAAGGCGTTGTCACAGTGTCCGTTCGTGCCTACGGCGCTCAGGAGTCTTTCAAGCTCGAGTCATACAGGCGCATCGATAACTACAGCCGGGCTGCTTTCCCTTTCAGTGCACTCACCCGGTATGTGGCTCGCGACTAGACTAAGTCACGCCGCTCACACGTTCTCGCAGCTGGGTTACGGTGCGCGTCAACGTACTTGGGACAGCTCTCACCACTGCGCTTGCAGCGTACTTGACGTATTCTGCCTCTATCGGCGCTGCCAATAGCGGCTTCTCTCTGTCCATGGCTTGTACGTCTTTTCTTGTCTGCTGCGCACGTTGTGCCTCACACGGTTCGGCAGCGGAGATTTCCAGGCGTATCTTTTTCTGGTTTTTGGCCCTTAACGAGTTCCAAGTTTCAGGTTCGTCTCCTCACATGTGAAGGTTCTGAAGATTACCTGAAGCTGTCTGTCTCTACAGCCAACAGGTCGGTCGATCGGCGACGTGACGAGAACATAGTGCTGACGATGGCTGTAGCCTAGAGCGCATTCAACAGTACTTGGTCATAGAACAGGAGCCAAAGGCAACCGAGGCTGGCGTTCCGCCTGCGTACTGGCCTGCGAGCGGCGAGTTACGGGTCGAGAAACTGTCTGCGCGGTACACTCCGGACGGACCGAAGGTCTTGCACGATCTATCATTTGAGGTCAAGTCTGGGGAACGCATCGGTATCGGTCAGTACGCATTTCTCATGCAAGTCGTGAGTCGTTCCTGACGCACTTTCATGCCCAGTTGGCCGCACAGGCAGCGGAAAGGTGAGGGTTCCTGAGGCCTGAGGAACGAGAGTCCGGGCATCGTGGTGACTAACGCGATCTCTCAGAGCTCGCTTACCCTGTCCCTTCTCCGCTGCATCTACACCGAAGGCAAGGTCTTCTACGACGGCCTCGCTACCGACACTCTCAACCTCGACGCGCTCCGGTGCAACATCACCATCATCCCCCAAGTGCCCGACCTGCTCCGCGGCACGCTTCGCGAGAACCTCGACCCTCACGGCCAGCACGACGACGTGACGCTGAACGACGCGCTGCGCTCGGCCGGGCTCTTCGCTCTGCAGGAGCGCGTCGCGTTGAGCCTGGGCGGCGAGCACGCTCAAGGTGCGGAGAGCGGGCGGATCACCCTCGACTCGGAGATCGCTGGTGGAGGGGGGAACCTTTCGGTCGGGCAGAGGCAGATTATCGCGCTTGCGCGGGCGATGGTGCGGCGCAGCATGCTGCTCATCCTGGACGAAGGTGCGCGGTCCGCTTTTAGCATACGAACGTCGCGCTCAACAGTCATTTGGTTGGCAGCTACATCTGCCATCGGTAAACCCACATACAAATCCACGCAAGGCCGAAACTGACGCGTCTCGATGCAGATTACGAGACGGGCGCGGTCATCGAGAAGGCTCTTCGCGAAGAGTTCGGAAAGGACGTGACTGTGCTCACGGTCGCGCACCGTCTGCAGAGCATCATGTATTCGGACAAGATTGTGAGGGCATCTTTCTTACGATCTTGTGCCGTGAATTGAAGTGCGTATCACGTTTTTAGATGGTTCTCGACGCGGGACGCATTGTGAGTAGACGGTCATAACCTGGCTCTTCGTCTCCAGACCCTTACTTCCTTCGCGCAGGTTGAGTTCGACAGTCCGAGTGCCCTGCTGAAGCTGCCAAGTGGTGGGTACTTCCGCGGGCTCGTAGACGAGAGTATGGATCGAGCGGCGCTTTACGCGATGGCCGGAATGTCCGTGGAATGAGACATATTGTGAGGTATATAGGTGCCGCATGTGACGCACCGGAGTACCCCGGGTTTTCAAAACCCTCCTAGTTTCATCCCATCCGAACGCTTCATGCCCCTCCGTGAGCTTGCAAGCCTGCAGTCCGGCACCGCTCGGGCCGGGGAAGGCATCGGCCCGGGTTCGGGACATGATTGTCACCTCAGGTACTACGGAGCTGTATCTTGCATGCTTCAAGCTTCAATTCTCTCTCTCTCTCTCCTGCCATTACTCTTCGCAGTTCTCCGCTTTCTCGCCCCTCGTCTGCGCACTGCCGATATCCTGCTCCCATGACTCGCCCACCGAAACACGCCGCTCCAGAGTCCAGCGACGACTCCGACGCCCCCGAGACCGTTCCCTTCGACTCGTCCGCCCCGATGTAGGCCTTCCGCGGCGCGCAGAGGCGGAAGGCAAAGGCGGAGAAACGCGCGCTCGACGCAAAGCTCAAGGCGCGCGCGACCGTGGACGGAGGCACGGAGAACAGGTGCTCGGGGAGGTAGTTGCTTTTCGCAGGTGCAGGCTCTTCGTCCTCGCTGTCTTGCTCTGGATCGTCCAGGTCTGCGTCCTCTTCACTAGAGAGCCCAGAGATCGCCCAAGCGCTCCGAATCGTCACCCGAAAGGCCGTCGTCGTCGTCCTCTGCCACAGCGTGCAGTGCATTCTGCCGGCATCATCAGGTTCTGTGTTCCTGGCAAGCTCTCAGTCCTGAAATGCGTCCCATAGCCCATCTGGCATTCGCACCCTGCCTCCCCCTTCCTCCCATCACCTCCTTGCGCCTTGCACGGCGTCCCACCCACCATGCGCATGTGCAAGGCCGCACGCAACGTTGAAACCCCCGACCCCCTCACTGCTGCCCTCCAGCCCCCGCCCGACGAGACTCCTGCCGAGCGCCGAGCTCGCGAGCATGCGGAAGCACAGGCACGCCGGGTCAGCGACCAGATCGACTCAGAGCTCACCGCAGAGCGGCTCGCGATGAAGCGCAAGCGGCCGGTCAAGCTCCTCCTCCTCGGCCAGAGCGAAAGCGGCAAGTCGACGACGGTGAAGAGTGCGTGCTCTCCATGACCTCCCCGATCGGCCCGCGTCGTTGAGATTCTGACTTTTACCTTTCTTCGTCGACCCCCCGCTCCGCGCATGTCCCCCGTGCAGACTTCCAGCTCGCGTACGCGCGGTCGTCCTTCCTCGCGGAGCGTGCCGCCTGGCGCGCCGTCATCCACCTCAACCTCGTCCGCTCGGTGACGACGATCATGCGCGTCCTCGCTAAGGAGCTGCACGGTGATCTCCCGACCGATGAGGATGATGCGCTTTCGATCGGCGAGGACGACGAGGACATCGACCAGGCGTCGTTCAACCCCCCTGTTGCGTCCAGCCCGTTCAGCGACTTCCACCACTCACTTCTCCAGCGCCTCGCGCCCCTCTGTCGCGTCCAGCGCACGCTTGAGAAGATTTTAGGAGCCGCGTCCGGACAGGAAGTCGACAGTAGCGGCGCGGGGGACGCTGTTGCGCCGTGGACCGCGGGCAACGCGTCACGCCCGAAGGAGTTTGTGGTCACCAGCCGGAGCGGGTGGAAGTCTGCGCTAAGCAGAGTCGGCGGCGGACGAGGGAGCATCGACGAACCTCGCCAGGTACGTGCCAATCTGCGCCCTCGCGCGTTCGCTCTGGCCTCATTCCACCCGGGACTCCTTGTTCGCGGCGTACAGCCCCGCCGGTCGTCACTCGCGAGCAGGTCGTCAAACGTCGGCCGGGAAGATGAGGAGCCGGACGAGACGGACGAGCTCCCGATGGTCCAGGAGGCGGCGGATGTGATTGCTGCCTGCGCGGAGGACATGTGGGCACTGTGGCAGGACCCGGACGTGCGTGCGCTGCTCGACCAGCGGGGGATGTGGCCCGACGAAGGCCCTGGCTTGTGAGTACTCCGTCATTCTCTCGCTGTATGCGCCCTGGGGTGGAGCTGCGAGTGGTCTATGCGACGTGCTGACGCGCCAGGCAGCTTCCTCGACGATGTCCGGCGAATCACGCAGTTCGACTACGAGCCGTCAGACGACGACGTCGTGCGAGCACGGTTGAGGACCATGGGCGTGCAGGAGCACAGGTTCGTCTTCGAGAGGGGTATATGATGTCTGTCCTTTCAGTACCTCGTGGCCCGCGCTCATCACCTTCCCGTCGTACAAGGCTTGGAAACCGAGCGCGAGTGGCTGATTTACGACGTCGGCGGCGCCCGCTCTCTCGTAAGCCACAATTTGCCTCCGACCGCGCTGGACCCCATACCTGACCTCTTCTCTCCCTCTCGCAGCGACACGCATGGTACACGTACTTCGACGACGTCAACGCCATCATCTTCCTTGCGCCGATCAGTTGCTTTGACGAACAGCTCGCGGAGGACCGACGTGTGAACCGTTTGCAAGACAGCATGGCGCTGTGGAACGCCGTCTGCTCTATGCAGCATCTGGCGCACGTGAAACTTATTCTCGTGAGTCTTCATTCATGCAATTTAACCAGAGTATGAACCTCACACCCAGCATCCATCCACAGTTTTTGAACAAGTATGATCTTCTGCAGAAGAAGCTCGCCCGCGGGGTCCGCGTATTCGACTACGACCTCGCATACGGCGAGCGCATGAACGACGCTGCTACTGCGGCTGAGTGTACGTCGCTGCCTCCTGTGTTATCAGTCCGGCGATTGCTGACATGTGGACGTGGTACAGACTTCAGGCAAGAGTTCAAGGATATACTTGTCAAGTACTCTCCCCAGCGGCGCGGGTTCTACTCGTATCTCACATCCGTCGTAGTATGTGTCTTCTCTTCCGTCATTTCCCCCCTTCTCTTCCTTTGTATCCGGGGCAGCCCGGAGCCTTGTGCGTTCACTTCGCTATGATCCGATCGCGCACTTTCAGTTCTTACGGGGGCGCCGGGACGGTGCGCCCGTTCCGATCGCCGTCACCCCCAACCCTGCAGCTCTGCAGGACGTGAGCTAACTTTCTGACAGGACACGAAAGCGACTGCGATCCAATTCGCTGCTGGTGCGTACCTACCCGCTTCACCCATGACGCCACCTTTATGCAACGCGCATTTTTCTCCCACCCGCAGTTCGCGAAGCCATCCAGCGGAACCATTTCCAGGCCGTTATCTGTCTCTAAACATTTTGAAAATCACATTTGTTCATGTGAAACGTGATCAAGTCTGTGTCGCTGCGCGGACTTGATTTTGTTGTAACCATTCTCATCAATTGCGGAGATGCTTTGAGACTTAACTCGGATGCTTGGACTACGAGAGCACGACAGGAAAACCAGATACATGTCTCGAACATGCGACCGTCCGCGTCGAATTCAATCCACCTTGCACAACCATCTCCTCGTATTCGGACGCGGGTTCGTCCGCCCGCTCGGCGACGCCGGCGGCACTACGACCTCGACTCGCTGCAGCACCTGCGCCCACTTCCTGTCCGTCCTCGCCCCGATGCCAAACTAGCCCATCTCGATCTTCACCTCCCTTTCGCCTTGCCCCAGTACTACCACATCTGCACCCCGAGGACGACGTGCAGCGTGAAGTCGGCACTGAGGCACGGGTTCCCGACCTCGGCCGTGCTGGTGAAGAGGCGGGCGATGTAGCCAGCGAACGCGAACGTGGAGAGCTGGCTGGTGCTCCGCGCGCGGTCGTTCTGCCGGAGCTGCGGCAGAGGGGGGGCGTCGCGAGCTGGCACGCCGCGAGCGCGCCGGGGGGCACGACCGCGGGCGCGCAGGCCGGGATGCTCGTGAGAGACGGCGGGGGATGTAGTGCACAATATTGAGGAGGATGAGAATATTCTGGAGGGTGAGGAAGAATTTGTGGCAGCAATGGCGGGGCGCGTGCCATGACCGCTCTGGTCAAGCGGACATGCACAGCACGTCCATTCGGATGTGCTCACGACGGGGAGGCACGCAGTCGGGACCTGGGTAGGGGGTGGGCGAGACAAAGAGCAGAGGGACGGGACAGATTCACCGGGCAAGAGCGGGCCCACGGCACATCGCCGCGGATCCGAGACTCCAATCTCCATGTCGAGAACGTTGCTGTCGGGATCAAGTCGGGATGTTAAGGGGACGGCGGTGGGTGACAACGGTGTGGAGAGCGCGGATTTGTGTGGACGAAATGGGCGGTGCAGGCGAACACGAGGGGGAGAATGGCGGCGCGAGCAAGATCGAGAGGGCAAGACACGGTGGTTGGGGGTCGAGGGGCTCGGGGCTCCTTTCATAAGTTGCCAAGTCTGTGCTGCATTTCGAGAAGGAAGAGATTACATATATTTGAAGGTTGGATAAGTGTGGGACAAGTATCCCAAAACGGCCGATAAGTCCGTTACCCTGAGAAATTGTGGCGCGTTGAACGCGACAACGGCGTTGTTCGCGGCGGCTGGCGCCTTTCCTTCCCCCTCTTCCTCACTGTCGCCTCCTGCGACCTCACCGCGATGGACGACGAGCAACGCCGTCAAGATGACTGGGCCAAGGACCGCAAGAACCGCCTCCCCACATTCACCGAAGTTCTCTCCCGCCGCACACGCCCACCAGTCGATCTCTTCATGTTCTAGTCCGTTGCCAGGCTGCTTTCCCACTCTCCGCACGCTGACCCCCTGCAGTCTTTTTCTCCAGCGTGAAGGCGCGGAAGACATACTAGACTTCTGGCTCGACGTTCAGCAGCATGAGAACCTCTGCCGCGCATATTTCAAAGACGTTCGCAAGTCGGGGCGTGCGATCCGGGAGGATTGGCCGGAGTACTGGGACTATGCACGGAGACGGGGCTCCATCTACGGTACCGTCGTTGGTCTCAATCCGCAGACGGGCACGAAGAGGAGCACGGCGAGCACGGGCGAGATGATGTCCGAGCACGACAGGCTCAACCTGGGCGACGAGAAGGCCGCTCGCAGCCCCAGCCCCCGCATTACCTCTGTCTCCCCAGGGGTCACTGCTGTCGGCACGACGGAGCCTCCACGGTCCACGACCCCGTTCTCGCTCTCCGGCCGGACCCCGACCCTCTTCAAACGCGCCTCCCGCGCCCCGACCATCATCCCCCGCTCCCAGGCGATCACCCGCCAGGACCTCGTCGCATCCGCGGAGCGCATCTACTACCGCTACCTCTCCCCCGCCGGTACCGCGCCCGGCTCGAACGAGAACCACGAGATCTACCTCCCGCCCGCGCTGCGCATCCACTCCTTCCCTCTCTCGAGCACCCACGAGCCCAAGTCGCAGAGCGAGGTCGCCATCATGGCCCAGATCCCGGACATGTTCCACTCCCAGAAGGAGTACTGCTACCGTGCGATGGAGCAGGACGCCTTCCCGCGCTTCCTCCGCGCAAAGGCGTTCGGGAACCTCACCCCCGTCTCCGCCCTCGTCCGCCTCGTCGCCGGCCTCGTCACGCTCTGGATCGGCCTCGCCGCCGGTTTCTCCCTCATCTTCCTCGACGTCCAGCCCAAGTCCAAGCGTTTCTTCGTGAGTTCTCACCCGTCGGCCCTCGGTGCTCCACTGACACCCTCCCCCAGCTCTTCATACCGTACACGCTCGCCGTTCTATTCCTCATCTCGCACCAGTACGAGCTCGACCCGATCCTCGTCTTCTTCGGCCAGTCCGAGTCCACGCCCTTCCGCACGCTGCACATCCGCGAGGCGTACGTCAAGAAGCTCCTCCTCGGGCGCGCGATATGGGTCTCCGTGCTCGTCGCCGCCGTCTCCGTCGCGCTGACGATGATCTTCTGGGCCGTGCCCGGACACCGGCTGTAACGTCGTACGCACTCCGTTTCGTCCTCCCCCCTCATGCGTGTTACGCCCCCGTCCGGTCGCCGTGGTATATGTCTTTTCTTGTGTTGGGCCCAGACTTTGACTCTTCCCCTATGTCGCATCATTACTGCTTAGCTAGTCGTCGCAGTTGTTCGAGTGCCGCGTTTCCGCCTACTTTATACCCTCCTCCTACTCAACCGCTGTCGCTCCTTACCCTCTCCTACGTACAGACTTCCCCACCCCACAGTCTCCTCCCCCACTACCTACCCACCGTCGCATCGCATCGTGCGCCTCCTCGTCTTCACCGAGCACGTTTGGTAACGCAGATGCCATTATGCAAGACCTCGTTGGTGTAGGCTAGTCCTGATACAACGGTCGTGATACCCCCACATTCACGACGCTTGCGCAGCTTCGAGTACGACGTGTTCTGCGTACGTTGCAAGTACGACCTACTACTAATGACCGGCTCGGAAATACTTCTGGGTTCCTACGGGGGTGCCCAGTCGCAACAGGGGTTTTGTGTGCTACGTTTTGTTTGTTTTATTCCCGTTTAACGCCCTCAAGGGCCGAGCCTTATGGGATGCTGTAAGTACATACAGGTAATGCATAGATCATGCGAGGTCTGGCGAGAGAGAGAGAGAGAGAGAGAGAGAGATGGCGAGATATATACATATGGGGCATACGCCCTTCTTGGAGGGCCAGGCGGGCCAGGGGGAGAAGCCAACGTACGAACGATATGATGTGAGTATCAGTAGAGTAGGGCTGGATGAGGTGTAGCAAGAGTGACGCGAACGGGTGCGCGACGTTACCTTCAGTGGCCCGGGATTAGAGTATGTACGACGCTTGGGTTGCTGGCCAGCAACTCCTGGGCCGCTCCCTCTCTCTCCGCTATCCATCTGCCCTAGTCCACATGATCACTCGGGCAGACGGCCTCGAGAGGGTGCCTACGCCGTGCCACGTACATCGTACCCTTGAGCGAGGAGGTCGCGTCCGACTCGCAAAGCTGAGCAGCGGGAGGAGGAGGAGGAGAGTGCGGGAAGTAAGGAGGGAGGGCAAGCGGATGTGGAACGGGGTGTGCGCACGGGAGATCACGATACAGATAGAGTCAAGAGGAAGAGGAAGAGACCGTTCGTGGGTCGCGCGGGGAGCGGCGGCGGGGCGCCGTACACACAGCGCGCGGCTACGAAAGCGTGGTTGGACGTGGTCGGAAGAGCGACAGCCGGTCTGTGGCGTCGATGTACGCGAAGACGTGGTCGAGAGCAGCGGCTTTGGATAGTCCGTAGGTACTCGAGCGTTATGCGTTCGTGGGGGTAGCGAAGGAGGAAGTCGTCGAGCGTTAACTTTCAACGCTTGCCACCGACGGTCCGACGTTCCGTCGGGGCGGAGGAACGTGTCAGCCGCGTACATACCTGTGGGTACCACTGCAGCGTCGAGGTAGAGGCTTTTGACGACCTCAAGTGAGGCGCCATATCGGGTGCCTAACTACTTAAGTCTCTTGGTGGGGGCCGCTGCGTCGAGTAGGTCGGTCGTAGAAGGCATAGAACAAGGATCTCAAATCCGGATTGAGGAAACCAACATACTGGATACATGCCACAGCGCGCGAGCTGGGAAAGAGGCGATACAATGTACAGGCGTAGGGCTACATAGCAACGAAGACCAAGACGAATATCGAAAGGAAGAGCGGTCCCAGAAGGCTCGAGTCGAGTCGCTTCAAAGTTCAAACAAATGTCCACATCTCAGGTCGCCATCCTGCCAGAGGGCAAAGAGGGCGGCGCGGGCGGCGCGAACGCGACCTCGACCTCCCGCGCGAGCCCCGCCCCTCCCAGGAGGAACATGTCTTCCACCGCGAGCGCACGCAGCGCGGGCAGCGCCCCGTACAGCGCCTCGAACGCCTCCGCCGGCGCGTCCACCTGGCGCATCGCGAGCGCGCGCACCGCCGGGAACGCCCGCCCAGCGACGCGCGCGAGCGCGTCGAGCAGCGGTTCCGCGTCCTCCGCGTCCTCGCGCGCGGGGCACGACGCGTCTTCCAGCGCGAGCGCGGTCGCGTGTGGGGCGTGGAGGGCGGAAACGAGCACGGCCGCGGCGTGGGCGTCGTCGTAGCCGAGCGTGAGCGTGGCGAGGGCGGGGAGCGCGACGGGCGGGAGCGGGAGCGGGGATGCGCAGGCGGAGGGGCGCGGACCCGAGACGCGCACAGTGAGGGCGGTGAGGTGTGCGGAGCAGCGGGTGAGGAGCGCACGGAGCTCGCGCTCGGTCGGGCGGACCGAGGCGCTGTGGTAGGAGAGCTCGAGGGTCTCGAGGCCAGTGGAGGCGGCTGGGCATGGGGGTGGGAGCAGGTGCGGGAGGAGGGCCCACTGGGTGTGCACGCCGGAGAGGACGAGCGTTTTGAGGCGGGGGAGGACGGGGGCAGGGCCGCGCTGGCGGAGGAGCGCGCTGAAGGGCAGTGGGGCGTCTTGGCGGCCGGCGGGGGTGAAGTCGGGGTGGTAGCTGACGAACTCGTTGCAGCGCATGAGCACGAGGGACTCGAGCAGGGGGAGCGATGGAGGGAGCGGGCGGGAGCCAGAGACGAGCGCCGCGGGTTCCATGCTGAGGCAGTCGAGCGTGGTGTGCATCGCCTCCCAACGGTCGGTGAGCACGGCGAGGGTGCGGAAGCGGCGGGCGTGAGGGAGGAGGATGCTGAGGATGCGGCGCATGTGCTCGGGCTGGAAGGGGTGCTTGTAGTCGTACGGGTCGTCAATGTACGGGCTGATCACCTCGCCCTTGGTGCTGTGCGCGGGCCTGTTGAGGATGGGGGAAATCGCAGATAAGCAGAGGTACTCACTCGTGTTCGGAAAAGTCCCATTCGGGGTCACGCGCGTCGATGAAGATATCGAGGGCGCACTTGCTGGACCGCGCGGCATATCGCGCGGCGGACGCAAAGACCTCGCCTCTCCGGCTGTATACGATGTCGCCAATGGTGACGCAGATCCGTGTCCAAAGCCGCGGTGTCCCGAGCGCGACCTCCCGCCAGTGTTTGCAGACAGCGGCAAGGACATCGGGCGTGGTGGAAGATAACGAGAGGCAGGGGGTGATGCTCCCCTGGTCCTCCTCATCGGTGTCTTGGTCCGGGGTGTGCGCGGTGAGGAGGAAGATAGTGGAGAGGAGCTCAACAGGGAGACGGGAGATGGGCGCGGCTGGCCGTCGTGGAATGGGGACGGGCATCGTGGTGCGCGGCCAGCCGCGTGGAAGAGCGCAAGACGAGGTGTCAAGCTTGAGGGTCAGCTGTTTAAATGTACTAGGCTGTGGCCAGCTCGGGGAAGGCGCGAGGCGTTGCGAGGAGACTGTAGCAGTGCACGACCGGGACATTTTGTGGTTGAGAGCGTGAGCGTCGTGAGAGGGCGGTGATAGATCGTCGCGAGCATCATCGCAGAACGGCGCGGGTTATGAGGCCCAGTGAAAAGTCCGGCGAGCTGGATCGAGCGGAATTGAACCCGCAAGCGAGAATTCAAAATAGTTCTGTATATGCCCGCGTGCTCATTTTGATTCAAATGGGGTTTGAACGAGCTTGAACGCTATCGTGATCCGATCAAATGGGTATGAAATTGATAGAACGGCGCCTCGTGCGTGTGTGAGCGCGAATGAATACCACGTGAACGAAATCGAACGACACTCGAACACGCTCGAATGTCATTCGGACGAAATCGAACAGTAAAGGATGAACCAGAATGAAATATATTGCTTCACTTGCGGGAATCTAATCTAGTACAATTCAAACGGACTTTAAAAAGTACTACTGTCGACCACTGCAGTGCTCCACATGCATCACCGTAGTCCCGAGCTCTAGACACATATCAAGCCTACTATGTAGTCAGTTTTGAGAGCAAAAACGAATATAAACTTCGAGCTTACCAACTCCTTGACCTTGGCATTGCATCTCTGCAATATCGCAGTCAGTGATGTATCTCCAGACCCACTTCGCTGAATGGCACGGCTCACCAATCTTGTTGGACGCCTTCAGACTTCCAGTGGCTATCAAAGGCTCCTTTGACCTACCGGGATTCTTCGACAACCGCTCCCTCGTGCAAAGCAAACCCGCCTTCAGCTCGATGCGCGCGCCCATCACGCTCGAAACCCCACTCACCAGCTTAATCGCTACCCACATCCCTCTCTCCTCGCCACCGGCCCCCGGACGAGCTGCCGCGATGTCAATGAAATGCGTTGTCTCCTCCACAACCCACCTACGCGCTCCATACCCCTCCCGGCTCGCCCCGCGCCAGCCTCGTCGACCTCGACGCCCCTTGTTCTTCTGCCACAGCCACGCGTACTCCGTCACGTCCCCGCTCACGGACTGTGCACATGATCGCGCGCCGCCTCACAGTGGTGGGGCTCGCGTTGACTGCCCTCATCGGCGTGTCGCTGTACGCGCGCGACGGGCTCGCCCTGCACGCTGACTCCGGTGAAGGCCCGCGCGTGTAGCGTGGTGCGCTGTCAGAGCTCGAGCGCGCATACGTCGCATACTCACTGTGCTCCATGCCCACGCTCATCGACTGGTTGCCTGCTGTCTTCGGCGCGCTCCTGAGCGTTCTGGGAGTTAGGACGTTGACGGAGGGGGTCGTGCGCACGATTTTTTGGGCAGGTACGGCGTTCACCAGGGGGGACGGGGGTCTCGTTGGGCAGGGCTGACGCGGAGCATCCTCAAGACGATGTCAGTGCTATACCTGCACAGACGGTGCAAGGGACTTACTGAGCGGTGATGAGATGGTCTTCGATGATGAGAAGAGCGGGCACTTCCACTTTCTTCAAAATGACGGCACTGGAGGCCGGTGAGTTATCGTGGATAGGCGTGCCAACGGAGAGCGTGATGCTTATTGTCACGGTCTACGAAGGTGCTGTCATCGCAGGCGGCACGGGCGAGAGCGCGGATGACGAGGCCACATACCACTGGCGGCTGGCCACTGATCATGGGGTCGGCGGGGGAGTTGCCAACTTCGTGGATCCCGGACGATATGACAGGCGCGGCCGCAGAAGGCACCTGCATCACCGATGTTGCGTATTCACAACTTGCAAGCGCACGGGGAGGGATTGGGCGTTGTCAGAAGGTTGAGGGGGAGGATAGTGCAGCTGCGAGAACAAGGATGGGATACGTCAGTGGGCAGACGTACAAACACGCAGAGGTTGTGAACAGCGAAGGAATGCTTACATGTTCAGATCAGAACACTCGTTCTTGAAGGTCTCCATCATGGTAGTGGTAATTAAGATGAGGAGTATCTTGTTGATGTAGTGACTTTGAGAGAGAGAGAGAGAGAGAGAGAGAGAGAGAGAGCCAGCTAGCGGTAGTAGAGGTGGCGGGCGAAGACTTGCGCAAGCGCGCCACGCCACTGGGCGTGGGATAATCATATCACGTGACAATGCGTGTCCCGTAATCGTGCGCAGAGAACTCTGCCGCCTGCGAGTCTGCCTCGAGTGCAATCCTCTATATTCTCTGCTGCTCTCTGGCCATGTGAACACCGCCTGAAAGCCCCTAAAGTGTCTGCTATATGCTAGGATAAGTTCATGCAAGTATTTCTCCATTTGTGTATTTCTTGCGCCCTCAACTGCGTGCTCCCCCTTCTCCTCGTCCACATCCTCCTCGCCATATGCCTGGGATGGATGAAGACGGTGCGGCGGCGCTCAAGGCCAAGAAAGCGAACGCAGAGGCAGAGAAGGTCAAGGCACTCGGTGACGAGCTGAAGCTGCACGAGGTGTTCGTCAAGTACAGCTACGCTAGCCACCCACCTCGCCCTCGCTCGTCCTCGCGCATCTCAACCATTCCACCGTGCGCACCCGTCGCGATCCGCCCAAGAGTACCCCAGGATTGACGCTCCAGCACCCCAGTCCAGACGCGACACTCACGGACACACCGCGGCGTGGTGCACGCCTGCCCGTGGTCATCACCGCGCGCACTCGATCTTTATCCTCCACAGCACGTCGACTCGTTCTGGCCTCGTTCTGACACCTTGCGCATCATATTGTACGTTTATTTCTCTCTCCTGTTCCACTTCGCGCGTCCCCCATTTCGGCTCGTTCTGCCTCGGTCCACCTCCTCGCACATGTATGGCACCTACTCGCGCTCCTGTTCCCTACGTTACTTGTCTTAGTACTTCCTTTTCTGCTGCGGATTTGCATGTTTTCATCTCTTGGCTTCTGCGGTTCCTTGATTTGTAGCTACCTGCTTGCGCTGTGCGCTGCATGTATTTAGGCTCCGGTTCGACTGTGTTATACAGTTCACTTCCCCGCTTTCATCTTGCGTGCAGTGTGCTCACTCCGTCTCGTCTTCACCTTCGACCTCGTCTTCGCCTTCAACCTCGTCTTCGCCCACGCTCACGCCTTCGTCCATGCTGTTGCCCACGATCCCACCTTCGCCTCCGCCTTCGTCAGCGCCCGTGCGCGCGACCTCGTCCATCCCCCGCGTCTTTCCACGTCTCGTCCCCTTCACGCTCGCACGATCTCCCGACTCATCCTCCCGTCGCGCTCGCCCTTCTCGCGGCGTGTCGTACTTATTCCCTCCATCCTCTACTCGACATCCCGTGTCTTACGCTCACGCGAGCTCGCTCCATCGCTCTCATCTCTGTTGACTCCTCTCGGAGTCGACTGTACATCATCGTCCCCGACATCATCCATCTCGCCTCGCACCTCGGCCATTCCACCTCCCACACCTACCACAGGACCACCGTGGTGGCCTATTTGTCAAGACCAACGCACGCGGACGCTCTGTTGCCCCCTCCAAACACTCTCGCGGTCTACACCGCGCGCGCACCCGAGCACCACCCGCGGCGCGACGCGGGTCCGAACTTGTTCCTATCCAGTTCACTTCCTTGCCATATCCGCGCGTGCGGTGTGCTCACTCCATCTCATCTCGACCACGCCCACGTCCTCGTCCTCGACTCGGTCCTCTCCCTCAACTCTGCCCTCGCCCTCGCGTTCGTCTTCGTGTCTTTGGTCTTCGCCAGCACCCATGTGCGCAATCTCGTCTCTCCTGCGGGCCGCGTCTACCATCCACTTCGCGCACCACGCGTTCCATCGATCCGCCTCTCTTCGCGCTCGCTCTCCCCGTGGCGCATCGGATCTCCCTTCCATCTTTCTCTATTCTATTTCCCGAGCTTCACGCTTACATGAGCCCGTTTTATCCGCTCACGCCTGTTGGCTCTGTCACGGAGTTGACTGCACACCACTGTGGTTCACGCTCTGCATTGACATGTGCAGGACCCAGGTGGCAAAATTCAGAATACTCATCTTCGCCCCACGACCTGCCGCTGCACATCAACGATGGGGAAACCTCTGTGTGCGGCAATGCTCTCCGTCCCGTTATGATGCTATTCACAGATCTAAATATGTCCATAATAGTCTGTAATCCAAGGACTGTCTTAACTCAGTCCACCTTCACCTTCACCGACGGCACCCTCTCTCTCTCTCTCCAAACTCCTCAACTAGCATGAGTGTGTTTGGAATGCATGCAAAGTGAGCGCAGTCAATTGCATGGACTGGCGGCACGTAGAATGAGAGCAAGTAGCTCGCGACGCGCGTTCTCGAGCGATAGACGCCGGAGAATGCGGTCAGCATTGTGCCCAGGCGTGCTGACAAGCATGTGCATGAGACAGGCATCACTAGCACTCGTGGGAACAACGTAAGGTCCGAATCACGGTCGGAAATATCCAAAAAGTATCTGACGTACACTCTGAATCATTTTGGTTCGAATCCACTCGCTTTATTCGCGCGGACTCATTCTGATTCGATCTAGCTCACCGGACTTTTCACTGGGTATGAGGACGATGGCTCGCGTCGGGGGCGCCAAAGGTCTTTTGTGTGCGACATGGACTTTGATGGGAGGTGCGCGTTCCCTGGCGAGGAGAACAAAAGAGGAAGATGGGAGAGGGAGGAAGAAGACCGGCTTATTGTCAATCGCCTTCAGCGTCCTTCCAGCGGCCCGCCTGCCCGCCGAAGCGCCGACGGATCATCTGACTCTGTGCACCTGGGAGCTTTTGCGACTCGGTCTCGACTTCCAGGCGGGCGTCCCGACGGCCAAACGTTCAAACGTTCATGGTGAGTGCACGGCACACCAATCGCCTGTCACGGGCGTGAGCGTTAGCCACCCACAGCTCGCAACCGACCTCCACCGCTTGCTGTTTAAATCAAGTCTGGTGACCGCCAAAAGCCATTCGGTTTAAAGGTGGGAGTATTCTGGTGTGTCTGTGAGTGTGAGAGTTCACTCGAGCATTCATCGCCGCAGATCCTTCGCCTCGAACAGTCAGCGTCATGGGACCCGATAAAAAGTCCCGCCGTGAGCCCCACTCTCCGTGTTGAGAGAAACGAACACGGGAAGAGGTCTGATGATGGCATGAGCCACCAGGTCGAAATGCAGCGGACACCCATAAAACCCCTCAGAGCCACGAAAGGAGCCCCGCACCCCGCAGCTCCTTGACCCCCGAGCAAAGGGGAACGACCACGATGATTGCGATGTCGAGTGTTGCCACGGCAGTAATTGCTCTCGCCGCGTGGGTGTACGCCGGGCAGCCTTCGTCGGTGCAAAACCCCACCGCGCTACCCTCCCAGGCCGTGGTGCGTCCGTCCCAACTTTCGGTTTCCAGACCAGCCCTGACTCGCCGCAGTTCGTCGACCCGCACTCGTTCGCAGTGCTCGGGGCCAACGCCACGTTCCGCACCAACGCCTTCGGCCAGCTCTTCAACCCGACCAACACCACCCCGCCCTTCTTCCAAGTCTTCCACCAGGACTTCCTCAAGATCCTCGGACCCAGCCCGACCCTGCGCGCCGTGACCGCGAACCCGACGTTCGCCTTCGCGCACGAGGCCCCGATCTGGGACCCGGCTACGGACGAGGTGTTCTTCGCGAGCAACGACGGCGGCGCACTCGGAATGAGCGACATCGACCACAACAGCCAGGTGTCCAAGATCTCGCTCGCCGAGGTCGCCACCGCGATCAAGGCCGCGGGCCCCGGCGCCGCGCCGGTGAACGTGAGCGTCACGAAGGTGCGTCGCGCGCATGGCCGTGAGTGTGGGCGGGGCTCACCGGATCGTGCGCGCAGCTGGACCTCCCGGACACGATCCAGATGACGAACGGCGGCACGGGACCCTTCGACGGGCAGCTCGTGCTCATAACCTCCGGACGCGGCCCGCGTCCGCCGTCGATTGCGCTCGTCAACCCCACGCCCCCGCACAACACCACGGTCCTGCTCGACAACTTCTTCGGCCGGCAGTTCAACTCCCTCAACGATATCAAGGTCCTTCCCGGGACGAACAAGCTGTTCTTCACGGACGTCACGTGCGTGGGTTCCCCGCGAAGTCTGGCCAGAGATTAGCTGAGATGGCGCTGCAGTTACGGGTTCTTGAACCACTTCCGCCCTGCACCGTTGATGCCGAACCAGGTGTACCGCTTCGACCCCGACACGAGCGCGGTGCGCGTCGTCGCCGACGGCTTCGACAAGTGCAACGGGATCATCTTCAGCCCCGACGGCTCCGTCGCCTACGTGTGAGTCGCCCGCCGCTCTCTCCAAGCTGATGCTGACCCCCCACAGGACGGACACTGGGGCGACCGGTGGGTTCCTGGGTAGCAACCAGACTGAACCCGCGACCATGTGAGTCCCCCGCTCGCGCCAGCAGCTGGGCGTGCCCGCTGACGAGCACCACACGACAGCTACGCGTTCGACGTCGACCGGAAGACGCACGCGTTCACGAACCGCCGCGTGTTCGCGTTCGTCGACACCGGCATCGCCGACGGCGGCCAGGTCGACGCCGCCGGCAACCTCTACGCCGGCTGCGGCGACGGCGCGCAGGTCTGGGCCCCGGACGGGACGCTGCTCGGCAAGTTCTTCCTCGGCACGCTCTCCGCCAACCTCGTCTTCGCTGGGGACGGGCGCGTCGTGATCATGGCGGAGACGGCGATATACCTTGCGGAGATCGCGGCCAAGGCGCACAAGGTCTCGTTCCCGTGAGCAGCACATGTACTGTATACCGGCGAGTAGGCTACTACGCGTTGCGAACGAAACCGGCCGCTGGGCCGTTCCTCTTCATCACGCCGAGATTCGCTGTGGAAGGGTGAGCACAGAGTGCGGCCGCGATAGAACAGACGTACCCGGTCGTCGCGTGTAGCCTTTGATTTTGGACTTTGCGGGGTCTCCTTTCAGGTTGAGGCTCTTCTTCACGAATGTCTCGGCTTTTCGTGTACGCGCAAGCCCCTTTGCTCCCGCCGGGGTCGCGAGGTCGGTGGGCTTGGGGAGCGTGCGGATGACACGGGACCTGAGGACAGGTGAGGATTCGCGCGCAAAAAAGAGGGACGGAAACGTACCCGACGACGATGTCCTTCACGCTTTTCGACCGCTTCCGTTTCTTCGACTGAGATGGTGGTGGTCGGGCGGGGGTGTCGTCGGAGAAGACGATTTTTGTGTTTTTGGGCTTTGTGTGTAGTGCCGAGAACAGGTGCTCGGGGAGGTAGTTGCTTTTCGCGGGTGCGAGCTCTTCGTCCTCGCTGTCTTCCTCTGGATCATCGAGCTCTGCGTCTTCTTCACCAGAGAGCCCAGAGCCGTCATCTTCATCCAGGCGCTCCGGATCGTCGCCTGATAGGTCTTCGTCCTCCTCCTCTTCCGCATCCAGCATCGCGCGCGCCATCCGCGCCTCGAGATCCTTCCGGCTCGGCCCACCCCCCTCGTCCTGGTCTCCACTCTCGTCGTCGTCCTCCCCAGCCTCCTCCCCGCGCTCGTCTTCCTCGCTCCCATCTACGACCTCCTCCACTCGCGGCTTCTTAGCCGCCCTGCCTCCATCCTCGATCTTTCGCGCAGCCTGGCCCTGCGCGCGCGCCTTGAGGTTCGCGTCGAGCGCACGGTTCTTCTCTTTCGTCTTCCGCTTCTGCGCGTCGCGGAAGGTCTGCACCGCGGCCTGCTCGCCGCGCGCGGCTTTCTTGGACGAGCCGAAGGAGACGGCTTCGGGGGCGTCGGAGTCGTCGCTGGACTCTGCGGCGGCGTGTTTTGGTGGGTGGGCCATGGCAGGTGGGAGTGAGGGGTGCACGGATGGGGCGCTTTGATAGAAAGGTTGCCTCAGAGGAAGACTAGATGGGGCGGCAGGTTCGGAAAGCAGGAGGTGCAGCAGAAGTTGAAGGGTTGCTTGAAAAGCTGTCACATCTTTTGATAATGTGACACTAGGCCTGGGACTGTCACGCCGTCGTTTGCAGAGCGCGCGCGTGACCTCCGACGTGACGAACTCTGACTTAAGTATTCCTGAACTTCATCGACATCCTGGACATCGCCTACTTTCACTCTCGCACTGGTGGATCTTCTCGGTGACTATATTGTTGGATGCTCCTCAACGGGAGACAGCTTAAAGAGTTCTGACCTCCTCAGCCTTGGCGCCGAGGAAGACTTGAAGAGCTTGACGCATCGAAGTCCTCATGAGTCTGGTGTAAATCTGTGGCCCGGTTCCGTTTCTCCCGGAGCAGTGCGAAGTGCTTGGAAGATATTTCCGCCCTTGGTGATGACTTTGGTCCGGCGTTTCTTCAATTCCGGAAGTCATCAATAAAAGATGTAATTCCGTCCCCACGAGCGCTCTGCTATTTCATTTCTGACGACGATCACCAGTAAGTACTCACTAAGACCACCAACTGCAAAGGGTATGCAATCATCTTTTTCTCTGAAAGTTTGCATACGCTTACACCGCTCCCTGCATGAAACACGCTTGTCAATATGGTTTCAAGAGTGAGCGGGACTGAAGCACGTGTCCCGTTCTCTCCATTCCGAGGTGTATCGGCCGAACTGCCTTGTGGTCGGCAGCACCGACACAGAGGCCAGACAGTCAACGTTTCGGGCTCCCGAGTCACCTGTGTCGGCATCTTCGTCCCCGCCAAGACCCCCGCGGCGCGCTTCCCCACACCCGTCAGCTGCAGAGGTCCGCTGAAACGCCGGGCTGCACCTTATAAGCCTTCTCAGCCCTGCGGGCGGTGCCATCCATATACACCTCCGTCTCGCTCTACGCCAACTCCTACTGAGCCCAGTACTCTTCCCTTCCATTGAAGCACGATGATGTGGGATCTCAGCGGAGGTGCCAGCCCTCCTCAATATCCGCAGCAGCAGCAGTCCCGCGCCATTTCTATGCCCAGTGCGTCCCCGTGAGTCCCGCCCGAATCCGATCAAGCCCGGACCAAGTGCTTCTCCCTCTGCATTTCTAACCCGTATAACTTCAGGTCGTACGCTCCAGGGTGAAGTCTCTTTTCCCGCCCCTGCTCGCTCCTCGCTCATGTGCGCGCTTACGTTCTTCAGCCCCGGCGGCTTCGCCGTCTCCGCCCCGCCTTTCGCCCAGCCATTCATGCCCATCGGCGCTGCAGGCGACTTTGCACCCGGGTACGCCCCGAGCACGTACGCTCCCAGCAGCCACCGCTCGTGAGTCTCTACGTCCCCCTTTGCGCGCCCGCGATCAGGCCGTGCTGACGTCTCATCAGATTTGTGGACGGCGCGGGGTGCGTGTCCTTCTCCTTCTAGCTCCGCAGCGTTCGACTGAGGGCTGACGCCCTTCCCTCGGTCGCCAGACCTTGGGCGTCGACAAGATCCGACCACACTAGCATGCCCCGTGGCCCGACGGTCGAGCGAGCAGTCCATATCCGCACGAGCCGTCGGCACTCGCACTCGCAAGTCGTGCATGTGCACAGCAGCGGCCACTCTCCGAGGCCTCCGCATGTCACCGTCACCCACGTCGCGCGACCGGCTCAGGTTCCGCATGCGAGCAGCTCGTCGAAGCCGCACAGTAGGTCTCTGTCTCGCTACTGGGGCTCTTGGATGCTGATTTCGCGCTGCGTGCAATTCAGAGATTAGCCGGCCGCAGCAGCTGCAGCCTCTGTCGTCGTCGGGAGAGGGCCGCCACCACCTTTTCCAGTACTCCAAGTGCACAGGTCACAGAAAGGCGCTTTGTGCACGTCACGTTCGGCATCCACCCACACACGCTTGCTGATACCGACTTGACACAGATCGGCATCAACTACAAGGGCCAAGAGAACGAATTGCTGGGGTGCGTCAACGACGCAAAGAACGTCCGGCGCTTCCTCTCCCGTGAGTCTCTCTTGCAGTGCGTGGCTCGTCGGTGTCTGAAAGACGCTCCCCCAGACCGAGGGTACAAGAAGGAGGACATCGTCATCCTCACCGACGACTCCCCGAACCCGCGCGAGCAGCCCACGCGTGCGAACATGCTCGACGCGATGCGCTGGCTCGTGAAGGGCGCGTGCTGCAACGACTCCTTGTTTTTCCACTGTGAGCTCGGTCGTGCGGGCGTCTGCGTCGCTCGTCGCTCACAGCGTCTTCCCCTCAGACTCGGGACACGGATCCCAAGTACAAGATCGTAACGGAGACGAGATCGACGGAATGGACGAAGGCGAGTGCGGGTTGAGTCGTGGGGCGTGCGACGTTGCTGACGACGGGCCCCAGTGATCTTCCCGGTCGACTATAAACAGGCCGGTCACATAAGCGACGATGTGGGTTCAGACTCGTCATGGCTTGTGTACTTGCTGATCGACCGTCATCCCGCAGCTCTTGCACGCTGTCATGGTACGTTTCTGGTGAAGCTGCGCCGTAAGCAAGAACTGACACGGTTTCAGGTGAAGAAGCTTCCGACAGGGTGTCGATTGACTGTGAGTTGAGGCGCCATGCGATCATTGAGCCGGCCGTCTCATGGCCTTCTCAATCCCACAGGCTCTTTTTGATGTGAGTCGGTCCGAAGGACCTTGACGCTTACGTACATCGCTGATTTCGGACAGTCTTGCCATTCGGGATCCGTACTTGGTGAGCGTTCCGAGAGGGCCTGCTTGGTCTTTGACCTGACTTTCTACGCACTTCAGACCTCCCTTACCTGGTTCGTTGAGATACCACTGAGCTGAAACGCACTCGCTCACTTCTGGTGTGACACAGTACTCAACGGACGGTCGGACGAAGGGAAGTCAAGTGACGGCGAAGTGGTTCGACTACAAGTCAACGCCTGCGGACGTCGTACGTTTGTCGTTACGTTCACTAATTGATGATGCTCAAAGCGTTCACCGCCTTCAGATCTCCTGGAGTGGGTGCAAGGACTCGCAGACGAGCGCTGATACGTACGAGAACGGAGTGGCCACTGGGGCGATGAGCCATGTACGTTCGAGGTTCGCTTCTCCTGTCGAATTCCAAGCACTCACTCATTCGAACAGGCTTTCATTTCCTCCATGCGCGACAGCCCGAACCAGACCTATCAGGAGCTCTTGCGCTCAGTCCGCGAAATCCTGAAGAGGAAGTATAGTCAACTGCCACAACTCTCTAGCTCCCACAGGATCGTACGTGTGGCAGTCTCGCGCGCCTTCGATTAGCCACTTACTGCGCTTTTTTTCAGGATACAAACCTGAAGTTCATCTTCTGACGGCTCTCGCCGACGCGTATATAATGTACCTCTAATGTAACACTGAAAGACTCTTGTTCTGATATTGTAGCCTTCTTGTATAGATGACGACATAGTCCAGATGCAGGACTGCGATGTGCACGTTTCCGACAGTGATGAAGGGGTTAACAGAGATAATATATGACACTGGTGACGGGCCGAGATGCACGGTGTGTACAGCACACGTGCTCGTAACAACGTGCCAGCGATTGTAGATATAATACTAGACACTGAGTGCACACAGTGCACAAGGTCAGCGGAGACAATGAACGATATTAGTGTGCGGTGTTGGGCACTGCACCGGGTCAAGACGGGCAGTAGTCACGGAAGTGCAGAACTGGCTGGATGCTCCCCTTAGTCACCCACTTCACGCGGACAAGTACGATGTTGTCCGCATGAAGGCTGATCTCCCGGCCTTCGATGCAAAGCTTGTAGTCGAGTTTGGCCTACAACTTGGTGTGTCAGACGCTGAAGGTAGGATTCCACAGTAAAGACGGTGCTCACGGCATGCACTTCGAAGCACTCGCAAATGAGCTTCGCGAGCGCCGAGCGAGTCAACGACTGCGGCGCATTTTTACGACGAGCAAACCGCTGGCCTCGATCGTCCTTCTCATCGAAGCCCTCGATCTTTGATCAAACACATGAGCTGGAAGTACTCAGCAGGGGGGGAAATGATGTACGCACACCAAAGCGCACGGAGATTTTATGGTCACGGTCCCGGTTTTGGATGTCGTCGAGAAAAGAGAACGCTGAGATGTTTGGGTCACTAACGTCCCCCTTGGCAGCCTTCGCGAGGCTGACGTTGAACTCGACGTCCTCGGCGTTGGCAGGAGGAGGGCTCCCGTGGTATTCAGAGTACGGGATGAGTGTCTGCCAAACGACATCTCGGATTAGATTTCGACTCGGAAGCCATTGGGAGAATGACCACACCGTGCCGTCTTGGAGGATGTCTGCCACGGTTTGTTTCAGACGCCAGAGACCGTCGCTCTCCTTCGTGTAGAAAATGGTTTCCGTCTCCCATACGACACTGGCAAGCGTGCCCTGCGAGAGCGCGCGAATCTGCATGCCCGGGAAGATTAGTTCGGAGAAAGCGCTAAAACGGAATGACAACTCACTTCCGCAAGGTCGTCAAGAGCCGAGCCATTGACCCAGGGCATGGACCCACTAGTAAAGAGTATGCCTTTATCGACAAAGTCCTCGGGGTGGAGCTACGGCAGTACAATAAGACGTCAGTCGAAGAAACGGTCGGGGAGAGAGCCTTACAACTTCGGCGGGGGGAGGAGGAGGAGGAGGAGGAACAGGAGGAGGAGGAGGGGTTGGGGTTGCCATGATGGGGACGATTAGATGCTCTGGAGTGGTGTCGTCACCGAGGGTTATATGCATCCTATGGCATAGACGGATATCTGATTATTGAAGCTCAGTGGGCAAAAACGACATGGGTGCTGTTGTGGATACGCGGTAGGATGGTGGAGACGGATGACGGATACGTGGTAGGATAAGGGTGGTTCCAGTTGAGCCAAAACCACCTTATTCTCCAGCCGATTTTTGTTACGCGGTGCGTGTCATGCGAAGACGTTCGTGTATGCTCTGGAACGTGCCCGCATGCGGCGGCGAGTTGACGAGTCTTGCTGCAGCAGGAACCGCGCAAAATGGCGCGGGTTGGTACGGCGGTAACGGAGCGCGTAGAAGATATCCACGACTCGCCCAGACGTTCGACGACGGCGTTCAACGTCATGGTGAAGCTTCATGAGCAGTTGAATCGCTTGCTGAGACTGACACGGGAAGAAATATCATTACTCGAGTTTAACCGACAGTGAGATACCGCAACTTGCCGCTTGCCATGCGTTATCCATAATCTTCCAGTGCGGGGTTCTGGTGCCATCGATTCCGAGATTGAGAGGGAAGAAACAACCAGCCGGGAGGCGTGTACTTAGTATCGGGATGCCTGGTGGATATCCAACGAAGCATAACCGGGGATACTAGCCCTGTGTCGGCTTCAACCTTCCTGTCAGGCCAAGAGTTAGCGGTTGAGGTCTTTTGGGACCGTATGAGGGAAATGGCACATAAATATTCACCCAGGTTGTGAAGGGAGTTGATCGCAATATCAGCTTGGGGGCAAGCGTGAATCGAGGAAGTGGTGGATAGCGACGTCTGTACACAGGCTAGTATTGACACCGTTTACCAAAGAGGTGCACGATCTTGAGTACTTCTGAGTCCAGGCCTACCGTCAGACATGCCCTCTTCACCTCATACCGTAAATCTAGTCGGCGGTATGGAGGGCAAGATCTGGAAAGAAGGACCGCCGAAGGCGACATCAAGTGTTAGGACGATAGACCATTATCACGATATCCCCGATAACCACTGCACAAGTGCCGTGGCTTCATTTCCCAGTTCTAGAAGAGCAGACGCGACCGCAATTGTTTTTGTGCCCACAGAAGTGCGTGGAGTTTGCGACTCAGGCCAACAGAGGGACCGCGGGGAGTCGGGACGCATACATGAGCGATCATGCCAACACGGTCGACGTACACGACCTATCGGAACACACCTAGCAGAGGCCCCATCCTCGCGTTTCGCGACTGGCGAGAAGTGCTGGAAGTCAGTAAAATCCGCAAGTTCTGGATTGGGGCATGACGGTCGACCGCAAGCAGAGACCAACAAGCGCCGAGTCCTCGCCCGTCTGCGACCACAAACTTGCGGTTTCTCATCCTGGCTTCCCCCATCCGCTGTACCGCAAGGCCTACTCTCTCGCTCCCATCCCGGCTTTCACTCGTTCATGTCCTGACGACGGACTCTCCTTTCGATGCACCGCTCTGCCTTCGCCTGCCTCGCTTTCATCACCATTCTCACCTTGGCAAAAAGCCTCCCAAACGGAGTGCATCTCCCTCTCCATCTTGGATCCAGGGCGCGCTGGAAGAGGGACGGGGGAAGCAGTGAGGCAGGCCTTGGTGACGCCTCCGACGTGTACGTCCATCTCTCTTGATTGATGTTGCCTCCTTCAAGCGTGCTCCCATGCAGAACATACAACGTTCTCGTCCGCGTGGGCCAAACCCTCACACCTTTGATTCTGGGTGCGTTTCCACCCCGGCGGACACCTCTACATGCTTATTGTGGGATAGATACGGGCTCTGCGGACTTGTGGCTCGTTTCGGACGGGTGTCGGGAGCTTTGCGCTCATACTGACCTCCCTCTCTATCCTCAAGCCGCCTTGTCTCCCATCGGTCAGAGCGTCCACCTCCTCTACGGGGATTCGCACACCAGCACGCATGCCTTCGGTCCCATCGGCACAGACACGGTCGGCATCGCGGAGCTCTCCGTCCCGCGCCAGTACCTCGCCGCCATCACGGACACCAACACTTCTGTACTCGACACTGGCTCTGCCGGGATCCTCGGGCTAGGATTTGCTCCCATCAGTCTCATCTGGCGACAGCTCATGGCTGACAAGGGATCGTCTCTCCCTCTTGCGCTTCCCGGACGAGTGGCCGACGCGGTGGACACAGCAGGGCTCAACCTTCGTACGCACACTTTTCCGTCCTTTTCTTCTCTCGCGCGTCCCTCTCCGTACAAGAAACGGCAAAATCCGCGCTACCTCATGTCCTGGGATACCGACTCCATCACAACCTATGGTCCTCTGCTCACAAGGCTGGCTACGCTGGGCGTGCTTTCACGTCCTCTGGTGGCAACCACTCTCCAGCGAGATACAGTCTCTCTCGGCGACCATGCTGGCACTCTGTCTCTCGGGGCCTTACCAGACGGAATCTCGGAAGACGATCTCACTTGGGTTCCGGTGCGAGGCTACAGGGCGAGTCAGGGTGGCTTGCCGCCGTCCCCCCAGGCTCCCTATGAAGTAAGCACCATCCTCTCAGCTGCCCGGCCTCTTCTGAATCAAGCACAGATCTACCCTCTGGTTTGGGAGGTCCCTTTAGACGACGTGTTCTTTGATGGTATCAGACTACCCCGTTCTTCTCTCTCTCCCCCTTCCATTTCTCTCTCCGCTCTTGTCGATACTGTGAGTGCAGTCCACTCCCCACCATTCTGTCGTGCCCGCTTACGTTGGTACACAGGGAAACTCCCTCATCCGTGGCCCGCGCGATGTCTTAACACACATCGCGGCCCGCCTCGGCGACACCTTCGACTGCGCGATCCCGCACAACCTTTCGTTCCTCATCGGCGGCGTCCTCTTCCCGGTTGATCCGCGCGATTTCGCGCGTCCGGAGTCGCTCATCAACGACATCGTCGGCCTCAACTTCGGCCCGGCGCGCGCGCAGCGCTGCACCCCCGCCCTCGCCGTCACGGACCCCCCTGGGGACGGCGGGTTCCTGTACAGCTGGAGCCTCGGGGTGCCGTTCTTGAAGTCGTTCGTGCTCCCGCTCGTTCTCCGTCGCGTCTGTGGCTGACGACCGACAGCACGCTCGCCGCGTTCTACTACGGCAATTCGACGCACCCGACCCGCGATCCCCCGCGCGTCGGCTTCTTGTCCACCGTCCCGTCGGACGCCGGCGAGTCTTTGGCCGACGCGGTCGCCTCCGCCGCCCTCCACGGGGGCCTGTTTCCAGGTGCGTGTGCGTGTTCCTTTGGCGTACGTCGTGGTCTCGGCTGACGGCCCGACCGCTCGGCAGAGAAATCGGACCTGGCGATCTTCGACCTCGCCACGGGCATTGGCCCGATCGCGACCCAAGGTTCGCCACACGCTGCGCCCCGCCCGCTTCTCCATTCGTGGCTGATCGTGTTCGCTCTTATAGGCTTGCTGGGGGTGTTCTAGTGTTGACGTTATCGGGTTCATCGTTCTGTCTACACGATGTTGTTTCGCTGTGTATTTGTTAGGAAGGTTGTGAATAGAAGCCACTACCTCGGATTTCATCGTAACAGGGACAATCAGACATGGGAGTGCACGACTTGAGGGATGGCGCTTATTCATTGCGGTACTGAATAGTGGGGCCGCCGCGGCGCTTGTGCCAGCTCGTGAGGGTTGCTTGGATGCACAGTAATTGAGCTACTATGGCGGACCGGGATGTCGTTGTTGAATGCTCCAGAGGGGGGCCGCTTGTCGAATAATCGGGCCCCTATGGGCCTGGCAATTTAAGAAATTTGTTTACACCATCGTGCCTGCGAGATTCTGAGACCGGAATCGTGCAACGGGATGAGGACTTCGCGGCGTGCACACTCCAGATCCCCGGATGTTGTGTAAATGCGGCACGAGCCAACCGTCCATGTTTGGTTGGCCGACACACACGATAGCAAATGAGGTAGCAAAACATCATGCATTCGATCGACGGATACGAGACAGTGCTACGTTTCGTGAGTGGGATGAGACAAGATGTTGCGAGCACAGCATCAAGACAGATGAGCAAGATAGCGGGGGCATACATAGAGACAGATATCTGCATAGCATAAGAGACCGTAGAGACGGACGCGGACGCGACCTGCTCCGGGGGACAAGGAGCGCACCGCCGGTTGACAGAGCGGGCGACGGAAGCGACGGCGTCAGAGAGTATGAGTGGATTTATGGATAGGAGGGGATGGGTGTCACGCCGCCGGAACCGGGACTCGCGGGACACGCGCGGGGGTAGGACGACCACGGGGGCGCGGGCGGTTGATGCGCAGACTCCCGGAGGGGCTGCATGATATGTCAGCGCCAAACCTGAGCAAGGCAGTCCAAGAACACTCACGTGGGCACGGCGAAGGACGCGTTCTCTTTGCCGTCCTGCGTACTCGACTTCCCGGTGCTGCGCTTGGACCACCCAAGAGCTGCCCGGCGCGTACTGGATGTGACGCGAGGACGCGCAGGGAGACCCATGGGGTTCTTGCCGACCTTGGACGGGTTGATGTCCACGGCGAAAGGCGTGAAAGGCTTTATCTCGCCCAGAACAGGCGGAGGTGTGGGCACGACGTTGACAGAGCGCTGCTCCCGGAGGACGGCTGGCGACGTGACGCTGGTAGACTTGATCTTTGGCACTGGGGGTACGTCTGAGAAGACCTGGATCGGCGACGAGCGGTAGACGACCTTCTCGGGTGATGTATTTGAGCGCATGCTCCTGAGCTGAGGGTACGGAGACGGTCTCGATGATGTCCTTGAGCGCACACGATGAGGGCGCAGATCCGATGGAAGCGGGCCGTAGTTCTTCTGCGAGTGCTCTAGCAGAGTCTGCATTGCACCGGGCTCCCGAGGAGGGTCGAACGCTGCATGACGAAATTAGTTCATATCATGACAGAGGAGGTCGGAGCACCCACATTGCAGCGCGAACAGCGAGAAGGGCGTGTCGGGCCACACCATCTTACTCTCGTCGACCGTCACCTGAGCCTCGCTGCGGAGCGCGTAATACTGGCGGAGCGTCGTGATGCCCGTCTCGTCGTCCCAGGTCTCGCTATAGATCGAATCACCGTCGCTTTCGACGACGTATACCGATGAGTTCGCCATCGAGTTGGCGATGGCGGGCGAAACGTGCAGCGGCGTGGGCTGAGACACGGACGCCGAAGGCGAGCTGGAGCCCACGGAGACTTCCTCCTGGATGGTTTCATACACAGAAGAGCGAGACATGCGCGCCTCGTCGATCCGACGACGGTGGCCAGCTCCGCGAGCACGCGCGCGACGCGCACGCGAGATGCCGCTGCTCGGGTTGGACGTATTGGCGAGCAGCGAGTTGAGATGACCAATGTCGATGCTGGACTGAGAGTCACCGGAGACCGAAGAGCCATCCGAGTTCGACAAGGGAGGCGTGTCGACTCCCGAACCCGAAGAGGCGGAGATGGTGCTGCAAGTGCTGGAGCGCGAGCGGCCGGCAGGCGAGGGCCGGTTGAAGATCGAGTTCTCGCGGACTGGAGCATCGTCAGTCAATGAGGGGCACAAACCAAGAAAAGTACGACTCACGCGACGCCAGCAGGTCTTCACCTTGCGCCATCAGCGCACTTTCCTCCAAGCTCTGGCGGGAGAGAAGACCCTGGCGCGCCTTGATCATGCGCTCGTCGCCGAACTGGAACGACGACGTCGAGGCGATCGAAGGCTGCGCGACGAGGCGCGACGCGGACTTGGGCGACTCGCGCACTGGAGGCTGGATCATGTCGAACTGCAGGGCGCGACCGGGGAGCCCAGCGTGCCTCTTCTCTACGCGAACGCAAGGCGAAGCATCAACCACGGAGGCGACAGAGCGTCGCCGCACATGGCCACCACCAAGCATCTGTTGAGAACAGTGTCAGCGACAAGTGCAGTGATTCAAGTACAGCGGGACTCGCCGTGATCATCGTGTCGTCCTCCTTGACCGGGCTGTGTTGGCTAGCCTCGCTCATGATCGACAGGGGCCTGAAGCGCTGGCCGCCGATGTACCGACCGGTGTACTGCATGAAGGACGGGTCCGCACCGAATATGGACTCCGCGAACGAGCTGCGCTTGTTGGTCTTGTCAAAGAGCGAGTCGTCCACCGCCGAGCGCGACTGGTACCGGGAGGGATCCATGATCGAATCCCACGACATCCGGTTGACCTCCTCCGGCGCGCTGTACGTGCTTTCTGGGGACGCCGAGATCGCACTGAGCGGCGCGCCGTGCACGGTGTCGAACATCTTGTCGCCGAGGCCGGGCCGGGCCGCAGGCCGCTCCGAGTAGTCGCTGAACATCGAGTCGACGCTGAAATCGCGCGTGTGCGAGTCCCAGGGGTTGCGCGAGCTGTTGCCGTGGCCGTGGTTGCTGCCCGCGCCGTGCATCGCGTACGAGAGCGCGACGGAGCTCGCGCTCGTGTTCGAGTCCTCCCGCCGGTGGCTGCTATGGTTGACCAGGCTCGAGTCGTTGCGCCGGTGGGCGTGCGCGCCGAAGCTGCGGTTGTACAGGCTGATCGGCGGCCCCATGTTGGATGCGATGGACATCGCGGACGGCCCGCGCCGGTGGCCCGCGCCGGCAGCACGGCGGTACGGGTGCATGGTGTGCTGCGGGAAGTAGAAGCTGGAAGCATCGCTGTCCACACGGCGGCGGGGCTTGTTGCGGTGGATGAACGAGAACGTGTCGTCGACAGTCGACATTGATATCGAAATGTCGTCCATCGAGGGCGGCCTGCTAGGCTCATCGCGGTCGAAGCCGAAGGGGTCTTGAACGCCGTCGCGGACGACCGCGCCGTAGGACGAGACTGAGGCGATGCTGAAGAGAGACATGTCGCGGGAATGCTTGGTGGGACGGTACGTCGCGTTGGCGGGCGGGTAGAAGCCAGGGCGCTGATCATGAAACTCGAAGCCGCGGCGGACCTCGTCGAAGGAGTCGAAGCCGGTGAAGCTGACAACCGACTCCCTGTGCGAGTGACCTTGCGTTGCTGCGCTGTCGTCGAAGTGCACGGACATCTGAGGACGATGGTTGGTCTTGTTCTCCTGAATCTGGGATGCCTCTTCCGGAAGGACGTCGGTCGCCTGGGCCATGATCGACTTGAGCACCGAGCTGTCCTCCTCGACCATTGAGTTGGAGTGGTGAGAAGGCGAACGCGAGTGGGAGAGAGGCGGGATGATGTCCGAAAGCGTGAGCATGGGGTTCGCGATGTCCGAGTCAGTAGTCTTGTCCGGAGACGGTTTGCCGCCGAACTTGAACTCCGTGTTGAGGCGCCCATCGGACGGCTTCGACTGCATCGACGAGTTGCGGCCTCGGCGGTGCGAGTAAACGCGGCACTCGTCCTCGAGCTCGCGCATCATGAAGCTAATATCGGGTTCCTCATGTGAATCTTGCGACGCTCCAGGGCTGCGCTCATGCTCGCCAGTCTCGTCCGAGCCGCACATCGACGTGTCCTCGAGAGCGGAGAAGCTCTGGGGAACAGCCTCCGTAGGCCGCGCGCGCAGGTTCACGGGGAGTGCAGGCACCGGGGGCACCAGCATCTGGTTCTGCTCATGGATGTCGAAGTCGAAGCCGAGTTGGATACGCCCGGGGGTCTTGAACGCTTCCTCGACCTGCTCGACGAAGCTTGCGCGGTCGGAGCCGCCCGACTCGTTGAGCTTGCGCAGTTCGCCCGTGAAGTCGAAAGACTTCTTCGTGTCGTCCTCCGAGGCGGAGGTGGGGCTACGCTCGCCGTCGTCGAGCTCGGCTCGCTTGGCCTGAGGATCGAACAACTGGAACACGGGGATGCGCGCCTCCTCGTTTGAGGCGTAGACGGAGACGTCCGGTGTTGGGAGCGCGGACTTCGGCGGAGATCCAGGCGAGGGTGGCGGGCGGAACGAGAGCGTGTCGTCGAAGGGAGTAAGTGGACGAGTCGCACCCTCTTCATCCGACTGGCCGGACAAAATCACTTGCAGCTCGTCGGGGATATCTGAGTCCGGATCCTCGGGGTCGACAGAGGGCTCGGTAGATCCACCAAGCGTACCGCCCATCCCAAGGACCTTGCGCGTCTCCGACGTCAGTTGGACGCCCATTCGGCGAAGGCTGCCTACGCTTCCCTTGCTGTTCATCGGGACGAGGGAGGAGCCACGGCGGACATGCCCAGCGCCGTGGGCGCGGCTGAACACGGGTGTTGGCGACGGGTGCATGGGACTGTCCTCGGAGCTCTTGGGGGTGCGTAAGCCGACCTTAGACGGGCGCGTACCGAACGTGCGGGAAGACGGCGCGGCGACAGGCTCGACGGCGATGGGGGTCGCACTGCGCGAAGCAGGCTCCGAGAACACGGGCGCCTTCGACCTGGTCGTTGCAGGGCGCAGGGGGTGGAACACCTGGATGGGCTCCGCGTCGATGGCGGACGGTGTGCGCTTGTGGGTTTGCGCCTTCGGCCTGATTGTGGGCTTCCGCGGGGAGACACTCCAGTTGAGCTGCGAGACCGGCACGATCTGTTGCCCGATGAGGTGCGCGCCCTGGGCGGCGGAGATCGTCTGCGAGCGCTTCTTTGTCAACGCCGTGGGCGACTGCGATTTGGCGTAGGGACGGAGCGAGGCGATTGACGCCTGGCTCTCGCGCAGCTCGTTCTTGAGCGGGCTCCGCATCGCCGCCGCGCGGCCCTTGAGCGGGCTGTCCTGTGGAACGCGGAACGGAGAGAGCGCAAGTGGCGTCCCCGCCGTGCTGGCGGGCGTCGCCTCGAGGTCCAGCCGGTTGATGAGGGAAGCCAGGTCATTGGTGGCCGCATCCAGGATATCCATGAGGGCTACATGTTGACAGTTAGCAAGAACCAAAGAAAGAAAACAGCGCACGTACCATCGCCGTCGTCGTCGTCGTACACCGCCTGAGGCCTGGGCCTACCGAGCATCTGCTCAGACATAGGGCGCGAGCGCGAGCGCTTGATTGGCGTCTCGCTCTTGGTGCTCCTCTCGTCGTCGGTCGCGGCCGAGTGTCCGTCAGCCGTCGCTTCTTCCACGCGCACGAGCGGGTTCTCTGCAATCGACGCAGGCGGCGACAGCGAACCGGTGGAGTCGCGCTGGCCCGCCGCGTACTGTGCGTCGGGGAAGATCGCAGAGATAGGCGTGCGCCGACGCGAGTCAGAGGACCGACGGCTGTCGCGCTTCGTCTTGCCTCCTTCCGCGGTGGCTGCGGCAGCCTCTTGCTCGCGACGCGTGCGCCGTTCTTGCCTCTGCATCTCCTTGACCGTACGGATGCCGGCCTCGTCCCAGCGCACCGATGCAGCACTGCTCGTCGACGACCGCCCTGAGCGAGCGGTCTCGACAGAGATGCCGGATACCGTCGAAGGGGGGCGGAGGGACGACCCACTCGAGAGGATGGACGATGGCCGGCCTTGCGCGTTCATGATCAGGTGAGCCGAGTCGACCGAGAGCCGTTGTGGGGCCTGCGCCACGCCAATAGCCGCGTTGACGGAGCCTGCGGAAGAGCCCGACGCGTCGCGTACAGTGGAGAGCCGCATCGTCGAGGGCAGGCCGAGGCCGAGGATGCTCTGTTTACGGCGCGTGGTGAGCGTGCGCGCGCCTTCGACCGTCGTCGCATGTGGGGCGGGCGAGGGTTGCGAAGAGAGAGCGCCCGCCTCGAAGCTGCTGCCGGAGTACCGCGAGATCGTCTTCTCCTTCTCCTTCGCACTTTCCTTCTCCTTCGTCTTCTCCTTTTTCTTCTTCTTCGTCGGCTCGCCCTCCTTCTTGGCGGCCTTCTCCTTCTTCTCCTTCGTGTCCTTGCTCTTGGGCTTCGTCGTCTGCGTCGGCTCGGGGGCCGCGTTGCCTTCCTTGTCGTTCGAGAGCTGCGCCCAGCTGGCCATGCGCGCCAGCGACCGCATCGAACGGATCGCGCGCACCGCGATGGAGCCAGTGAGTGGGGCGTCGCCGCCTGCATTGGCACTCAGGAGGCCTGGCGAGGGCATCGTATCGTCGGGGAACGTACCCACAACGGGCGTAGTGGTGACGAGCGGGACCTCGAGCAGGGACTTGACGGAGCCGGTCTGCTCCTTCGCCTTCTTCTCTGGCCGCGATGCGGGACTGTTGAGGAGGATACCGGAGTCGAGCGAGTTGAACCGCGCGCGGCCTTCCAGAGGTCGCGCAGGCTCGGGGGCTGCAGTCGCATCAGCGACGTGTTCGACGCGTCAAGAAACGGGGGAAACTCACTCTTCGAGCGCGCAGGCGCCTTCTCCTCCTTCTCCTTCTCCTTCTCCTTGCCTTTGGAGTCCTTCCGGCCGCGGCCGATGCTCCACCACTTCTGGTTCTCGTCGCCCTTGACCTTCAGCAGGTTCTCGTTCTGCCCCTTTGCGTTCTCCTTCTCCTTCGTGCTCTCCTTCGTCCGTTGCTCCTTCGCAGACGGGACGTTCGTCACCTCGCCCAGCGCGCCCCACCGCATCCCGTCCAGGCCGAGCCGCGACTTCTTCTTTTTCACGACCACGATCTCGCCCATCTCCGGGTCCTCGCCCTGGTCGACGTAGATCTCGAACCCGCTGCCGCCCGTGGACGGCGCGCCGCCGACGCGGCGCACGACGTCAGACAGGTCCTTGCCCGTGCGGTCCTTGGCGCGGCTCGAGCCCCCAAGGAGCCCGAGCTTCGACCGCTTCGGGACGAGGCGCTTGCGGGGCGCTTCCGAGGATGGTTTGGGCGCCAGCGGGGAGCGGGGGCGGGGGCAGAGGCGAAGGGGGCGATGGAGGCGTAGGAGGAGCTGGCGAAGGAGGTACTTGCGTCGCCAGCGGAGCCGGCCGCGGACGGGGTGGCGGAGATCAGGCGGATGGTCGGGACGTGGTGGGCGGGGGTGTCGGAGGTGGGGAGCGGGGCCGGGGCACGAGAGAAGGACGAGTTGGTGGGGGCGGGGGGCCGAGACAGCAGAGGCAGGGTGTTGCGCATCTTCGTGTGCTCGTTGCTCGTCGTGGAATGTCGTGTGTGTGGAATGATAGCGTGAAAGGGGGTCGTACAACAGAGTCGTGCTTGAATTCGTGATAGTTAATGAGGAAAACGTCGGGAACGGGGACAGAGTCTTCGTGATATGTACGTGAACACCGACGGTTGTGGACTCGTGGGATCGTTACTTGCTGAGGGTTGTTCTTGCTGTTTCTTCGCTGGCTACTTACCGCTGCGCGCGACGTGAGGACGGGGGAGACGACGACGACGAGGGGAGGGACACACCTTGCGACTGTTGCAAGGTCGCTTTGCCAGCTGTGCTCCGCCGCTACTCCCCGTAAACTCGGAAACCTGGGGCCAAAGGAGGAGACCTTGGACAGAGAGAGTCGGACGCGTCGACGAGGGGCGAGGGCAGGAGTGAGGAGACGCTCTGGGTCTCTAAACCCGAACATGGATCAACACGCGCAGTTTGGGTGTGTGGGCGGCCTGGTCTGCGCAGGTCTCCAACCGCGGTCCGTTTCGACAACAGCACCAAATAACGCGCCGGTCACGTTACCGCGTCGCGTGTTGTCGGCGCTCTTATCGTGTCTGGACACGCCCTTGTACTCTCATCACAACTAGCACGTAAGAAGCCCCCATAGGTGAGCGCATCGTGACGTACTCGAAGTCAAACGAAGGAATAGCTTGTTTGCACCCAGGGCTACGCCCATGGGGTACCGACGCTTCCACAATTCAGTTTCCAAGACCTAGGGGACAACGCGAGGACGTTACAAGACTTGGAAAGGCAAACGACGAACAAATATGTGGTCGATCTTGCGATAGGTCGCGAAAGACAGAGCGCCATCTGCAGTAGAAGCTCCTCCAAGCCCAACTGCACGCTTCACTGAGCCCGTTTAATCTGTGTTGCGTATGTCATTCCATACGTGGACTCTTATGCGCCCACAACCTCACGCATGCGTCCTTGAGCTCCTTGCGATAATCGTCGCTTTTCGGAGACGGTCTGTGCCTCCTTTCTCCAGATCACTCAGCCTAAGTATGACGTCAGCAGCGGCGTTGAGTCACTGGCGCTTGATGACAAGCGTGAGATGGCTTCCCACACGGGCGCTCTGGGGATCCGGACCTCATTTTGCTCGACAGACTCAGGTCTCCACCTACCGTGCATCAACTCTGGATCCAGATCTTCCTGGTTACTGTTCAAGAATTTCAAGCTTTGTGGAGCCTTCGTGGCGGAGCACCCCCAGAAACCGCGTCGTGGACCAGGTCGTCACCTGGGTCGATGCGCCCGCTATCCAGAGATCTGAGCAAAGCTTGGTGCGCATGGTGGATAGACGTGACGCCTGTCTTGACTCTGTATATCCAGGGCCGAAATCTGTATATTTGTCTAGACAACTCATCCAAGCGCCCCGAAGGCTCTTCGGGCACCAGCTCGTTGAACGACGAACGGGAGAAACCCGTGAGTGTTCTCCTGCTTCTTTATTGACTATCCCCGTCGACTCATTCGCTGGAGACAGTTTTGCACCTCACGTCGCCTGGCATCTTTGAATATCTGAGATGGATATCTCAGCGTGCGCCGCAGGTTAACACTCGAACTCGGCGTAGAGCTGGGACGTATATATTCTCCGTCCACTCCCGAGCACACACTCATCATCAGATATCTTGAGATGCCTATCCCTCGGCGTAGCACGTTAAATACCAGCTAGGGATGGTGCGCACTCCCCATCCCAACCCCATCCCCAAGCATCCACTCATCATCATGGGCAGCGTCCGCCTCACCCCCTTCGCTGACGGCACTGAGGCGTATATTCCGGGCTTCTCCCAACATTTGTTCAAGATTGATGGAGTGTATCGTACGTCTGAATACTCGATCGAATTCCTAGAAGTAGGTGATTGCCTCGCTCTGGTTCTGAGTACCTCATTGATACACGCAAACCACATTACAGGAGCGCGACCTACCACAGGGCACTATAGTGGCCACATTCGACCCCGAGGTCGCGACCTACTATGTCAAGTCCCCAGTGGATGGATCTTGGCTTCACACTCGTATTCATTATGACCTCCGTGCGTTTCCGGTGAGTCCTTGTGGTTACCACAGTGCTGCGACTACTTCCCCTTCTCACTTCCCGTGTGCATATGAAGCACGGTGCAGACGAACAGCTCGATGCCACCTCTCCAGATCTTGTCGCTACTCCCTCTGTTTCGGCTGACGTCATGGTAAGTGTTCACCGCGATATATCGCCAGTTCTTCTCTGATGTGACGTCCACCCAGGAGTTTCATCAAAAGAAATACACATTGCCCGGACTACGCGGGCGTCCCCCGAGTACTGATGCGGCGGCCTGCTTGGCTGACTTCAACCGCTTGATCGAAGACATCGGCAATGCTGAGCCCGTCACCGATGGTTCCGCACCTGCTTTCTCCTTTATGGCGCATATCACGAAAGACTCCACACTTCAGCACGAGAAGTTTAGCCTCCGCTTCGAGGTACGTCCGACGGCCCTCACCGCGCACATTTATTCATACTTATATGTGGCAGATCCCGGACCTTGACAGGAACGCGTTCAAGAAGCAGTACAACTCTCGCATTCAAGGTAGTCCGCTGTCCCGCGAGCAGCTTGCCGACATGCTGGCGAACGACATCAAAGAGCGCATGGCAAGTCGTCTTCTCTGGTTCTGAGCATGAGCTCACCACTCACGCCCATTGCAGCGCATCCTTGAACGACCCCTGTCTACTAGTATTGACGGCGTCGAGCGCCAGGTAGCGCTTGAGCACCTGGTTCTGATCCGCGCCGAATGGGTCACCCAGGGGAGCGTGCAGGTCTTTCTCGGGGCGCGCTTCTGAGCTGCTGAGCCTCCTCTGTCCTCGTTCCGGCGTCACTTCCATAATATTCGTACGTTCGTCGTTATCTTGTGTATTGTTTCTCTCTACGGATACGCTTCTGTCAGGGTCCTCAGTCATGCACGGAGTGCCTGTGTGTGTCTGAGGACACCGATGGTTTTGTATTTACGACACTGGCTCCCTCGCATATGTGCATTCGACGCAGGGCGCTCCTTGCACACATACGCAGGTGTTAACATGGGTTCTTAAATCCGCGGTCGAGGTGGAGCTTCTCCACCGCGGCTGCGTGCATATGCGTCATTTGTAGTAGTCCGCCGGGCACAATACATTTCTTTCCGACGGAACGGCACCCTCGCGGAGGTGCGCTCACGCTCGACGCGATCGCCTCCGAATGTGAGCGTACAGAGAAGTCCCGTGAGAAAGAAGGTGGACAAGCGTCTCCGAGCCCGCCTTCATCTCAGGCCCTATCCAGAAACTCTCGCCCTTGCTGGGAGTCTCATTCAGTGTTCCTCCTACCGCATGCCAGTGAGAAGGAGAATTTCTATCGCCGTGGTTGCTGTTGCTGTTGGACGGACAACCTTTCGTTCGTCTCGCCCCTTCTCGGAGAGAATGCATGCCGAGTGTGCATCGGCCATTTCGATTCGCCGCACCGCCGCACCGCTCGCAGGAGTTTCCTTTCCTTGAACCTCCCTCCCCCCCGCCAGATATCGTGATATCTGATAACTTAGAGACAAAAAATGCGTTCAAACGTCTGGCGATATCCTACGGCGATCACACGTTTCCGTGGGTTTGTGGTACTTCAGGGAGAATCAGGGAGAAGACGCACCGTGGAGGCTCCGAGTGTCTATGAGGATATCTCGTCGTGTCTCTGGACGTAAAGTAGTCCTGACTCGCTGCTTTATGAATGTCATGAGGTAGGATCTGGACGCTTTGAATTGAGCTGCTCGCGCAAGACGGATATCTGGAAGTCCGTTTAGTATCCTTCTATCTTTCTGGATGGAGACCTGTGGAGCATAAGTAGCTCGTCAGAAACTCGCCCTGGTGTCCAACCCTTCACCTCATTTCCCTTCGTTTCGAGGCTGTTGGTACGGTGTAGTGTCGAGGATAGGTTTTCATTCCACACGCGTACTCGACAGTCAAAATGGATTCCGAAGACAGTGCGTGGATCCAGCAGGTAACGTCTTCGTGTTTCGGCTCGATTTCGCCGGTGCTTGCTGCTCAGTGACTTTGCTGACTCCGACGCATGTCTAAATCCCAGCAGGACGTCTATTTCAACCAGGTAAGCAAACCTGGTGTCTTTGTGTGTCAAGTGAGTAATCGTTCATTGAATAGATGATGGCCTCCTTCCGGCAACCCCAACGCCACCAAACTTTCCCCTTGGTGTCGACGAGGGCCTACCCCAACCCAATCCGAACCCACGCCAGCACTGTACCCAACCTCCATACCACGGGGTACCACGGTGTCACCGGATATCCCCCTTCCAATCTCGCCATCGCCAGTGCACCCAACTTGGACTTGTGCACCCCTAATGATCCTCGGATCTCCTCTCCAAACCCGACCGCGTCCATCCCGCCCCTTGCTGTCTTTTCCGGTTTCGACCCCTTCCAATCCAACGACTTCAGGTCTCCGTCATGGCCATTCGACACCTTCGGTGGACCCAACGAGAGCAACCCCCACTTTGACCCGGCGCTCACTACCCTCATGATGTCCCCTGAGACCTACCCATCGCCACAGGTGCACGACGAGTCATTCGAAATGGACGTTTTCAACTTGGAGGCTCCCGCAGGTTCCAGCGAGGACACTTACATCGAACCAAGAATAGACACTCACGTCGGCCCCAGCGTGGAACTTGCAGGGGTCCCGCTCCAGCTCCAAAACCGCTGTCTTCCTCGCCGTTCCTCCTCTTCCGGTGTGCTCATGCCCTCCATCCTCTACGGCGATCTCTCCCTCCTACCCCAAGCAGAGCAGCGTCCCGGTGACGAAGCGCTTGCGTTTGAGCCCGGCGCGTCCGTTGGTGAAAGACCTACGATCTTATTCAACGTACGTCGCAGAGTTCACACCTGCTAGACAGAGTCTCGCTCACCACGCCCGCCTCCTCTGATAGTTCCGTCACCTCGACTTCAAAGATCCGGCGCAGTCGCGACAGAGGCGCGTGCGTCATAATGGCCACAAGGACGGTAGGCCGTGCACGCGATACGAGCTGGCGCAAGTGGTGAGCAAGCAGCTACTGAAAGTCCCCGTGAGTCCACGAGCGAATCCAGAGTGAAAGGCTTACTTATGCACCATTGGAATAGGGGTTCGGCGGTCTTCACATCAGCATCGACGGACTCGCGGTTCCTCAAGAGAACATCGTCCTCCTTCGAGTCGACCACGTATCGCAGGGGACGCTCCAGCCGATTCTGGGTGTGCGTTGGGTTTGAGTTGGTGTCCATCGAGGGGAAGCTTCGCGGTCGTTGGTACAAGGGAGGTCGCGATTCCGATCGAGAGAGGCTGAGCCTTTTTTGGCCTGGTTAGGGTTCTGGCAGCCTCTCATGCGCCGACGAGTGAACTTTGTACAATGTATGCATACCTACATCCACAATCACATCATTATATATGCGGTAAATCTGAGGGCCATAGCACAGTGCACTAGGCGGTTGGTGATGCAGAGCCATTCAGACCCAGAGGGCAGGCGGACGACATCAATAAATATTGTGCGTGAGCGAGTCTCGAACTCCGGCCCTGAACTTTTACCACGAATCAACCGTGGGAATGAGAGGGCAGCCGCAGACGCAGGGACCCCGGGCGCTAGCAGTGGTTGCAGTTGACTGTCGACGTCTTCCGACGACTGGTTTACCTGAAAGCAGTTCATCAGAAGAAAGGGGCCCAGCCGTGCGCTGAAGTGGTTAGTATTGCTACTTAATATTTTTCTCCAGCTAATGCTCCCCATCCAGGTTACACTCTCAGCCTCGCACAATTCGCACAAGGCGACAACACTCCACTTTTTGTCATCATGAACGGGGAACTCAAGATTCTACCCATATATGCCGAGGTTGGGGCTCCGCGGCACCGCAGGCTCTCTCGAGGGCTACGCCTTTTGCTGGGTGCCGCTCTACTTCTCGCCGGGCTGCAGTACCTTCACCTCGCGTCGGGAACGTGGTCCGAGCGGGAGAGCGTACAAGTACCGCTGCGCGCGCCAGAGTGGCTTGACAAGTGCCGACTTCTCAATGTCAAGCCTGGTCCCCCGCCTGACTTCCACACCCGCAAGCACTCGGACCGCTTTGTTCCTGGAATGCCGGCCGCTCTGATTACCGTGCGTTTATGATTTTGATAAGATATCATTCGCTTACTATCTCGGCATCCAGAATGCGACAATATGGACTGGAGGGGACAACGGAAACGAAGTGATTAAGGGCGACGTTCTCTTGGCTGATGGTCTTATCAAGCGTATTGGGGCAATCGACGCCAGTCTTCTATCCCAGTACCCGGATATCAAGCATGTGAACGGGCATGGCAAATGGCTCACCCCCGGGCAAGTGATGGCCTGTAATATCATTGTTGACACAGCTGATCGGCGTGTATCCAGTATTGTAGACATGCACAGCCATCTGTAAGCCGTCTGCGCTTGAGTTTGTATCTTCCACAACTGACGAGCATTGGGGCAGTGGAGTGGACAGCGCTCCTGCCCTCAACGGAGCCAATGACGGGAACTCAGCGCATGGTCCAATCCTCCCGGTACGTCATGTAGCTTTCAACGCGAACTTGGTGATATTGACGTGGCGAAAACTGGAAGTGGCTCCGCGCGCTCGACGGGCTCAACACGCGGGACGATGCATATGCTCTAAGCATCTCCGGAGGACTTACAGTCAGTGTTTCGCTGCAGGAACCGGTGTCAGCGGTGATCTAATGCTTTTTGTTTCGTGTCCAGACCGCCAACGTTCTTCCAGGGTCAGCGAACGCGATTGGTGGACAAGCCGTCCTCATCAAGTTGCGTCATACAGATGACCGCGCCCCCACCGGAATGCTCCTAGAGAATCCTTATGAGACCAACAGGAGCGTCTACGATCCACATGTGTCCTTCCGGTACAGGCAGCTCAAGTACGTTGTGTAGCCACTTCTATCACGCTCGACGGCTCATCACATAACGCGTCTTTCTTCACTTCAGGCAGGCGTGTGGAGAAAATCCTCGTATGTTCTTCCCACTTCTCCTGTGTTTTTATCACTGAATAGGCTCCCTTATAGATGGATGGAATGGTCTCACTCGGATGGACACCGCGTGGAAGTTCCGCGAGGCTTACGAAACAGCGCGTAAAATCAAGGTCGCGCAGGATGAGTTCTGCGCAAAAGCGATGGATGGTGACTGGGCTGGACTCGGAGATTATCCTGAGGACCTCCAGTGGGAGGCTTTGGTGGACGTGCTCCGTGGACGTGTGAAGGTATGAACAGTCATCTCTGTGTTATTGCTGGATCGCTCAATATAGGATCTGTAGGTCCATACGCATTGCTACGAGACGGTCGATCTCGATGATCTCGTGAGGGTACGTCGCTTATCTCTTGGGTATCCTCTTTGGTCTCATCAACATCCAGATCTCCAACGAGTTCAAATTCCCTATCGCGGCTTTCCATCACGCCCACGAGACTTACCTCGTGCCGGACACGCTGAAGGCCGCATACGGTATGTACCGATGTTTGCACGCGTTCACAGCCACTGACTGTCCATATGGTACCTTATGGACACAGGGCATCCGCCGGCCAGTGCTTTGTTTGCTACGGAGGCACGTTATAAGCGCGAGGCGTTCCGCGGTTCCGAGTTTGCGCCGAAGATCCTCGCGGAACATGGCCTGCAGGTGGTGATGAAAGTGAGTATAACATGTGACGCACGTGCTAGTGAGACTGATAACTGATGCTCTTGGCAATATAGTCCGACCATCCAGTGCTAAACTCGCGCTACCTCCTATTCGAAGCCCAACAAGCGCATTACTACGGCCTTCCGCCCAACTTGGCGCTGGCGGCCGTTACGTCTACACCTGCCACAGTTCTAGGTCAAAGTCATCGGATCGGCTTCTTGAGACCTGGTACGCACTATCATCTCGTCATTTCCGAAGCGAAGCCGTGAATTAATGAACGCCTACAGGTTACGATGCGGGTGAGCCCCTCTTCCTCCTTCGCTTTACGTGTATGTGTGTCCTTGTACTCACTGGCACCCCTCTACGCCCACAGATGTTGTTCTTTGGGATAGTCACCCCCTTTCCCTTGGAGCTACGCCGCAGCAGGTCTGGATCGATGGCATCCCACAGTTTTCCGCCCCCCACCTCCTCTCCAAGCCCGACTCCTTCCAAGTCGTCCCCAAGACGCCAAATTGGGACCAGGAGATCAAGGAGACGATGAAATACGACGGGCTTCCTCCGCTGATGCCCAGGCCCGCGTCCGCGGAGACCGTTGTCTTCAACAACATCCGCAACCTCTGGTTGCGCGACGCGGGTCGGTTGCACGATGCGTTCTCCACCAAGGGCGCGAGCGCGTCTGGGGACGGAGTCGTCATCGTGCGTCGGGGCGCCGAGCTCGCCTTTTGCGCGCACCCCTCGGAGTGCGGCGCAAAGCTCGCGGGTCTCGACGCGACCAACGCCGAATTCGTCGACCTCGAGGGCGGCGCCATCTCTCCCGCGCTTACGTCTGTGGGCACTCTCCTCGGGCTCGCAGAAATCGACCAGGAACCATCCACCCACGACGGCGAGGTCGCAGACGCCCTCAACGAAGCCATCCCGGACCTCGCTGGTGGCTCCGGTGCACTCATCCGCGCAGTCGACGGTCTAATATTCGGTACACGCGATGCTCTGTAAGTCCCTGCACCGTCTCTCGGCGTCTTCCCCAACGCTGACGGGCCCCTCAGGCTCGCGTACCGCGCCGGTGTGACCACCGCCATTTCCGCGCCCGAATCCTACGGCTTCATGCTCGGCCTCAACGCTGCCTTCTCCACAGGCGCCGCGCACCGCCTCGCCCGCGGCGCAGTCGTGCAAGAGACCGGCGCGGTGCATGTCGCGATCCACATGGGTGCCAAAGCAAGTGTGAGCACCCAGATCGCCACGCTTCGCGCGCTCTTCCTCGGGAACGGCACCTCTGGCGACGTCGCGGACTGGTTCGCGCGGATCCGTGCCGGGGGCCCGCCGCTCGTCGTGCACGCGCAGAGCGCGGACGTCATCGCGTCCGTCGTCGCGCTCAAGAAGGAAGTGGAGGCCAGGGGAGGCGCGCGCATGCGGTGGACGATCATGGGCGCGACGGAGGCGCCGCTGCTCGCGAGGGAGCTGGGCGAGGCGGGCGTCGGTGTGATCTTCACGCGCGCAAGGCCGTTCCCGGAGGCTTGGGAGAACCGCCGGATGTGAGTTGCGCATTCTTGACGGCGGGACGTCCGCTGATCATGGGCACGCGCAGGGTCCCCGGTCCGCCACTCACTCCGAAGAGCGCTCTGGTGATCATGAAGGAGAACAACGTGACCGCGGGCATTGGGATCACGGAGACGTGGGATGCGCGCAATGCGCGGTTCGATCTTGCCTGGGTACGCTCCCGTCTGTTGGTGCTGCCGCGTCCCTGTGGCTAATTTTCCTGCGCTCAGGCTGCCCTCGAAGCAGATGGTGCTTTTTCCAAGGCCGACGCCTTGGCTCTCGCTTCTCTCAACGTGGAGACGTTGCTTGGTGTTGAGTCGGATGGTCTGCAAGGTGATCTAGTGGCAACCAAGGGCGGAGATTTGTTTGGATTTAGCAGCAAGGTCGTGGGTGTGATCTCTGCTCGTCGAGGGCTCGTAGACTTGCTTTGAGTTACGTTCAAGATCAACTCGTTTGTCTGTTGACGCTGTGGTATAAACCTGTTGCTATCGGCGCTGTTCCTCGGCGCCCTTGGCATTGTCTAGTCCGATTAAATCGGAGTTTGTATCGTGCTTCGATTCTCGTCTATCCTTCACTTTATCTCTTCTCAGCCACCATCACCTGTTCATTGGGCTCTCAACTACAAGTTCAGAACCATCCACGACGATGAGAACGAATGCTCTCATTCACCACGCCACTCTCACTCTCAATGGTGCATCACACGCCTCCGCATGGTCGATAACGGCATGCTGACTAACCGGCTATCGCGCCGCTTATAGACTCGCGTTCGATGCGGGCACCTTGCACCGGCCCGTGGCTGGACACACCCGTCTCCTCCTCAACCCTCCCGAAGTTGTAGGCCCAACATGCGCGACGACAGCCTCGAAAAGGTCGCGCTGCCCTCCTACGCGCCCGGCGTCCAGACACGCGCCAACACCTCGCGCGGCAAGCTGTCGCGTGGGTTGCGCGTCGTGCTCGCTGGCACCTTATCGCTCGTCGCACTGCAGTCCCTCGGGCTGTCCACGCAGCTCTGGCGCGAGGAGACTATCACAGTTCCTCTGCGCGCTCAGGAGTGGCTGCGGACGTGTGAGCTGCTCGACGTGCCGCCGGGCCCGCCGCCTGACTTCCACGACCGGGCGCTCTCCGACCGGTTCGTGGACGGGACGATGCCGACCTTCATCATGGTCAGTTCGGTTCGCTTGCGTGCGTGCTAGTATGTTGACGGCCAACCGGGCGCGGGTTTTGTCTAGAACGCGACTATTTGGACAGGTGGTGACAACGGCATGGAGGTCCTCAAGGGAGACCTCATCCTCGACGGTGGCCTCATCAGTCGCATCTGGCCTGGAGGTGCCGACTCCCACGTCCTCGACAGGTACAATAATTTGGCGTTCATTGACGCGCAAGGCAAATGGGTGTCACCTGGGTTGGTGCTCTGAATTCTTGACGTCCTTTCGAATGCTAACCAGAGCTCTGAGCAGTATCGTTGATTTGCACAGTCATATGTGCGGACTAGACTCCCTCCTGAAGTGGGCCTGTGCTGACTATTGATTCATCTGCAGGGGCGTCGACTCTTCTCCTAGTCTGAAAGGTGGTTCCGACACGAACTCTCGCAAGGGCCCAGTGCTTCCTGTTAGATTTCAGTGTTTATCCCGTGTGACGTTTGCTAACCGTCTGCTAGTGGCTTCGTGCACTCGACGGACTCAACACTCGCGACGACGCAATGATGCTCAGCATCTCTGGCGGTCTCACCGTAAGTAGCGGTACCTCCTTTGCATTTAAGATAAGGCGCTGACGTCTCTTTAGACTGTCCTTGTGCTGCCGGGATCCGCCAACGCCATCGGTGGCCAGGGTGCAGTCATCAAGCTCCGTCATACTGCGGACCGTGCGCCCACGGGCATGCTCCTCGAGAGCCCGTACGAAAAGAACACGACCATTTATGACCCAAGCAAGTACTTCCGCTATCGTCAGATGAAGTAAGTTTGTTCAGCGTGCTCGCGTGTGACCCGCGCTCACCGCGGGTTCTATCTCGTATAGGCACGCTTGCGGCGAGAACCCAGGTGAGCATCACCTGACGCGTGGAGGAGAGACACTCATGAGGTGGTCCAGACAGAGTTTACTCCGGCACCCGCATGGACACTGCGTGGGCTTTCCGTCAAGCTTATGACCACGCTCGCCAGCTCAAGGAAAAGCAAGACGCTTTTTGTTCCAAGGCGCGAAAGGGTCAATGGGACGGCCTGGGAGAATACCCTGAGGATTTGCAATGGGAAGCCTTGGTCGATGTGCTTCGTGGCCGCGTCAAGGTCCAAACCCACTGCTACGAGACTGTCGATTTAGATGATCTCGTGAGGGTACGCAATCCCCTTGGGCATGTGGTCTGTCTTGGGCTCACATCGTTTTAGATCACCAACGAGTTCAAGTTCTCCATCGCAGCGTTCCACCACGCCCACGAGACGTACCTTGTACCTGACACCCTCAAGTCCGCTTACGGCAAGCCCCCTGGTGTCGCACTTTTCGCGAACCACGCGCGATACAAGCGCGAATCTTACCGTGGGTCCGAGTTTGCCCCTCGAGTCCTCGCCGACAACGGGCTGCAGGTGGTGATGAAGGTCCGTCGAGAGTGCCGTGCGTCTTCTAGTCACTCATGAGTGCGTCTGCAGTCGGACCACCCTGTTTTGAATTCTCGTCATTTGCTGTACGAAGCTCAGCAGGCACACTATTACGGTCTTCCTCATAACCTTGCGCTCGCCGCGGTCACGTCCACCCCCGCTACGATCATGGGCCAAAACCATAGAATTGGCTATGTGAAAGAAGGTACGTCGTGCGTTCCCTAGTGATCTGTATCTTCAGCTAACGACGTCTACCTTAGGCTACGACGCTGGTATGTGCCTGTGTCCCGTGGCTAGTGATCAAGCTGAGACTGATGCTCGTCAACAGACATCGTTCTATGGGATAGCCACCCGCTTGCCCTCGGCGCGACGCCGCAACAAGTGTGGATCGATGGTATTCCTCAACTGGACGCGCCTTTCGTGGTCTCCAAGCCTGCATCGCTGCAAGATGTTCCCCCCACTCCCAACTTTGACAAAGAGATGAAAGAGACGCTTAAGTACGACGGCCTTCCCCCGCTTGAACCGAAGCCCTCCCTCAAGCGCACAGTCGTCTTCACCAACGTTAGCAGCGTCCACCTCCGCGACGCGCACGGCGTCAAGGCAGTTGCGTCCGCATCTGCCAACTCCGCTCTCTCGCACATCGTCGTCGTCCGCGACGGCAAGGTCGCGTGTGTCGACGTCCACTCTCCACGCGCGTGCCGCGCGCACCTCGACGACGACACAGAGCACATCGACCTCTCCAGCGGCGCCATCGCCCCCGGACTCACGAGCGCGGGCTCGGCGCTGGGCGTGCAGGAGATCGACCAGGAGATGTCGACCCAGGACGGCTACGTGTTCGACCCGCTCACGGGGAGCGTGCCCGCGATCGCGGGGGGCTCCGGCGTGCTCATGCGCGCCGCGGACGGGCTGCAGTTCGGCACGCGCGATGCTCTGTGAGCCTACTTATATCCGATGACTGAATTCCCGGCGGCGGGCGCTCACGCGGTTTGGTAGGCTCGCGTACCGGTCTGGGGTGACCGCGGGGATCGTCGCGCCGCTCACGCGCGGGTTCGTCTCGGGCCTGAACACGATGTTCTCCACCGGCGCGCGGCACAAGCTCGAAGAGGGTGCCGTCGTCCAGCCCGTCGGCGCGGTGCACGTCGCGCTGCACCCCGGCAAGTCCGCGAGCGTCAGCACGCAGGTCGCCGCGCTGCGCAACCTCCTGCTGGGCGACACGACGGGCGAGATGGGCAAGGCGTTCGCCAAGGTCAAGATGGTATGTTCCGTGGTTCCAAATCTCCGGTGCGCGACTTGACGAAGTGCGTTGGGTTCAGGGAAAGCTCCCCCTCGTCGTTGAAGTGTCAAGCGCGGACATCATCGCGTCCGTCATTGGGCTCAAGGCCGATGCGGAGGAGGCGCTGGGCAACCCCATCCGCGTTACGCTCTTCGGCGCGACGGAGGCGCATCTGCTCGCGAAGGAGCTCGCGGCGGCCAACATCGGCGTCGTCCTCGCGCCCGTTCGACCGTTCCCCAGCTCGTGGGAAGAGCGCCGCATGTGCGCCCCCCGTGCTTGTCCATCCGAATGTGACGCTGATCACGGAGCTCAATCCCTGTAGTCTCCCTGGTCCTCCGTTGTCGGAGCAGAGCTCGCTTTCGCTGCTTCTTGCGCACGGCGTCAAGGTTGGGATGGGCACGACGGACAAGGCGGACGCGCGCAACGCGCGCTTCGACGTCGCATGGGTGCGTCGAGCGAGCTCGTAGCATTTTGTGTAGCGCGCTGACGGCGCCCATCTTTGCCACAGGCGTCGTTGGAGTCAGGTGGTAAGATCTCGGCCCTGGATGCGTTCTCGCTGGCGACGTCGAACGTAGAGGAGCTTCTGGGTGTGGCGAGCGATGGGGAGGGCGACCTTGTTGCGACCGCTGGTGGCGACCTCCTGAGCTTCAGCAGCAAAGTCGTGGCAGTCATTTCACCTCGACGCGGTGTGGTTGACATTATGTGAATAGTGTGAGCAGTGTTGGGGTGGCTTAATAGCTGATGTATATAGGAACACATAACAGTCCTGTCGCGAATCTCATTTGTTCCGCGATAAGATAAGATCCCGAAGTCTGCAAGCGCGCGACAGCTTGGCCCGCCGGGAGGCTGCTGCTCGCAACTGACCTCCATTGCTTCCGTCCTCAACGTCAACATCTACGTGTGCCGGAAGAATGCCTATGACCCACGCCCACACCCACCCCACCGTACTGATAGACGCGATGGTGCTCTGAACATCGAGCGCTTGTACCGGAAGTGTTTGCAACGCGGAGGATGGGTGGGTCACCGATTGGTTGTCGGCGGCCGAAAGCTACATGTATATTGCTTGAGCTGAGTTCTCCACTGTCCAGGCAGCTCGAAGTCCTCCAAGCCCCGCCTCAGACATGTCTCAAGTTCCAACCATTCCAGCGCAGCAGAAGGTGCTCTTCGTCATGACGAAGCAAGGCGCTCTGGAAGTGCAAGATGCGGACATCGCTCAACTCGACCCCGGAGAAGTGCTCATCAAAGTCGAGGCTGCGATTGTAAACCCCGTGGACTGGAAGATCTATAAGGCAGGATTGTGGTTCCCGGACTCCGCTTACCCGATGGTCATCGGCTTCGAAGGGGCAGGGACGGTGACTGCTGTTGGATCCGACGTCTCCCATCTGGAGGTTGGGGATAGAGTGTAGGTGTCTGCAACTTGCCTCAGGCTGTCTTGGTCAGTGGTCACTCATTATCACTTAGCGCAATGTCCGGTCACCTGAAAAACAAGACCAGCTTGTTCCAGCAGTACGCCTCTATCCGTGCAGACATGGTTCCAAGGGTGAGCCTCTCGCCAGCCTCTCGCAAGGCAACTACGCTCACAGAAGATCCGGCGCCCAGATTCCCTCTAGCATTTCGTTTGACGGCGCAGCGGCGATGATTGGATCCTTCTGGAACGTCGCGATCTCCCTCTACAACCCCCACGAGAAGGCGACCGGCCTCCGGCTCACTCCGCCTTGGACCGCAGAAGGGCGCGGCAAGTTCTCTGGCCGCGCGGCGCTCGTCATGGGCGGCACCTGCACCTGGGACGGCCTCGCTCCCCTCCAAGTGAACGGCCTCCACACGCTCGCGCTTACCTTTGCCGCGGTGAAGTGCCTCCGCGCGTCCGGGTTCTCTCCCATCGTCGTCGCGGCTGACACGGACAGCTTCACGCTCGTCCTGGAGGCAGGCGCGACGCACGTCGTCGACCGGTCTCTTCCTCCCGACGCGCTCCTGGAGGAGGTCACGAAGATCGCAGGGAAACGCGCGGACGTCGTGTTCGACGCGATCTCGCGCCCGGAGACCCAGAACGCGGCGTACCACCTCACGGCGTCGGGCGGCAGCGTCTTGTTGGTTTGCCCAAATGCGATCGAGGAGGCACAGAGAGTGAAGAGGGAGGGCGAGGGCGAGGCGATTAACGTTGTCGATGTGCACGCTCTGCCGACGCTGCCGGCGAACGTGGGGTTCGGCCCCGAGCTTGTGCGCGGGTTCGAGACACTTGTGGCGGAGGAGTCCCTCTCGGTGAGTGATGTACGCGGTTGTCTTCTCAGCGCAAGGTGTACTGAGTATGGGTGTTCTTGCAGCCTGTGCCGATTGAAGTGCTCCCGGATGGGTTACGCGGCGTAGCAGCTGGAATCACGCGGCTAGAGGCGAAGCCGGAGGGTGGGACTAAACTGGTCATCCATCCGCACGAGACCGTATAGATGGCTGTGTTAGTAATACACGCCTAGAACTACGAAAATATGCTTCTATCCTGCACCCGGAGTGATTGCTTCGGGATCGGGTAGGTACGCGCGGTGCCAACGCTAGTTCACGTCCCTCTGTTGCTGTCCGGAGCCGCATGGCCATACACCATCTCACTCGTTATGATTTTGATTACTGCTTGGGCAGGCAGATCCGGACGGGGGACGCGAGCGTGAAAGAGGTCATGTGACCGTGTCGACGTCATCGCGCAGCTGACCCTGGTCTTGCGAGCCGCGACCGTCTTTGCTCCTGCGCTTGTACCACTATAGTGCCTCTCTCGATATTCCGATACACCCGTTGCACCCATTCCGATTTCTGAATCCCGATTCGCACCGACACTGTCCAAAGAGAGGGCTAGTTGCGGTGATCCGCGCGGAAACGCAGGCCGGCAGCAGCTCTAGCTCCCACCGCCCTGGCTTCTGGCCAACAGCCTCCGGCGGGACCCCACGCTCGCGATGCCTGCCTCTAATCAGCTGACGACCGCCCCGTCCACACAAGGCATCGCGGGCCCTCCCCCTCCTGAATCCCCCGTCCTTCCGTGCACCTCGCTTCCCCGACATCTCCCGTCGCCCTGCGCGCCGCATCCCGTGTTGGAAGGAAGCCGTGGAGCCCCTCGTGCGTAAATACCGCTCCATATTCTCCCCCACTCTTCCCCTCTCTCTTGCACGACCACCTCGCCCCCCTCCCCGTCGCTGCCTCTGGCTCCGGCATCCCTCTCTCCCGCCCCCACATAGACGGCACCATCTCTTCGACTCATTAGAGCCCACTAGAGCTCCCGGCTGCGCCCCTACAAGTCCCGTGCGACCATGTCTTCCAAGGCCGTTGAAGACCCTGCAGCGCAGGTGCCCCTCAACGGCGCTGCGACCGTAATGATCAGGAAGAAGGAGCCGTATCCGTTCTGGCTGGGAGGTGCGCCCACTGTCCCCTCCAGCGCGCGGGCGGTCGATGATATCATCCGATGAGCAGGTGTTGCGGCTACCATCGCGGCGTCAATCACACAGTGCGTACCCTCCAGTCCTTTCCAGCGTCCTCCCCCGTCGTCGTCAGCGTTGTCGTACGTCTCACTCGTCGTGCGATGAGCGGTCTTTGCGCAAACGATTTCCCCTCCACGCGCCACGAGCCGAGCGTACGACTGTCAGCGCGAGATGGGGTGAGAACCCGAGTCAGACAGCTGACTATATGCGCTCCTTCCCAGCCCGCTCGACCTCACAAAGGTCCGCTTGCAAGCGACGGGCGACAAGCGCATGGTCGACTCGATCAAGAAGACGGTGCGCACGGCGGGCGTGCGCGGCCTCTTCGACGGCATCTCCGGCACCTGGTTCCGACAGTTGACGTACTCCATCTGCCGCTTCTGGGCGTACGACGAGAGCAAGAAGCTTATTGGAGCAGGTGCGCGTTTCGTTTCGGGTCTCCTAGCAGGCTGCGTTGACGAGGCGCATAAGACAACAAGTCTCCCCCGTGGAAGCTCGCCATGGCTGGCTGCATGGGTGTGTACACTACCGCATCATGAGCTGCATTCAGGTCTGACCCCACATCGCGCAGCCGGAGGCATTGCCGGTTTCGTCGGAAACCCCGGAGGTGCGTCCCGCCTCGCGCGGAACTTTCGCGGGGGTGATCTCGGGCCTCGAAGCGCTGACGGCGGCTCCTCGCGACAGAGATCCTCATGGTCCGCATGCAGGGCGACTTCGCAAAGCCGCCAGAGAAGCGTCTTAACTACAAGAACGCTATCGACGGGCTCTTCCGGGTGAGCGCGCGCTCTCCGTCTACAGCGTCGGGATTGGGCTCACACGTGGCGCATTCGGCATAGATGGTCCGCGAGGAGGGCGCGTCCTCGCTCAGCCGTGGAGTGGGTCCCAACGTTTTCCGTGCTGTGCTGATGAACGCGAGTCAGCTTGCTTCGTGAGTGTCTCGCTCGCGTCCCTGAGGTTCCTTCCGGGAGCGGGAGGACGAGGCCAATCGGAGCTCGCGGCTGACGCATTTTAACTTTCCGCAGGTACGACTTCTTCAAGTCTTCGCTCTTGGCGAGTGGCTACTTCCAGGACAACATCTACCTGCACACGACCGCCAGTTTCGCCGCGGTATGTCCTTGATCTTAGGCGCCTACCTCTGATGTGTGATCTGACAATGATGCCTTACAGGGCACTGTCGCGACGACGGTTTGCTCGCCGGCTGATGTGCTGAAGAGCCGCATCATGAGCGCGTCGGGTGCGGAGGGGAAGTCGACAATGCAGATGATTCGTACGTCGATGAAGAACGAGGGCGCGATGTTCATGTTCAAGGGCTGGTTGCCGGCGTGGACGCGTTTGCAGCCAACGACGATGCTCATCTTCATCACCCTCGAGCAGCTCAAGCTCGCCGTCGACTGGTACCGGGCCGACGTCTAGTCGTGAACCCCGCCTTCCTTTAACCATGTTGTCTGTACGATCATCCCACCTGACTGTCGTGTATGTTCTGTATACTAAGCATGTACATTTTCCCACTGTCCCTGAATTTCCTACGTCTTTTGTGCGAGCACTGTCGATCACGATAGATCACGCTACATAGGCAAATGGCTGTAGGCTTCCGTACGTTTTGTGTCCTGCGTTCCGTCCGACCTCCAATTTCCGACCTGCTTACCCCGTACCCCACATGGACCCCGCAAGGTACATACCCCACAGTCGTCTAGATCTGTTCCGCCCTGTGCATCGCCGTGTTCTGGTCCGTTCGCGATGCGTCTCCGAGGCACGGATCTGTCCGCTCGCCGCCTGCGTCTTCCGCAGCGTCAGCGCGCTCGCCCGCTGACCTTGAGATCCGCACCGGGTCGCCGCAGGAGCCAACAAGCGTATGCGGCGGCTCACACGCCTTCCGGCGCGTTCCCGTCCGAGGGGCGCGTGCTGTGTGACGAGCCAGGACGAGCCCGGTTTGCTCCATGCCAGCCAAAGCGGACCGGTGGACCGAAACTTGTGTCCGGGTCAGACCGGTCCGACATACACTGCGGCGGGGAGCGTTTCGGCCGATTCGAGGGAGAGGTTTGGTTGGATGCCCCCGGTGGTGTCGACAAGGACGCAGTGTCGACTAGAGTCGCTGAAAGCAAGAGATAGCGAGGAGGAGGAGCACCCCGAAGTTCGCGGATAGCGCGGCCGCGCCGTCGGCCACATGGTCCGTCGCGTGCGTTAGTCATCCACCGGCGCCTACGAAGCCTGCAGAGTGCGGAATGATGTCGACGGTTGCCCCGACCCCACACTTGCAATTGGACTCGTCGCACCGACGTCCACCGTCGCCGCTCATCCATCCTCTTTGTCCACGCGGGCGCGCTGGCCTCTCCCTTCCCTCCCTTGTCCTTCGCGCCTCTCTTCCCCGCACTCGGCTTCCGAAACACCCCGCAAGCACCCGACCCCGATTCCCCAGCTCCGAGCATATGCTCCCCCACCACCATGGACTCGCCCCCGTCTCCCATCGATGAGCAAAGCCTCGGATCGCCCAGAGGCGGGAGCCCTGGGCCGAGCGGCGACATGAAGACCTCGCACACGTCGTCGATCTTGAAGGAGCGACGCTTCAAACTAAGCCGGTGCGTGAGGTCGCTGCACGCGCTCTTTTCGCTCGCTCACAGCGGCCTGCATCTGCTTCCCTCACTCGTCCGTCCACCGCTTCGCGCGGACGTGCGCGTCGCCTCCTCCCCTCTCTCTCCGCTCACAGTGCTTGCGACCGCTGCCGGTGAGCACGGCACAACCCGCCCGCGCGGAGGGTGTCGAAGGCTGACTGTATGCTCATGCGCTCGCGCGCGATGCGACCCAGACGACGGCGGATCAAGTGCGACGAGGGGCACCCGTGCCAGTCGTGTCTGACCTCCAACTCGGCGTGCACGTTCGAGGAGCCCGGGAAGCGCACTCATCCCCATAAGTCGAAGTGAGTCGGTCGTTTGTTTCGTTCGAGCTGCGTTCTTGCTCTGTTCCCCTCCCCTCCCCTACCTCTGCTATATTGTTTGTTTTTGCGCTCTGGGACTTCGATGGTCGGCTGCGGGTGTGCGGGCTGAAAACGAGTCATTTGAGCTCGCCGCAGAGCGGGCTCGCTTCACTCTGCAATCTCGTTTTCACCCTGTGCTCCCGCAGTCGCCATCTTGGAGTCTGCTGCCCAGATAGCCGGAGCGGAGTTGCCCCGTTCTTGATTATCGAAGCCTTCGCGCATGTGGTGACCGCTGGCTTCGCGAAACCGTGCTCGAGAATGCGCGCTGGGCCGTTTCGAGCTCCGTACCGCTTCTGGGTTCTTTTTTGGGCTCTTTGGCCCATCGTATGTGCATGTGCTCGTCTTCGATGGCGAGGAGCACTCGATATCCTCCTGCAGGTCTCCCCGAGCCCCTCCCCGAAGTTTCCACGGCTTTTACTGCGGAGGCGGGGTCTGTTGGCACATCGATGCCGAAGATATATGCGTCCTGGCGTGGCGGGAAGCACGGCGTGGGAGTAGGACCTGTTCGCTCGATGGTCCAGCAAGGTCTCTGCTACGGGTATCTATCAAGGACGTGTCTGCGAGCACGCTGCGCCCACATTCTTCCCGGAGCGATGCCGTAACCGTGGGTCCCCCATACTGACCCTCCGATAACTTCAGGCGCGCCGCGACGCTCGAAGACCGCATGCAACATCTCGAAACCCTCATACAAGCCATCCCGCCCCAGGTCTTCGCAGGGGCGGGTGCCCTCGGCGCTGGCATGCCGCAGTCACCCGTCGACCCAAGCACGAACCCGCACGCCTCGTTCGCGTCGTCGACACACATTTTCCCAACATCACTACCCCCGCCCTCGCTCACCGCCTACCCGCTCACGAACCCGTCGACGTTCTTCGGGCCCGTCCGGCAGGGCTCTCGGAACGCCAGCCCCGCCTCAAATGGCTTCCACAGCGTGCCCCAATCGAACGCGACGGACCAGCTTGCGGACGAGACGGCGCGGATGTCGCTTGCGTCGTCGTATCTCTACTTCGACGACGAAGGGTACACGCGCTGGCAGGGCGAGACCTCTGGACTGCCGATCCTTGACCTACTCGTCGAGCGGCACACGGTCGCCCCGAAGCCGGACCCCGACCACATGCCGATGCCGCAGCAGCAGGGGCAGGGCCAATGGAAGGCACAAAATGGGGGCAGTTTGCAAGACTGGTTCCCCGATCGCCAGCCGCGGCGAACTGAGGCGAACCCGGAGCACATCTGGAAGCTGATCACGTCTTTTATTGTCCCGGAACTCATGGACAGGTGAGCGCAAACTTCTGCCCCCCTGTCGCTGCGTTCGCTGACATGTGTACCCAGCCTTGTGCAATGCTATCTATCGACGTCATACTACCTTCTGCCCTTCCTCCACGTTCCGACTTTCCTTGCGGTAAGCGACGGTATCTAAACAGGTTACCGGATCCATGGACTGACACCTTGCAGGATTATGGGAACCCGCGAAAATGGGGCGAGCCAGGCTTCGCCGCGTTTATCGTCGCCATCTGCTGCCTCTCCTCGCGCCACATCGACGACCCGCGCGTGCGGGCAGACCCGAACGATAGCAACAGCGCCGGGACGCAGTGGTTCGACCTTCTCACACGGCTCCGGACGCTTCCCGGCGCGGACAAGCCGACGCTCTACACGATCCAGTCGGTGCTCATCGCGGGTGTGTACGCGGTCGGGCTCGGGCGACTTTCGAAGGCGTTCGCGCTCCTCGCGGAGGCGGTCACGCTCTCGATGGACGCCGGCCTGCACCGCTCCGCGGACGACTACGATCTCTTCGACCCGGTCGAGGACGAGGTCCGGAAGCGCACTTTCTGGTGTGTCTACCTCTGGGACAAGCAGGCGTGCGCGCACTTCGGACGCCCGCCGGTGTTGCGCCTGCGCGATTGCGACGTGGGCGAGCTCACAGTCGTCGACGACGAGTTCGTGTCCCGCGACGGGGTCGGTGTGCAGCCGCCGGAGACGGAGTCACGGATGGCCGCGTTCGTCGCGTGCGTCCGGCTCTTCGTCGTCCTGGAGTCTGTGCTCGACGTGCCACCGTCCCGCTCCGCCGCGGACACCTCGCCGTTCCTCGCGCGCGCAACCGCGGTGCTGGGGGACGGCCGTCGTCGAGGCCGCGAGCTTCGCGATGAGGAGGCGTTGCTGGACGAGATCTGCCGCGCCGTGCCCGCGCACTGGGCGCACTCGGTGGAGACGATGACGAGCGGGGATGTGATCAGGGTGACGCAGGCGGAGCGGCTGCACTGCGTCGAGCACTACATCCGGATGCTCATCAACCGCCACCGGTTCTCGGAGCTCGTCGCGGAGCGGATGCAGAACCACGTACCGGACGGGGAGCAGGGCGAGACGGAAGTGGAGGCGATGCGCGCCGCGCACGCGTCCGCGCTGCAGATAATCTCCTCACACCTCCAGATCGCTGCGAAGGGGCTGATGACATACTGTGAGTTCCGTTCCATTCTGTGCTGGCATTTTCGACGTGCGGATGAAGATGGGAGTGGGCAGGGCTGTGGGCGTTTGGATATCTGGGGGGCCACCGCTGACTTTATAACCTTCTTCTAGACGGCGTTCACGTCATCCACCAGCTCACCGCGGCCGGCCGGACGCTGGTCGCGATGCTGCTCAACTGCCACTCGGATACGCTACGACCGCTCATCCCACCCGCGCTGGAAGCGCTTAGGTCATGTGTCGGCCTCCTGCGGCGTTTTAGCGGCCGGTACATATGCGGGCAGCGTTCGGGCGACCTGATGGAGGAGTTCTGCAGGAGTGAGTGGGCACCCGTCTCCGTCTGCGTTCTCACGACGCTGACCACCATTCTTCTCCAGTTACGCAGATCCCGTTGGAAACGATGCCGCGCCAGCCGCAGGACGGGACAGCGCCAACGAACCGTCCGCCATGGGTGCGCCCCGTCCGGAAGAAGACGAGCTCGACGGCGCGCTCACCCGCCGGCTCCGGCGACTCGCCGCTCGGGCACGGCAGCCCCGACGACCTCGCGCAGCAGGCGTCCACGCCCACCCCCGCCAGCGCGTTCGCGGACCCTCTGGGGAGCCCCGGTGCGCAGGCGCAGGCGTTCGCGCAGACGTTCGGGGGCGGGCCCGCCTTCCCGCTCGACTCCGCGCTCGGGCTCGCGATGGGCTTGGGCGCGGGCGCGGGCGTCGGTGTCGGCGGCGGGCAGGTTGGGGGCGGGCAGGACCCGGCGGGGGCGATGTTCGCGGCGGACCTGATGGCGTTCTTGAACGCGGACCCGTCGGGGCTCGACATGGGCGCCCTCCTGGCCTCCCCGGACGGACGGGTCGGGCCTGGGATGGAGCACCCTGGAGGGTTTTACCACCTCGGGGGGACGCCTGCGGGTAATGGGGGGCCGTTGTCGCCATAGCATGTGGGGTGAGAAGGTAGGAGGACGGAGATGAAGTGTTCATATCTGGGTGACGCGTAGGCTGTGTTCCGTCCGTCCGTCTGTTGTCGTTGTCTGCTGTGTGCTCGTACGAGTATCTGTCCACTGTTGGCTTGTAGTTAGTAAGTAGTCATATACGTCGATTGTCGTAAAATCCTTACCTCGATCGTGTTTGCAATGACTGTGAAGCATCCTGACTCCTCGTCTTGACGGGGCAGAGCACCGGGTTGCGCTTGGGCAATTGGTCCTGCTCCACGTGGAGTGAGTCACCGGGGGGGTGTCCAGGTCTTTCTCGGTGCGTTTGTGAACGTCTGAGTCTCCTGTGTTTCTCTCGACATCCGTCCCTTCTGTGAACCTTCTTGAACACCCACCATCCCCCATGAAGTGGGTAGCTGTCTGCGATTCCGCCACTGGATACACTCGTTCTAACTCGCGCTACAGGAAGTGGAGAAGTTTGCCGATGCACCGCTTATGCTGAGAGTGCACCTCCGACCTCGCAGACATTCTCCGGCAACAACGCGACTGACCTAACGACGGGTCCAACCGGCGAGGGTGGATTTAATGCCTGGAGTTTGACACGACGGAGTAATTCAGAATGATCCACCAAGCTCATCATGAGCTTGAGGGCCTAAGGATGACGGAAGAGGACGACGACACCCTAAACAACCTTCCCGTACCGAGTTGTCCTATTATATGTATCACACCACTTAGAAAGTAGCATCCGCGAACCTCACTCCGTCGGGGACTGCACGAGGAAATAGTTGGCACCGACCAGCTTCAAGCCATGCTTCTCCGCAAAGGCCATCGGGTTCCAGCTCCGCCGCTCCTCGAGCGCCGCGCCATGTTCCACTTCGCCCTGTGGAACGAGGAACGGCGCCTTGTCCGCCGGTTCTTGAAAGAGGAGGAATGCTACACGTATGTGCCGAGTCTCAGCATCCCGGCCCTCGGGCCTGAGATGAACGCAGAGGGGAACGAGGGGAAATGCTCACTGTATCTATGCATGCCCGAGTTGGGACGCGGGCCGGGGGCGCGGTACGGACATGTCGCCGGGTGCGTCTTGAGCGCGTTGAGAGCCTCCGTCGTGTTCGCGGCGACTGGGGGTGCCTTCAGGCCGGTCACCTGTCCCGCTCTCCGTCACCCTTCTCCATCCAGATACGTGCACATCACGCAGGGTACGCGACTCACCACCCAATGTCTGAAAGACCTGAACTGCGGCTCTGCGCGGAACGGCGCGTCCGGGTCGAGCATCGCCAGCGTGTACGACGTCTCGAGCGCCCCGGCGGCGCTCCCGTCGCCCCACGGTGCCGCAAGCGGGGCGAGGCGGATCTCGGGTTCGTCTTGTGTCTCCGCGACGGTCATTTCGTTCCCGAGGTTGACTTCAGCGCCGTTTGGGTAGACGACGGAGAAGAGGACGGTGGGCGTGAAGGCGGAGGGGTCGGGGATGACATCGGGGACGATCTGCTCGGCGACGAGGGCGCGGGTGATTGCTGCAACGGGATCTCCAGACATCATGTCGTGAGCGAGGACGGGGAGGTGAGAGCTGACGATGGGCGATAACGGAGACGAAGAGGAAGAGAGAGAGCTGGGCCGCATTAGTTGCTGCCCCGGGCGATCCGTGACGTCACCCGGGCACTTCGGGCCGACGACCGGGCCGGCATACCGTCTCTCCGACGTTCCCTACTTCGAGGTTTTACAAAGAGAGTAGCAGATAATGGGCTGCGAGATACGTTTTTCACCACGTTTATGGTCCGCCCGGCGCAAGTGCTGTTCGCATAGCAGATCTGCCTTTCCAACGGGCTCAACTTACCCACGCGGACGAGTCCCTGGCACTCCCGCCGACGCTTGATGAAGGAGCGGTTTCCTGAGCTAGAGAGTGCTTGGCTTGCGTTCCGCTGCCATTCATCCGGTGAGCACGGAAACCTCACTCTTTTCACGCGCGGTCTTCATAGTACATTCTGCACAGTGTTACCACTGCCTGACTCAGCGCCCGCTCACTGCTCAAGCATATATTCCTCACGCGCAGGAGCCGCGCCTTCTCGGTGTCGTCCCTCCAGTGGTCCGAGGTGACGAGGTGACGGTACAGAAAGTACTTGAGGGCCCGGGCAGGTAAGTGCAGGATATAGTCGCGGCACAGACTCGAGGCGCTCGGCTGTGCGCGCGGTGCATGTGGGCGAGTTACAGCGACTGTGTACAATGCGACTGCAGCTACAGTTTAGTGGTGGTGAGCCTGCGCGAGGAATACGGGGAGATTGTCAGAGTCCGCGGTTCGAGGCGAATGAGGTTCAAGTGGCTCGTGGTCACACAGGCTTCCGTAGCTTCGGTTAGTAACCCCCTCGTCTCTGCATCCATCGAATGCGGTGTCGGAATGATATCCGACCCTTTTTCGCTGTGTTTTGCATGAGACCACGAGGACAGTAGTTTTATCTTTAGGCACATTCGTGCCTTCTTGCTGATCCTCGTCTGACAATGACCGGCTCCGCGCCGGCTTCGATCGAATGTGAGCCTGACACCACATCATCTGGATTGTTGAAACCCTTACTTTGAACGTGGCTTTTCTGTCAAAACCACATTCACCGGCTGTCAGCTGTAAGTTCGGCAGGAGTGACTGGGACGCTCCGCCCGTCATGGTGAGGGACTCCGTTATATCTCCGTCAGCTGATCCCGGAGTAATTCGATAGTACTTACACGGGGGCTCTGTCGTCCACATAAAGTCGTCGGCGAGTGAGGAGCTCCTTGTCAGCCTCTTCGTTCTCAACACCACTCTTCGCCAGACATGAGCGTCCAAAGTGTCCTTACCACTTCTCTTGTCGGCGGAACCATCAGCTCGCTGTCTGCAGATCTATACTTTGTAAATAGCTCGAATCGTGAGTCTCCTTCTCTGACATTGGGATGCCAAGAACTCACCTCGGTTCGCTGTGAAGACCAGTTCATTCTGAACGACGCACGTGAGTCCTCAGTGGCTCTCTTCGACTTGAAATCTCACCCATGCACGCAAAATCGCAGCGAAGTCCGTTTTGAACACAACCCATCCCATCAAGAACATCGACATTTCGTGTGGATGGATTGTACGTGGCGTCGTCGTCGTCGTTATGAACAAAATACTGACCGGGGCGAGCGCGGCGCTTCAAGGTCGACGGAGTGACCATCACGTACCAAGTCGCCGGCACCGGAGGTTCCTCTGTGCTCAGCCACGGTAGCGTCTTCAGCCCGCCCTCGAGCAGCGTTGCGATTGGTGCGACCGAAATCGTCGCCGCCGTCTTCGGGCGTGCGGGGTATCAGACTTACTACGAGCGGGAGATGATCAACAACGTCGGCTTCGTGATCTTCGACACTGACAAAGCTACCACGCGCATCGCCGGGGTGAGTGCTCAGTGCTGCGAGCGTCGTTGATGGAGAGCATGAACTGACGAACTTACGGCAGCCATTCGGAAATGGAGACAATAGCAACCAGGGCGCTCCGTTCTATGCTTCCGACGTGCTAGCATTCGGGAGCTTTGCGGTCCCTGGATCGTCGGCGTGTCAGTGTTCTTTCTGTCCTATCGGATTGTTCTAAACTCACTGAGACGGTTTTCCGCAGTGGGACTCTCAGGGCTGTTCTTCTACACAGACTCTGCAAATTGATTGAGGATATAACTGAGGATTGAAGGAGAGTGTTGGAATCGCCAGGGAATGGACTCCATTAGCACAAGTATTCCGTCGAGCTCGAATCGAAATGTAAACGATCATCGCCAGAGTCGTCCTTCTTCTACCTCGCTGTGAACCGTGCCATGAAGGACCAAGTATAAGTGCCCACAAATTCTGAGCAGTTCAAAGTGTCGGGAATGAAGTTATGAAGTACGGCATGAGAGATGAAGGCAAAAACGCACGCGTGGCTTTGATCAAATCAGCATGGACACTCAATCTAATCTTATCTGGAGCGTTGCACGTTGGAGCGGCGCGCGTCTGTGGTCTCACTGCAACTTCAACTTTACTCCCGCACATGACACGGTCCCCTCCCCGTCCCCTCGATTACTGCCATCTGCGCATATTGCAGCTCAATCAAGACCGCGTCCGCGGTCGCGATGGCCTTCATTGACTCCCTCGCCCGGGGGTCCGTACCGTTGTCGTTGAACAAACGCCCGTATGTGTAGGCGCTGTTCGAGCTGCAGAGACTCATGTTCGTCGATCTCGGCTTCGCGGCGCACGCGGACGAGTCACGGATGCCGGCGCTGGCGCTGCAGTGGGGCGACTGTGGGGTGGATGCGTGGGCGTCGGAGGACGAGCGGGAGGTTTACTGAGGAGGAACGGAGGTCCTGTCTCTGTGATGTGGACTGAAGGACGTCATATGAACCCTTCTTTGATTACGGATGAGATGGAACGTTGAAGCGAGGTTAGCTGAACTTGTTCGGAGGAGGCGAAGGAGCTGTTTCCGTGAGGATGTGAGTACCGCAGTGCGACCCTCTTTCCCGCCCGCTCCACGCGCTCGTCTCCCTCGGCCAGATCCCCCGCAGCGACGCCAACCCACATCTGATCGTCCTCCGCAAACGTGAGGGGTTTGATATGCACGATATGGTGCGTCTGTATCCTCGTCACAGTCCGCGAGCAAGCGACGCGGCTCCGATCACGCAAAACACTTCCCTCGCCCTTATGACCAGCGCCAGTGACCTTGAGTTCGCGCTGTAGAACTGCTCGATGTGTACATGGACCGCGTGGAGGATGTGATCAGGTGAGACTCCTTGCTTCCTTGAGCTCTTGCAAGGAGAAACGAATCATCTCATTCTGGATTCTATTAGAACAATCTCCGCTGATCTCCACCTGCTCCGCGCTCCCGGGGCTGGACCACATGCTCCCTACGTGACTTCAAAGTTCGGACGCTGTCCACAGGCTGCGTGCACATGGACCAATGGTCATTGCTCGCTCGACTTCCCAGAAGCGTCCAAAGACGCTCGGACGCAGCCTTGAAAACTTGACTGGCGCGCGCGCCCATGATGGAAGCCTATGAGCCATACCCTGTGTCCATCTGTGCCATCCAGCGTCCGAGCTACGGCATGACCAATGACTCGATGCGCCATATAAACGGTATACTGGGAGCCCTCGAGCCCTCCTCTCTGTATCTCGCCCACACACCCCCATGCTGTCGATGCGCGTGCTGCTTTCCCTTCTGGCCTTCGCCTCGTCCTCCCGGGCTGCCTTCTATACCATCTCGGACTCGTACAAAGGCACCGACTTTCTCACTGGATTCATCCACGAAAACATAACCGATCCGACGCACGGTCGCGTGTACGTTCCCCTCATTCCCTTCAGACGTTCATACCAACGACATCTCTTATGTGACAGCACCTATGTCTCCCAAGCGGATGCCCTCGCCAAAAACCTCACCTACGCGCGTGGATCGACGCTCATCATCCGCACAGACGACACCACGGTCTTGAGTGCCGACGGACCCGGACGCGACTCCGTGCGCCTGAGGAGCAACAAGATGTACACCACACACGTCTCGATGTGAGTTTTCTTCTCCAGTCACCTCGCCTGCACGCGGAGTCCGACAGAGTTTTCCCAGCTGGAATATCCACCACATGCCCCAGGGCTGCGGGTGCGTCCGATGGCTATATCTTTAACTAGGACCCTTTCGAGCTCGTTCTTTGACAGAACGTGGCCGGCGGTTTGGGAGGTCGGGTCGGTGTGGCCTGATTACGGTACGCACCGTTCGCCCGTCAACACGAGCTGTTCGAGGCTGAACTCTAACTTTATACGAACAGGGGAGGTCGACATTGTCGAGGGTGTCAACAGCAAGGCTCCCAACCAGGCTTCATTCCACACTGGAGCAGGCAAGTCCCTCCGCCGTTCCTTGTATCGTATGTGCCAAGTACAATAATTCCATCCAAAGGATGCACCATGCCTCCATATCGCGCACAAACAGGGTAAGCATAATTCGCTGCATCAGTGCCATCGAACCCGTCTCACTTCCCCCTCACCGAAAGCACCGAGACGGGCGGAAACAACTGCGACAGCAAAGCGACGAACAACACCGGCTGCGGCGTCAAGGACACCCGTCAGGACAGCTTCGGGCCATCATTCAACGACGGCGGCGGCGGCTTCTACGCGATGGAGCGCGCGCAGGACGGCATTCGCGTCTGGTTCTGGTCGCGCGGAGCCGCAATCCCATGGGACGTCAAGTACGGACTTGACATTATCGAGACTTCTGCTTGGGTGCGCGGCCTCTGCGTCTTCTCCCAGTGTCATTCGATCATGCTAATTTTGTGACCGCACGCGCACGCAGGGAACTCCAGTCGCGTTCTGGCCGAGTACGATGTGCGACCCCTCGAAGCTGGGGCCGCACTGGTTGGTCATCAACTTGACTCTTTGTGAGTGGTTCCAATGACATGCCGTGTTATCCATGCACCAATTTGGTTCTCTGCGCCTGCCGCGATTCAGGCGGCGACTGGGCTGGGGCAGACGACGTATACCCCGTCAGCGGGTGCCCCGACACATGTATCTGTACGTTCCACGAAAACTCCATCTCACCTTCGTGTTCTGACGTCACTGCATGGCCGTACTTTCTGCCAGCCTTCGTGGACAACAACCCGTCTGCATTTTCCCAGGCGTACTTTGAGGTGGAGTGGGCGAAGGTGTACGAGTAGCTCTCCGATTGTCTCTCGGCCCGAATGAAATAGTTATGACGTACAGTCGCCCTCCTCTTTCTCGTGGTCAACGATAAGGCACGACCACCCGTAGCGCCTAACACGGCGACCATCCACCTTCAAACCGATCTTTGCCAAAGTATTGATGGGTGGATGGACGCAGCGACCACCTCGACCTAATGCTCGCCCACGTCGGCAAGGAACTCAAACATGATAAGATTGATGTAGTACAGATCTGGGTACGGCCGTGTTGAATGCGCGCGGTCTGCGTGGTATCCGGTTCGAACGGCTCCACCCGCCGCGCTTTGACATCTTCGATGGCCTCCTCTGATATTGGATAGGAATAGCCTGGGATGATTTACGGGGTCTATCCGAAACAGATCCCCGGAGGCGTTCTTCCAAGCAGGTACCACAATGAAGGGATCGCCATCGTGGTTCAATGACGCCGCGACCTATGACAAACGTGCGCGACAGGGCGAGCTTGAAGGTCTTAATGCGCTCTCTCTGCTCTTCTTCGATCGAATGAAGCTTCGAAAGAGGGCGCGGGTGGAAACTCTGGCATGTTCTCGCCTCAAGAGCCAGGTCTAGCCCCAGGCCCCCAGCCCAGCACTCTCATGTCCGCCATTGCAGCGGCGATGCCCTGTCCTCTGTCAGTAAGATAGTCTTCGTCAATTCAAAATCATGACGACAGGTAAGTCGTAATACTCACGCACGTCGTGCGTCGTGCGTGTCACGGGAGAGTGCAACTTGGGTATCGGGGCGTATACGTCGCACCTAAAGACAGCGAAATGCATCCCGGTCACGCGCTTCTGCTTCCAGGCAGCGCGAGCTGAGTTCTGTCTGTCCTTCACACATCCGTGGAGCACCACTAGTACCTTGCACGACCTGGGCCCTCGGCAGTACTCAGTAAGGAGACCCTTCTGCCTTGGATGCGTGCCAGGCCCGCCTGGAAGACGATCATGTGGACGCGCTTTGGCGCATAGAGCGGGCCATGTACGAGCATTCGTGCAGACCTGGCGTGCGCATAAAAGAGGGCTGAGACTCTGGTACCTCCATCGAGCCCCGCCTCACACTCGTCCACTGTTCGCCCTCCAGCACACGATGCAAAGCTACTTGGGAACCGCTCTCATCGGAGGAAGCCAGGGCACGTTGAACGACGGCCTGCTCTTCCTGAACAGCGGTGGTGAGTTGTTGTACTGACGATACGTTAACGGGTAGCAGACCGCTGACCTTGCTCCTTGACAGGAAACCTGGTGCTGAACGACACCGGTGAGCGCTCCCTTCGCATGACCCATTCCAGTGTCGTTGACTCACCGAACACACAGGGAAGGACACGCTCAACGCCTCCAACCCTGTCAAGAAGATCGACATCGCCCATGGTTGGGTGGTACGTAGCCCGCTTTCAACGTGTTGAGAAGCGTGCTCACCGTCGGCTCCTGACCGTGGTACCAGGTGGACGGGATTAACGTCACGTACAGACTCACCAGTGGCGGCACGTCCGTGGTGTCCCACGGCACCGTCCTCAGCCCCCCGAGCAGCTCCGTGACGCTCGGAGACAACGAAGTGCTGGTGGCCGTGTTTGGCCGCGCGGGGATGCACTCGTACTACAAACGTGAGCTCGTGAACAGCATCGGGTTCGTCATCTTCGACACTGTCGGTATCAAGACGCGCACCGCGGGGGTAAGTGTCACGCCCGAACACGAGCATCACTGAGGTACTGACGTTGAGCGACAGCCGTTCGGGAACGGGGATGGAACCAACCAAGGCAAGGCGTTCTACACGTCCGACGTGCTCGCATTTGGCAGCTTCACGACCACGAATGGAACGAGCGCCGCAAGTGAGTACGCCATTTATACGACCAATGAGACATGCTTACCCCGATGGATGGGACAGTGGGTCTTTCCGGGCTTATGGTGTACAAGAAGCCGGCGTGATAGACGCGGCGTGGCGATCGTTCAACGTTCAACCCTAACGAAGGGACCTGCAGTCTGGATGGAAATCGGGTCAGAGTTTCTTGAAATGTATTTGTAGTGTTTGGAACTGTCACCAGTACGCACCATAAACGCAGTGCATCATGCCTCCGACTTTGAGCGTGTTTCCGACGGGTTTGCATGCCGGGCGCCGACTCGATCCACTGTGGGCCTGTCAAAGAGTGACAGGGGCGCAGATGCTGGGTGAAAAGCGCCAATCACCCTCGAACGTGGGGATAAGTGAGTGATGGGTGATGTGACAGGCGAAATTCCCTGCGCGCGAATTCACCGCCTGTCCTAGGGTTGTTCACCCCATTCTGAGCGCGCGAGTTCTCTTACCCAAGCACCTAGTCGTGAATTATCGATTTCCACCTGTTGCGCGGGTACAATCACGATTCACTAGCTTCAGATGGGACTCGATTCCCGCGGTACACTTTTCGTGATCAGAGCCGCCCAGTGCCATTCCATTACACTAAGTAACATCTCGAACACATAGCTACTGTACGCCGTGCCTACACACGTCGACATGTCTTCTGCCAATGTATCTGAGCGGTATACGCTCGATGCGCCGACACGTCAAGGTTGCGCGCCTCATGCCGGCCCTCGTACTCCTTATCCACGCGCGATATCGTCGGCCGCGAGCGACAGTGCCAGGATTGCCGCGTCCGAGTCCGCAAGCGAAATGACCAACGACACAGGCGATACCCTCGGCTCCAAAGTCACGTTCGCGGGGGGCAATTCAGGTGAAGCACAGTTATTGTCTGCACTTGTGGCGTCGGCGCGGTGGTCGTCGAGGTCGGTCGTGCGGAGGACTTGCTCGAGCTTGTCTTGACGGCGGTCGTTGACGATGGGGGACTGCTAGAGGCCTTGATTGGAGTACCTCTAATCATGCTAGGGATAGTCCTCAAGACGACAGAAGAGGCGAGCGGCGACACCCAGTGGCGCGTGTACGACTGGGGCATCGCGAGGTTGCCAGCACTAAGGGACGGCGGGGCTCTGTGTGCCCATCGCCAGGTTGCTGGTGGTGACAGTGAGCGGCCTAGGGTCTCCCCGGAGGGGCGTATTCCCGTGTTCGCACCTTCGGGGACCGCGAGAGGGGGCATCATGCCGTGGACAGGAGTGACGGGCTTCCTCCGCTTGGGTGCGGCAAAGGGCTAGCTAGGAGTCCACGGAGCACCGGGCTGGACGGGGGCGGGGACAATGGGCGGGTGGCTTTGCTGTGTCGGCGAAGGATATGCTTGTCGACCATGTTGAGGCCACTGGGGAGTCGCATCTGCTGGGCCTGTTGATGAGGGGTCTGCAGGGGTCCGTGACTTGTGCCCGTCGAAGGTCGGCTGGGGAGAGCTGATTGCTTCCGCCCATCGACTGGCTGATACCGGGGTGGCGGAATGGTCCAGACGCGTTGGGGGGCATAGTAGACCCACACAGGACGGGCATTGGCTGCAATGGTACGTCGGGTCTGCCACCCTGTCCTTGCGCGTGGGTGCATGAAAGGCGAGTATGCACGGCAGTGGTGAGGCCGTCTCCGCTAGGCTCAGCCATCGAATTTACCGGAGCTCCTCCAATCATGCTGGGTACTACGGTCCCTGAGACGACGGGACTCGGGAGAGGCGGCGGTGGTCGCGGAGGGCCGAATCAATGTCTGGCGCGTGGGCGTCCGCCACGAGCACTGTGTTTGTGACCGCAACGATGACGACCGTCAGGGCGAACTTCGAAGCGCAGCTGAGCCTGCGGCTTCGCTTTCTCCGCATCCAGCGCCGCCCCCGCTGCCTCCCTTCCGCGGCACACGGCGTGCTCATCTGGAAAACCTTCACTTGCAAATTAGTGCTTATCACTCTAACACAAGGTCTAACACAGATAACGGAGCGATAATTTGCGCTCATTTGCAATTCCGCGCTCACGCAGTGCTAACTAGTGCAAATACATGCTCAGGTAGTTCTAACCAGTGCAAACGACACTCTCATGTTGTTCTAAACAATGCTAACTGTAACGTCGTGTGCAAGATGGTGCTAGTAATCACAAGTCTCAGCATACACATACTAGTTCAAATCTGCACGAGCGCAGCGGGCGAGATCTCAGGGAACCCAATCGCGGGCGCGCGAAGTCTTTGGTGGCCCGTGGTCGGGGAGCGCGACGCCACAGTGACCGCGCGTGATCTCGCGCTAGCAGCGCACGAGCTCCTGTAGGGCACGCGGGGGCGATGTGGACATGGGCTAGGTGAGTGACGTCGATCGTGGATAATGTGGGCGAGGTGGACGAGGTGTCAACACGGTGACACAGGTGTAGTAGGCGAAATGAGAACCACGGGCGACGACCGACGGTGGGGCCAATAGCGGCATGGCGGGAGATGGGTGTGGCTAGCGCAAGCGCAGGGAGCGAGATATCACGGAAGCCGATCGCCAGCCTCGTGCGGAAAGTCTTCCGCAGCTTGCGGTCGGGGAGCGTAGTCTTGCACACACGGCAAAGACGCCTTCGGCCCGTGCATGCATTAGACGGTACACATGATCAGCGTAATGTATCGCGCAACGGAGGGATGGTTGACCGACGGACCTTGGGATCTGAACCGCAAACATTAACGTTGACCACGGGTTCGCGCACACCCGAGCCGCCGCAGTCTCCGCACTTCGAGCGCGACGCGGCCGGCTCGACGGCGCGGCGGAGGTGTACGAACCCGGACCAAAATCCGGAGAGGAGGGAGGCCGCACGGGGGAGGCCGGTATCAGCGAAGACGTCCATGTAGTGCGCATCGTCCCGTCGTGTTTGATGGAGGGCGTAGGCGATGAAGTTGGCGAGGGGGAGTGGGACGGCAGGAGGGATGGAGGTGGATAATGGCGACAGGTCCGGACACGCGAACAAATGCGTGATGAAGCGCGTGCAAGCTTCGCGGTCTCTTCATGACCGTAGTACGGGTCCTAGTGGGAGATTAGGAATACGGAAAAGGCAGGTGGGGGAGGCGCGGGGACTCACGGCCACTTGGTGCGAGCTCAAGCCAGAGGGCCGGATGGCAGGCTTTGAATGCCTCTTGAACGGCGAGGGGTGGCGAGCAGTGGAGGGACCAGAGACTGATGTGGGACAGATGGAGGGAAAGACGGGGAACGCACGACAACAGTGTGTGGGGGTGAGCGCCCTTGCTCTCCACGTGGACCGTGCTGCGGACGGTGAAGCCGTGGTCGACGATGTAGCCGTTCGCGCAGGAGACGAGGAACTTGCTGGACTCGATGGCTGGCATGCTGGACTCGAGCAGTGGCCTGTGAAGGCTACGAGAGGCGAGCGCGCGAACGCGGAGCGGGAGTTGTATTGCTTGGCGTCGGGGGAGACGGCGACGTCGAGCTTCGGGATGTCAAGGAAGGAGGATTGCGGGCACGCGGGGCAGGCCCGCACCTGCATGCCTCGCATGTACACGCGTGTGAGGGTGCTGGTTCGGAGGCCATGGCGAGATGGGACGGGTGAGGAGGCGAGGCGAGGAAGAGAAGGATCGGAGAGATCAAGGGCAGTTCAGACCGAGGAGTCGGAGTAGGACGACGGAAACAACGAGCTCGGGTGGTGCTGGCAGTGCCAAGCGCTGGAGCCCACGCGATGCCCATCGATTCCCACGCGTCCCTAAAGTGGAGCCGCACTGTGCCAGCGTGTCCTTCATTCGTCCACCAATCTCTCCTCCTCCCTCTTCCACGACCTGCCCACCTTCTCCCGCAATTGGGGCTGGACCGTCTCCTGCAACGTCCCGGCTCATTCACGGTGCGTCCCCTTATCCCCTCAATGCGTCATCATCATCGCCAGGGACACCCAAGGTATCGGCCGCGACATCGCCCTCTGACGAGTCGGCCTCTCCGACATCCCATGCGAGCAGACAAACCGTTGAGCTGACCGCCGGGCTTGACCCACGTCGCCCGCCTCGCTACCTACTGTCACGCTCATTCAGTGCGGCAAATCGTGCGCTCTCCGCCCGCCCGGCAGCTTCCTGTGGCACCTGTCCAGCGGGACGTCGCCCAGCCTGAAGCAATCCTTCGCCACCTCGTCGCCCGCGTCGATGTCCGCGTCACCCACGCCGTCTCCATCTCGCCCCCGTGTTGCCCACATCCGCATCGCTCGTGTCGGGCCCGAGCCGCGTGAACGTGAGCGTCCTTGGCTTCTAATGTTAGGTTAAGCGCTGACTGACCCTCGCGCGCGCCCACAGGTCTACAGCTTCACTGGCACTATGACTCGCTCACCCACCAGGGACAACCGCACGGGTCGGACATAATCCGAACGACCTGTCACCACCAGCCTGCCTGTGCTGTGGTCGTATGCGGCGCTACGTTTAGGTAGCGCACGGACTTTCTGCGGGCGGGCTCAGGGACTCCGCTCTCGGGGTGAGGGAGTTTGGCGTCCAGTGCTGTGAGTGGCCTGCGTCCTTGTTTTTATGTTTTCCACCAAGGCCGACTGACACACCGCGGCCAGCCTGCGGGAATACCCCGACCAATGCTAGGGAAGAAGACACGTGAAACTCGGGAATCCGACGTTAGTGATGATGCCCAACCTCCGTGTGTTCATAACTCTGACCAAGCTTCCAGTGAGGCGTGCCGAGGGCCCAAGCGACTTTCAGTGACACCCGTGTCGCCCGAATCGCCCACGTCGTTCACCTTGCCCGCATCGCCTGTGTCCCACCTGTGTCGCTCACCTCACCCGCTTCTCCCGTATCGCCAGTATTGCTCGCTGCACTGGATTCTTTTGTCTTTGTTGTCGTCTTTAGTCTGTACTCTGTACTTCATAGTATGACAAATATAAATTTGTTTGCCTCTCATATACGCTTTCGTGAATTATTGAGTGCATTGTATGAACATATTAGTTGCTATTTAGTGCGCTTCAGCTCTAATGTACATCTATCTCCAGCTAATTGAGTGCTCATTAGTGCAAAATCTTCGCAAACGATCAGAAAACACCCTTTATAAGTGGGTGAGTACACTAATTTGCTCTAACATGCTAATTTGCGCTAATTGGGCTGATTTACTGCAAACCAGCACTAATTATGGCAGATTTGCAAGTGAGGGTTTTCCTGATGCTGAAGGTGGCGCGAGACCGCCCTGCGGAAGAGCGTGGCGCAGTGCTCATCCTGCGCGTCACTATCAGCTTGAGATGACGGCTAGGCACTGCCCCGAGCAACCCAGCAAGGACGACAGGGACGCACCATCTGATCGGACATCTTGTGGGATGCGACCTACTTGACGAGCTGTGCCAACGCGTCTGCGGACACCTTCTGCATCTTGACCTACTCCTTGTCGTAGCCCTCCATCTTGTACTGACCGTCGGCTGACAAGCACGTCGAGCTCGAATGTGAGCTCCGTGGACGGTGCAGGCGAGGATGTAGTCGCGGCGACCTTGTTCGTGGCGAAGGAGGAAAGCATAGACTCATTCATATGTAGCGTCGAGGTGCCGTCCATGCAGGAGTGCTCGCCGACTTGCCATTCCCGAAGATGATGGCTGAAGATGAGGAAGTTAAGGGCGAGGCGGAGATACATAGATCACGTAAACGCATCTCGATTCTTGTCGTGGAAGCAATTTGTGCGATGGCCGACCTCACGGGTAGCGGGGGAGCAGTCGTCTACGCAGACCATCGCAGACTCAATTCCCTTGAGCGTAGCTCCATTTCTTGGACGGTGCGGGAAGGAGAGCTTCATGGGCCTTGGCAGGATATAAGGACACGCACAGGAAATGCATGAAAAACACTCACGTCGGTCCAGATATCACGTTTCTCGGATGTCAACACTTGATGAGCTGCCCGGAACGCCTCGCGTGGCTCGGCCACGCCTTGTCGTCGACGTGGACGCGGGCATGATACTATTAGCCCATGTATACGACCTCGTTCCACCATCCCGCAAGCCGGTTCGCGCAACCGGGGTCCGCTGAGAGCGCCTGGAGGCGCTCCTGCAGGACCTTCGTCTAGTCCAAAACAACGAATGCGTTGACGGCCACCTTCGTGGTCGCGAACTCGGCCGGGGTGAGGTGCAGCCTTGAGGATTCGAGGTACTTGGCGGCCGTGAAAAAGATGGTGGGCACAGGGAGGTGCAGGAGGGAGGATTCGTAGCGGAGCGTGGGGCCCTGAGGCCTGAGGTTTGGACATGTACATCGGACTTGCGGGGCGCAGAAGACGGACTCGTGAAAGCGGTAGGGGCCTGGTAAGTAGGGCGCAGTTACTACCACGCGGGTAGTAACGATTCCCACGCTCCCGCTCTTGTGCAACGCGCGACGCGCGTCCCTGCTCGAGCGACGAGCTTCGCCTCTTGTCTCCTCCCCTCCCCTTCCTCCTCCTCCTCTATCAAATTCCCCAACCTCTAGCTGTTTCACCGTTCCCCGCAGCCTCTTCCTTGGACCCCCATTTCGCCCACCTCACCAGCCATGCCCTGGACCACGCCCCTCCGCCTCCCTCCGCGCCGCCGCCCGCCCGCTGCTGCCCACCGTCCCGCGTCGCAGGAAGGCACAGATAAGCGTGTCAGGTTATCTATACGCGTCCATTGGACCCACCTCCATTTAGTCAAGGCGTGCAAGTACGGGCTCAACGTGTAGCAGGTTAGTGTTTCCTCCGCTGCATTCACTCATGCCCTTCTTATGTACCGCGTATCTCGTACCGCGTCCCTAGGTCGCCGAGAAGCACCTTAACCGTGAGTTTAAGAAGAACATCTCGGGAATTTGTGAGTACCCCCGTTGCGATCTCCCGCCCTGCTCCTACTCATCTGCTGCTCCTCTAGGAGCCCACGTCGTCTCCATTCATTTCGAGAGCGCAGCCAGCGGCACATGTCCGCTTTCGTCTGGCGGTCATCTCGTGCCCGGCAAAGGCACAGACGTCTCGTTCTGGATTCAAGAGCGCGAGGGACAGATGAAGACGCAACGGTTACGGTGCGTTCTTGTGTCGTTTTCCGGTGACCATGGGCGGCCGCTGACCGTCATGCTCTTCCCGGTTTGTGTGCAAATCATGTACGTGATAAAGCACCTCCAATCCCCCCTCATGAACTTGTCCCTTATCGTGCACTCACGATGTCTGTCGGTGCTGATCCAGCCCAACAGGCGTCCTCCTCGGCTGGGAGATCAAGCTCATGCGCGAACGCTCGCTGCGCGCTCAAGGAAAAGGGTGCTCGCCTGTAGACTCAGATGCTCAAAGAGCCCGCCGGCAGGTCCAGGACAGGCTCGGCATGGACGTCGACGAGCTCGTCGACGCCTTCTCAAGTCAGGACGACGAATGACGACGAATGACGATGACGACGAAGGGACCGACAGATCAGGAGGTCATGGGTACCACGGTGAGACCTGGTTCTGGCGGAGCCGGTGAGTCGATTGTCCACACAGACTGCAGCTCGAGCGTCGACTTCATGTAGCCTCGTCTTCCGTATTCAAATCACCATGTTATTGCTGTTGATTATTCCGAATTCGGTGTGCTCCAATTTCACTACATTTATTGGTGCAAAACATTCTTGTGCGATGGCTGTAAATGCTGGTAATAGTGGTGAAAACAGAACGGTAACAAAGTCTTTCCAATGAGCGCATTTTCACTCGTTTACTTGTCAATCAATGAATCCATACTCGACCAGACACATGGCCATTTCCACCTCTTCTAAGTTGGTGAATGGTTGCAAAATCTTAGTTAAAAACCCCTTCTCCGTTCACCAAGTCAGACGGCAGAAACCGACTGGCGCTAATGACACGAACCTCGTTGTTCTCACCACAACCGGAGGTCAATACCACCCAGAACAGCCAGGTGATGTGACAGGTGAGTTTCACCTCTTCGAGGGCACACAGTGATCGTGGTCGCGGGAGCAGCTTCTGCGTTGCTTCTGCGATGGCGGCTGGCGCCCATAAATCGAAAAGGCGCCAGAGTCGGGACCACGTGATCGGGTGGCTCGTGCCGCGGCCTGCCGCCGCACGAGAGGCGGGGGCGCACGCGCAGGCTGCTCGCCTTTGACCACCACCCAACGCCCTTTTCCTCCTTCTCCACCGACGGCGCGATGCACACTTGAGTTGCCGAGGTCCCTTGGGCCCTCCCCTTCTCAGGCCTTCTCCGTATCCACACCTGGCGATCTCCACCATGGACCCAACCATCGAGGATCTACAATTGCAGGAAATCACCGCACTCAAGGTCTGTCGCTGCTCTCTTCCCCTGCACCCCCTCATCTCACGCCGCCCAGAGCATATATGACCGCGATTTTATTGAGAGCCCGCCTCCCAAGGCGTGGAAGGTCCGTACGCCTCCCCGTGGCTTCTGCACCACGCTCACGGGCCGCTGCAGCAAGCCGCCAGACTACCCGAATTCACAATCAGAGTCACGTACCCCCTCGACGAACACGCAGAGAAGATCTTCTTTCATCTCAACGTGAGGTGAGTACAACTCGCTTGCTGCTCTCGCGCGTTTCCCCGCACGCACTTCATCGGTGGCTGGAGCGCGGACCGTCGTTCGCGCAGAATTAGGCGCCCATCAATGACTGCGACATAGTCATTGTGAGTCACTGAGCGGGCTGCTCGCGTCGCCTAGTCCGCGCTTCACTTGCTTCTCCGTGGCTATGACTCCAAGCTATCTCAGTCTACTACAGATGAAATGCTCGTGGTGTATAGCCGCCGGTGATTGCCCTACACCACGAGATTGTTGCTGAGTGGAGCATGAGCCGTCCATCCAGTTGATCTTCCTATCTGTACACCATAAAGTTCTACGTGGCGAATTTCATTATTGATTTTCCGGTATCCGCAGGCTACCTCGGACGTACCCAACGGGTGTTTGTCCTATTTTTACGATACAACCTCCTATTGCTGGCCTGCGCACTGACGAGGTCTCGAAACTCAACCATGCCATTCACGAAGAAGCACAGAAGAAGAAGGGAGAGGAGATGGTCTTTCAGGTCTGTCCCCCAAGCCGCCCACGTTTCTCTCCCTCACATCTTCATCCATGGCTAGATGGTATGCTTCGCAAAGGAGTGGATGGAGGCGTACGTCAAGCCCGTCGCCGAGGTCAAGGGTTCCCTCGCGACCCAGATGACTCAACGTGCTCTCGATGCGGAGAAGGTACGTCTCTGAATGTCATTCCCGCCGCCCCTCGTACTTATACTTCGTCAGGTGAAACGACAACAAGCAGAAGAAGAAGCCGCCCGACAACGAGAACGTCAAGCCGAGGAAGCGCGACGCCTCAACGAGCAAATCCTCGAGGATACCCAACGACGAGTGGCCGAGCGCGAACGCTTTCAACAGGCGCGCAGGCGTGCTATGTCCGATGCAACCGAGGTGCCGTCAATTGAAGATGCGACACCGACCGAGTCCTTTGATCTAGAGATCAAGTGGCAGGACCAGACCTTCAACAGAGTACGCCTGTTCCACCCCCGGCAAGGTATGTTGCTAGCCTGTAGTATTCCTGGGGTGATGTCTTAAGTCTTCCAGAACTCTTGGGCACCGTCTTCCAAGCGGATCCTGTCAGCGACGAGCCTGTCGTCAGCCTTCCCTTGGAATTGCTCTCCATCACGTTCCAGTCGCATTATTACACCACCCCGCAAGGTCGGAAGAAGCTCAAGCAGGTCGAGAGCGAGTTGCACCGTCTAGCTGGTATCCGGCATCAGAACCTCTTGGCCGTTCTCGCCGCAAAGCTCACGACACCGAATGCCAGCACGCCTCCACGCTTGCTCATCCTCACGGAGAAACGGCCCCCAGTCACCTTGCACGATGTGCTGGAAGACACGGATCGGTTGCGCGAAGACCGAGCGACAGTGAGCTCAACATTCTACCTTATATTGGTCCCACATCTTTATCCCGTCTGCAGGACTACCTGGCTCAGGTTCTTTCTGCTCTCCAAGTCGTACATAACTCGGACGTCGTCCATCGAGGTGAAGCGTTTATGAACAGCAGTGATGACGTCATCTGACCCTAACCCAGGGCTCGATCTGAAGTGCATTGGGCTCGCGCCTTCGTCGAGCGAAACGAGCTCGTCGAGGATCATCAAAGTATTCCACGTCGGCTGGCTAACACGTCTGCTCGATCTCCACCGTTCGGATCCTCTTGGACCCAATATTGTCACCAAGCCTACAGAGGAAGAAACCGTACCGGAAGGATGGTGAGTACCTGCGTGATCTCGTGGCCGGTGGATGCTGAATCGAAGGCACAGGCTTCCGCCTGTAGAGTCTATGCTCGACTATACGAAGGGCCGTGACATCCATGCGATCGGCGTCGTGCTGCTACAGATGCTCCTCGGTCGCGACGTCATGTACAAGTTCCCCGATCCGCAGACGGCTATTCGCATCGGTGTGTCCGGTTGCTCTCACTTCAGCTCACCAGCTGACTTTCTGACAGCCGAGATGTCGTCCTTATTGTCTCTCAAGGCTGCCGTGATGCTCGCTCCCGCGAAGAGAGGTGGCGTGACGTGTCAGACGCTCCTCATGGATCTCACGTCTCCCCCACATCCGCCTACCAGCCTGCGTACCCCGACCATCCCGTATTCCACTTCTAGCATGAAGACCCCGACTGTGAACGGTTTTGCCGTCGGTTCTCCGGAGAACGACTACTTCAAGATGCCCCCGCCAGCTGCCCGACGCGCGAGTCGATGGAAGGAGGATTGGGAGGAGCTCGAAATTCTGGGTCGCGGCGGTTTCGGACAAGTCGTGAAGGCGCGCAACAAGATCGACAACCGGATCTACGCCAGTATGTCCCCTCTCTTTCATCAGGCCCCGTTCACCGTTTGGCCGGGTTTCGGTTTGCCCCGACAAGCACGCGCTCTGAGGAACCCTGGAGTCGGAGCCCGTCGAGGCGGACCGTTCCGGCGGGCAAACCCAATCCTAGCGGAAAGGTGAACGAGGTCTCACTCTGTACAGGGCTAATCTGCGACCCCAGTCAAGAAGATCAAGCTGCGCGACGTTCGGAATGACAAGATCTACCGCGAAGTCAGCGCCCTCAGTCGGCTGAACCACCGCTTCGTCGTTCGGTACTACACGACGTGGGTCGAGACCGCGGACGCGCCCGCGCTGCCACCCACCGGGTCCGAGTCGGAGGACTCGGACATAACGGAACTCACTGCGGACGGGACCGCGGACGGGACTGCAGACGGGCACGGGCACACGATGACGCACTTTCCGGAGGACGAAGACGAGCAGTTCACGACGTTCGACCTCCGCGATCTCGATCTGTCCGTGAGTGCAGGGCGAACGAACTCGACGTTCCCAAGCATCCACTTCACCCGGACGAGCTCGCAGAATGACGGGGACAACGGAAGCGATACGAGCGACGAGATCACGGATGTCGAGGAGGTTGAAGAGGAGGAGGATGCGGAGTTCGATCCACTCGCGGTCCCGGGGGAGAAGCTGGGAAATGAGTTTGCGATCACGCGACGGACATCGCCGATTAAGATACAGGGCGGAAGGGGGCGGAAGGGGGCACGACCTCCGAAGCGTAGGCCGCCAGCGCTGAACATCCCGCGTCGAGTGCTGTACATTCAGATGGTGCGTCTTCGTTGATGTCCTGTTTGGAAAAGATTCTGAACTGTGCCCAGGAATTCGTCGAGAGGCAGACGCTTCGAGAGGTACATTGATGTTCGACTACAATGTGACTTAATCTCACACTCGTTTTCTTTTAGCGAATCGCGGAAGGGCTCGATGAAGACGAGGCGTGGCGATTGTTCCACCAAGTTGTAGACGCCCTCGTCCACATGTCCAGTCTTGGCATCGTGTGTAGTGTTCTTTTCCATCTGTCCAACCCGTACTGATTGTGTTGTAGCTGCACAGAGACATCAAGCTCACGAACATTTTCGTTGGTGGGTAATTTCTTTGTCAAATGGATGAGAACGTACGTTGACAGTTCCATAGATGCCAAGGGCGACTGCAAAGGTACGCTCGACGCGCTTCGGTCCGTAGCACACATCCTCAGGCTTCGCAGTCGGTGACTTTGGTCTTGCGACGGAGAGTATGGACGCCGTTGATCCCTCCGACAAGCCCGCAACGAAGGTCAATCATGAAGATATCACTCTCGGTTCGTGCTCAGCCTTCATGTGTTTGGCCGCCGCTTAACCATAATTTGAAGATGTTGGTACCAGATTGTACATGGCCCCAGAGATGATTGGCTCGGAGTCGGGACTGTTTGAGGCTCTCGACGGCAAGAAGTTCGGAAAGAAGCTGAAGCTCCCAAGTGTCGCTAAGGCGGAGAAGACGAAGCCACGCAACAACGCGAAAGCGGACATGTACAGCCTTGGAGTGAGTCGTGAGACGCCCCTGGACAGGCGAAGTACTTATTTGGGCGCCGATAGATCGTCTTTTTCGAGATGAACTACCTCTTTAAGACCGACTCCGAGAGGAGCAAAGTCTTGCCTGACCTGCGGCTTCCAGCGGTCGTCTTCCCATCTGACTGGGATACGAAGCGAACAAGGCAGAGGCAGAGTACGTCTACCTCGAGCCGTTGTTCGCCGCAAAGAAGATGACCATTGTACATAGTCATTACATGGCTTCTGCAGCACGACCCGGACAAGAGGCCCAGCGCCAAGCAGCTCTCACAGAGCCCCCTGCTTCCACCCAGAGTCGAAGACGAGTATGTCATGGGTGCTCTCAACATGATTGGTAGAATTTTTTGGTCCCCTTCAACGACTGCCGGTACTGAGTTCTCGACAGCACAAGCCGACTCTCCTCATCTTCCTGCTGTTCTGTCGACGCTCTTCAAACAGCCCGTGAAGCCGCATCGCGCGCTCGTCTACGACCAAGTCGAGGAGGTCCCCGAGCACCTCAACCTCAACGCCCTCGTGATCGACCACCTCGAGCAAATCTTCCACCTCCATGGCGCCATCAACTCCGAGCCGCCCCTACTCATGCCCGTTGTCAACCCAGTCGACGATGATCCGAATCGGGCGGTGCTTCTCGACCGTCATGGTGAGGTCGTTACTCTTCCGCATCACGGACTTCCGCGGTTCGCGCGCGCGGCCGCGCGTGCGGCGTACAACCGCATCAAGCGATATCAAGTCTGCGATATATATCGTCCGAAGTGAGTTTGCTGCGCGAAGTGACTGATTGGGCCGTTGACCATGCGTGCGCACAGTCTGACTGGGGGACACCCGACTACGGCCAAGGTTGCGATCTACGACATCATTACGTCTGACCTGAAGAACGGCTTGGCGGCCGCGGCTGGGGAGGGCATCGCGATACTCAACAACTGCCTGGATGTGTTCGGCGACCTGTGGCAACACTACAGTATCTTCATTTCGCACTCTGCCAGTAAGTCATGCTCTTTTGTCGAGGGCAACGTATTTTAATGGCTATGCGCGTGTTTACAGTCCATGAAACCATGCAGTCGCGACTCCCGCAGGAGCTCAAGGACGACGTGATGGCATTGATAAACAACCCGAAGATGTCCAATGCCCAGAAGCGGAATAATCTCAAGCTTAAGGGCGTCTCGCGCGCCGTCATCGACGAGTTGGAAGTCCTCACCATGACCTGTAAGTTCCACCCATCCTCTATAAAGTCCACTCAGAGTATGACACGTACATAGACGACTCCGTGGACGCACTCGTCGAGCGCCTGGAGAAGACGTCGCCCGCGCTGCTGGAACTTCTCAATCCGTGCATCAAAGAGATACGGAGCACCATCCAGTTTTCCGAGGCATCCGGGGGCACCCGACCGATGGCCATTGACCCGCTGATGCTAGACAATCGCAGCAGTTACTTTGCGCATGGCGTCTGCTTCACCGCGGCGCGCAAGACCAAGCGCTCTGATGTTCTCGCCGCAGGTGGCCGGTCTGTCTCCACGTCTCCCTTGCTTTCTTCGGAGCCAATGCTGACCGTGGTCGATAGCTACGACCACCTCATCCGCCGATATGCGAACCCGACGACAGAGCAGCCAATGCGCGCGGCGATGGCGTTCCAGATCTACCTGGAGAAGATCACTACGACACTCGCGCCGTACCAGAACGCGTTTATCGACTCGCAGATGAACTCCGGGGAGCCGAAGTCGTTCGGCTATTGGAGCCCGCGCCGGTGCGACGTCTACGTGGTGTCGTACAACCCGGGGCACATGCTCGAGCGTCTTGAGGTCGTTTCACAGCTGTGGAAGCATGGCGTGAGCGCAGACGTCATGTACGAGAGCGTTTTCGAGAAGGTCGACAGTGTATTTGAGCGCGGCGGCAAGGAGGACTACTATGAGTGGTGCCAAACTGAGGGGATTTTGTGAGTCGCATTCTATGGTGAAGTATTTGTCAGCTCATTATCGATCTCTAGATTCATGGTGTACGTCAAACCTCGGAATAACCTCTCGACCGTGTACAAGGTCATGAGTGTTCTTCGCGGCACCGAGACAGAAGGTGCTCCGCTTCGCTTTCCTCCCACTACATTACACTAACCTACAAGTCCACAGTGCAGGCCCAAGACCTCATCAGCTTCCTCCAAGACCACATCGCTGAGCAAAAGCGCTTCGACTCAACGCTCACCAACATGCCCTGCACCACCATCGAGACCACCCCGGCGCACGCCGATCCGGCGCCCCAGAAGGCTGCGCCGCCCCCGCACACGATCGTGGTGCTCCCGGGTGACAGCAAGAAGCGTAAGGGAATGAAGACCATGTACAGCAATAAGGGTGCGTCTTCTCACCACCTCGCTCTCCGCGTACTTGTCTGACACCTCTGCAGCCTTCGAGAGCGCCAACACATTCCGGTCGGTCGTCGCCGACCTGCGTACCGTCGCCGTCGAGGTCACCGCGCCGGTCTTCGACGAGATGGCGAAGAACGGGAGCTGGCTGACGAGCGACGACGGACTCCGCGCGATCGCGGCGGGGCTCCCGACGCAGCACGCGGGATACGCGCAGCAGGTCCGGGATGCGATCGTGAAGCTGCGGGAGGAGGGTCAGAAGTACGTGCTGTTGTACGGGATCAGGCAGGATCGACTCGCGCTGTTGACGTTGTAGAACGTACGTGGACTCGGGATTGAGTTCGAACAAGGACGAGCTATCTGTGACCGCTTGCTATCTATGTTCATGTATTTATATATATGCCCGCATCTGTATTATATGAATGGCACACGAATTTCGGTCTCTCTTTCAGGCGTGACCACCTTGTGTGTAGCTGCTTCCGTCACGATAGGATTCGACAGATGGAAACAGTATCATGCGTTTATGTGAAGACAGTGTGGATCTGTACTCTGTACTATCGCATACGACAAAGACGACTTACTCGTATCGTGCAAGTATATCCGTAGGCGTCGGTACCGTACTATCATTCGTGAAAGCATATATTCACCATAAGCCGCTCACCCAGAAGGTTCCTCGAGGTGCGACAGCACACGCACACCAAACAATGCGCAGACAAACCGCCTCTATCATCAACAGACGCTAGCTACGCACAAACATCAATCACTATGCCTCCACGACGACCTCGGGCTTCGGTGCGACTTGGCTGACGCGACGCGGCGCGGGCGTCTTGATCTCCTTGAGGCCCTCGACCGCGCCCGTGCGCCACTCCCCGCCCCAGCCCTGCCTGCGTTCCCTGCGCACCGTGCGTGGCGTCGGCGGCACACGCTGGCCAGCGCGGCGCGCGGTGCTGTGCGTACGCCGGACGCCCTGCGGGCGGTACGACTGGCGAACCCAGTACGGCGCGCGAGGCGAGCGCACTTCGACCGCGGGCGTGGTGGGCGTGGTGAGCTCGAGGCCGTAGATCGTCGCGCGGGCGGCGGTTTGCTGTTGCTGCATGTGCGAGTCCTCGTCCGCGGGCGTCGCGGGCGCGAACGAGCGGCGGCGGGGCGGGAGCTGGAGGACGACGGTGTAGGAGGCGCGGGAGGACGCGGAGCGCGTGGCGGAGGGGGGCGGCGGCGCGAGGGTGGGTGCGAGGGAGGTGCGGGCGGTGGGCGTCCGTGGGGAGGGCACGCGGATGACGAGCGTGTAGCGTGCGGTGCGGCGCCGGGAGGTGGTCGCGGTCGCGTAGGTGAAACGCGACACGCGTGCGGAGAGCGGGGAGCGCGGGTCGGCGGTGAGCGGGGTGGGGATGTGCGCCGAGTGGGAGGCGGGGGACGCAGAGTGTGGGACAATGAAGCTCATACGTGCGGTCGGTGTCGCGGTCGGCGACTCGCGCAGGAAGCTCATCGACACGCTCCGCCGGCAGCGGCCCAGACGGCCGTCGACGATGCTGCACGCCGTGTACGCGCTGGACGCCGGGCGGCTCGTGAACGCCGAAGTGGGGGTCGGGCCCGCGGTGGTCGGCGACGGCTGCCAGGTTGAGATCCGGTAAAGGTCGAGATACGTGTCCGGGACGTCGGTCGGGATGGGCAGGAAGGCGGGGAGCTCGTCGACAACGGTGTCCCGGAATGCGCGGGAGACGCGGGCGAGGCGACGGAGACCAACGTAGCGTTCCTGCCGCATCGCCGTGGTCTCGATGGGCGAGAACGGGGAGAGGGGCGAGAGGGGGCTGAGGAGCATGCCGGGGCTGCGGGGCGTCTTCAACCGCGGTGCACGCAGAGATATGCCAGAAACAGACGTACCTGCGTCGCTTGGCGGGTGCAGAGGCCATCGCCATCGTGCGCCAGATCGGGGTCGGGAGGTCGAGCGAGGCGGGTACGGCCTTGCGCGCGAACGGCCGAGTCGGCGGGGTGAGCGCGACGTCGTCCGCCTGCTCTGGTTCACGGATCTCCGGAAGGTCCTTGTTCACACTGAGCGGGGTCGCTGCCAGCGGCCGTGCCTCCATCGCCTGGCGTACCTTGCGCGCCTTCACCTCTGCCACCTCCCGGACGAGCTCCTCGACCTCGACCTCGACCTCGACGGTTCCACGCTTGTCGGTGAAGACGTTCGCCGGCAGCTTGTAGCGCAAAATCGGGGCAGGCGGGGCCTTGCGGCCCTTTCCCTTGTGCTTGCCTGCACTCTTCAGCGGCGACCGCGCTGACGCGGACACTGGTGGGCGGGCGGACTGGGGGCGGGGAGAGGCGGGGATGATGTCGATGACGGGGGTGGCACCGAGGAGCTGTTCGACCTTCTTGCTCGACTTTTCGACACGCTTGCGGTCCAGGCCACGGAGGCGCTTGAAGACGGGAACGGGGGCGAGGACGAAGGAACGACGGGAGTTGCGAAACATCCTTGTGCAAAGAACGAGTTAAAGTGAGAAAGAACAAGAGAGCTGGCTGGACGAGAAGAAAATAAACGGGAAGGACCAGCCAGAGAGACAAGAAGGGGGGAAAGGCAAGGTCGACCGGGACGAAGAAAGGAGAGGCTGAAACGGCGTTACATATGTATGTGTTCGGCAAGCCGTCGCTGTTTCCAGCGACGAGGAGGGCCACGCACCGCTTTGTGTGATCAACATCTCGGCCGCGCATCAGACGAGCCCCTGTTCTGTTCCCGCTACCATCTCCGGCGTCGACGTCGGTTGAGGTGCAGACATCAGTAACTTCCAAATTCCCTGAATCTCTGAATCCCCGGATTTCAGGGATTTCAGGGATCCAGGAGAACCGGGACCATACAGGGCGCACAGGGCGACGCAGGGATCCAGGACGCCCGGCGCACGCAGGGCTTCAGGCGTCAGGGCGCCTCGCGCGGGATTCAGGACTCGGGCTGCTAATCAGCCTAGTACAGTAGTTCGTGTAGGTGGTAATCTACGTACATGTTCAGATAGTACCTATTGAACGCATCTAAGGAGTCCGAAAAATGAAATGTGTCTGGAACTCGAGTTCGTCCATAAACACTGATGAGGTGACATGCTCGAACAATGGAGGCAACGGGGATAACGTCGTACACGGGGTGTCCATTCTCAAGCTCTGGGTGAACAATCCACATACCGGTCGCGAGATCGATCTGTTCCTCGCGTACATACCAGCGTACAATGGCGCATTCGTACGTATTTCCATCGTATGGAACGGAGACAAACGCGTGAACGCGGGCGACCATCATCCCATCGATGGTCTCTGCATGAACCGCATCCCCGCCGAGGTTCACAAGGACGGTGTCGTAGCGCGCGTGCCCCTTCCACCAACGCGGCGTGCTACGGATCATCTCGCGGGTCATACCACCAGGGTTGGCAACATCACTGGGAGCGTAGAACACAGCCGTCGCGCTGTGGTATACCGAGAGAAGGGTACGCGCATGCAGGAAAGGGCACTGAAGGAGGTCGACATTGGCGTGGTTTTCAGCATCCGGGTTATCGAGGTTGAGCTGCGCGTACAGGAATCGGCGCAACATCTCTACGAGGCGTGGCTGCTGAAGGATCTGAGCAACTACGTGCGCGCGCTTTTTGTATGCTGTGAAAGCGCAACATTAACGTAGCTCGAAGTGGACGAATAGCGAGGACTTGCCTGGCCATGCGGAGAGCGTAACCTCCGCTTGAGGTACGTCGCCTGCAGCAGCCTGCGCGGCAAGCTCTCGGAACAGGGCGTCTTCCAGCTGCTCAGGGTCGAGGACGTCTTCGACATCGCTGTCGTCAGAGGCAGCGTCTTCTAGGTCAAGGTTGCGCAGAGCGTCAGAGAGAACATCGCCATTGATCATGCCATGGCGTCCGTAGTTGACACGTGCGGAAGCTAGCTTGCTCTTCCTCACGAGCTTGAGGAGAATTTGCTCGAGTGGGTTGCGACGATTGGACTCACGCCAGGGCTTCTTGACAGCTGGGATGTGCTTAGACTCCGTGATAGTACTGCATACGCCATTGGGCGAGCCGAACTGCCGGATCATACGCGGGAAGTGGACGAGGGCATGCTGTCGCGGTAGCTCGAAGTCGTCGCGCACGCCGGCGTCTTTGAATACTGTGCGGAGGTCGTGGAACCGCACAAGAAGTTCCTCCATGGCGTGAATGCTGTTTGAATCATGGGAGGGCCGTCGTGCGATATAGCAGAAGTCAAGAAACGTCTTGACGCATTGAACAACGTCCACTGGAACGTGACCGGCTATCGCAGGCAGGAAGACCTGTATATGCGTCAGTTCGTGCATGTGTTGTCATGAAAGGAGTGATATTACCTTCATGAGAGCCTTAGAATCGTCGCCGGTCCACTGCTTGAACTTCCTCCCTTGCGGGAATCGCCGCAGTCCAGGGAATGGGGCAACAGCAGATATCCTTTAAACAGTATTTAGTATCTGTAAGACACAAAGAGGGTGCGTGACGCGACGAGCTGGACACGCCAGGATCCTCGGCCCCGACGCGTGCCATCCTGGTCATGGCCGGTGGGGCGCTCGACGGCCTGATGCTTCCTTCTCGCCCCGCGCGACGACCATGACCCTGACGTGTCCTGCTCGCCGCGCGAGGCGAGCGCGAGGAAATCGGCCGGACGCGCAGAGCGTGGCGAGAAGACCGCGTGGAGCAGGGCAGGCGAGACGTATGGAGCGGGGCGAGCAGGACGCGCCGCTCTCCATTCACTGAGCTTCGTAAAGAGAGTGCATGACAACTCACCGTCGGTCAATATCATCAATTATCTTGTTCCCTACACGTTCGCCGTGCACAATCTTGATGTAGTCGAGAACCCACTCGACAAGGTGATCCTTGAAGACACCTTTAACGAGTTGGTGTAGGATATCGGGGGTGAGCAACTCATGTATATCGGCACGAGGGAAGTGAGTTGTGAAAGGCTAGAAATAAGTGGTATTAGCATCAGAGCGACAATAATGCAATATATAGTGTATAAACACATACTTCGACGTCTGGATTGATCCCGAAGATGACCCAGGCATCCTTTGGGGTGCAAAGTTCACGGATCATCGCCGTGAGCTCATGGGTGCGGCGGTCGCCCTCGAGGAAATCGTCTTTGGGGATAGAGAGGCATCTAGTAGTTCCGAGTTAGCCACTGAAATACGTCGAAACCGATACCATTACAAAGGTCAGGTGTCGCGGCGAGCGCAGCGACGACCTCTGCGCCGCACTCAGGTGTCTCGCTCTGCGCATCAGATACGCCTCCCTGGCCTTGTCGCGCAGGGTGAGCAGCATACGTCACGCGCATCAAGCGCGTGGCCAGCCACAAGCAGGACACGCGTCAGGTCCGAGGATCCTGGCGTGTCCAGCTCGTCGCGTCAAGCACAGCAAGGTAACAGGTTGAAGCGGAGATGCGGAGACGAGAAACCGAACTTACTGTCCACACCACATGTATACCACACCCGACACGTAGACCTGCTCGAGGTAATCGGCGATGAATGGTCCCGCTTGGAATATTGCACGGCGAAAATGGAGGTCGGGACATCGGAGCACGTGGGGCTTGGTCATTCCGGGGCGCAGAGGCATGAGCAGAGCGGTGAGTGAGGAATGATAGACTTGTTTCTTGAAGACTCGAAAATCTTCGTCATCTTCGAACTCGCGAGAGGCTGAAGAGATCTAACGTAAGGATATGTTCTCACAAGATGCGCAGTGGAATAGAACCTACTGTGTGGGATGGGCAAGAACGCCACAGGGATGACGCTTTCTCGATGAGACCGGCGCATAGAGTTGTGTATGTTGCCGATGGACATGTATGTTGGATAGAACTCTTGATGCCCAGTAGCAACTGAGACCGTTGTCTTGTCAGCTCCAAGCACAATGGGAACGAGCATGCCTCCTTGCGTTGATGGGTCAATGCTAATTTCATCCTGCCGCATCGCAAGGTTACATCTCGCAAGAGACGAGATTATAATGAGGTAGTTACTCACCGCTTTATCAAATGACCATTGACCTGACATCATGTTCGATACTTGCCGGCAATCCGGAGCCGTGTACTCCTTGAATGGGACATAATCGAAGTGGTTGACGAATTCAGGATTGCCAACGAGAGTCTTGACGACTTCTAGGGAGTTGCGTATGTGCAGAATACTAATAGGTATCGCGCTTCCACGGCGGCGAGTGAGGGCCAAGAGGACCGCGATAACGGACGGCAACAGTACGCCACAATGCCTCACCGCACTCGATCGCGTCAATCGCGTCGAGGATCTGTTGCTTCGACCGATAGAAGGGGCAGTAGTCAGGCATACCGTCAGTCGTGAACTTGGCGGCGAGGATGCGAAGGAGCTTCTTGAGGTTGGCATGAGACTGCGGGCTGTCCTCAACCACCCATTCGACAAATTCGAAAGTGGCCCGATCGTCAAACGGCTCCCAGGTGATATTGTCGTTGAGAGGAGTTGGAGGAGTGTTTGGAGGAAGGAAATGGCCGTATTTGTTGCAAGGCAAGGCTAGCATCATAGCGCAGAGGGGAGTTTTAGTAGGCAGGCAGGCATACAGGAGAGTTTGAGCACACCATTCAAGTTTGGATGAGACACGATATGAGACGGAGGCGGCAGCGGTTTTGGATGCTTGTGCTGGAGCCGATGGGAGCGCCAAGCGCGTTCGGTGAGGATGTCGGACTCGTGGCAGAAGCCACAGTGGTACGGCATCAGTAGATGCGGTTAGGATGGGTCATGAGAGTGGTGGGTGTGGTGGGGCAGGGGTGGTGGTCGCTGCACACAAGAGGTGCGCGTCGGTGGCATGTGAAGTGAAAGGCGCCGAGCAGCGACTCGCTGCGCTGCTCAGTCTCATCTCAGCCCTCATCCTTCACCATGGACTTGCCTGATCCTCCCAGTCACGTTTGTTCTTGCCCCTCGCTTCTACAAAAATATCATTCAGTGTTTCAGACCTCATCCTCTCCCACCGACATACTCTTTGATGCCCTCGTTAACCTCGCTGCTCGCTGCACGTATGAGCTCGAGCAGTTTCGATCTCTTGGCGAACACCGCAACCTCAGTCCAAGCGATCTGGAGAGCTCCAAGGTCCACATCTCGAAGGAGTTCGACACTCTTCTTGGCGCATACAGAGAAACCTACGGTGTCCTGCAATCCCCATCGCCAGGCCCATCCTCTGCAACGCACACTCCTCCACCTCCACCTCGCATCCAGTCCTCAAACCGGAGTTCATCCGTATCACCGGGGCAGGACCCTGGGTTACGTACGTTCGTACGTGACCCTCCCGAGCCCTCCGAGTCCATCAATTGGCCATCATCCGACATGCCACCCATCTTCGACTCTGGCGACGAACCTCTCTCCCCAGACAAGCAATGCGATACCATATCTCTTGCCCTTCGGAGCGACGTCTTGACTCTTCGCGGTGACATACTAGCCACGGTCCGCCACGAATTTGCCATGCTCCGAAGTGAGCTCCGGCTCGGCCGTATCCTGTCTCCCTCAACCAGCGATCAAGTCCGAGGTACGGAGGCCCTACCAGGCCCTGGCAACACGGCCGACGGAGTGAGGGAAACCAGCATGGGACTGAAGCGAGTGCGGGAGACCGAGTTATCACTGTTCAGCGTACGTTTTTCTTGCTCACTGTGATCCCAAACCATTCTCAGGCAATTTCAAACACCATAGGCAAACGAGAATGAAGAAAGAACTGCCAAACGTTCTCGTCAACGGAAGGACTAGGTTATTGGGGCATTGAGTACTAAGGGTCCGGCCGTCGGGGCCCCCCGCTGCCTCCTCGCGCGTCCCGTTACGCCCGTTAGTAAAAATATCGCATTTGTACAGTAGTGTAAACACTGCGCACGGTCACGGAATGTATTAGTCAGTGATCCTGGCCGCTGCAACGCAATGACCTCCATGTGCCATAGATGATGTGCGCAAGCTTCGTGGAGGATAACTCGACCACACGCAGCTATAGCGTGCACTCGTCAAGCTAGACTGGCCTTGCGCGCGGTATCAGATTCTCGCGCGCGGTCGGCGCTAAATCTCGTCGCCTCTCTCTCCTCTCCACTATCTCTGCCATACATCGCACCTGCTTCAATGACTAAAACACGAGGCTCGCGTCTCAAAAAGCCTCGTCGGACTCAGCCTCTGCCCGAAGCCGCACTGCCCGACATCAGTGGTACATTGGCAGCCGAAGTTGAGCCTGGGTCACAGTTGGGCAATCCGCAATCACCAGACGCGTCCGAAACAGTCCAGCCGGAGCTGGGAGTTACCGAAAAGCGTGAGGTGCGTCGTTTTGGCTGCATATACTCCCGTTTCCTCCCACTCGACACCTCCGGTGGTCGCTGCATACAACCACAGCATATATGGTACTCACAAGTGCATAACTGACGATACCTTCTGGCTCTTGGTAGGGTCTACAAACTCGCCCTCAAAACAAAACCCGGAGCATCGTGAAGGAGCTCGGTCTTGGCTCGTGGGCCCAACCCGCCAAGCGGAATGGCACGGCTGATGCGAAGCGCGCAAAGGCAGATGCCAAAGCAGCAAATGAGGCCAAGTTCGCTCATGGTCTCGACCAGCTCGCTCTGAGCCTCGACAAGGTGGCACAACGCGAGAAGAGTACGTCGGACACATTTGGTGAGTGTGGTTTCATACATACACCTAGGTGTCTGGCTCACCACTCTCAAGACATCGCTCCACCTCTCGACCCTGCGGACATATCGGCGGAGGATGAGCGACGCCTTGATGATCATGACATCGAGATGCATGAGGACCACTTCAATCTCGCGTCAATGGTGAGTGTCTTCGTACAATGTGCATATATGCTATCTAAAGTCTCGCATAAGGCGTTCAAACGTCCTTTTGTGGATTCCAGGACGAGCAGCTCGCAATCAGTGCCCGTGGTCGTAAGTCCCCATTGCCACTCCATCTAGATAGCAGCTTGATAGCGTTGTCACAGAAAAAACGCCCTCGACCACGCAGAAGGTATCTTCCGACCTCCGATGACGAGTACGGCCATGACAACGGCGCCCACGACAATGGGGAAAGCCATGCGCACGACGAACACATCGGGCGCAACAAGTACGACACGGCCAACAACGAGCACAACGAGCACAACGAGCTTGATGAGCATGACGACGAGCATGACGGCAAGGACCGTGAGCCTGAACCTATCTTCTCGGATGAAGACGACGTTCGTCAAGCGAAAGTACCACCTCCTCATCCATCATACATGTTCACTGCACTTGCTCATCCATGCGTTACTAGACTAAGCCCAGTGCCGCGCAAAAGCGTGCCGCCAAACAACAAAAATTTCTTCATGCGCTTCAAGAACGCCGGGTTCCCTCTGCAGCAAAAATGACACACCCCACCAATGCCCGGCAGCGTGCAGATGGAGACACGCAAATCGTCACCGATCGGGACACGGACGCGTTCAATCTAGCTTTCCGGGCGAAGCTGAGCAAGTTGAAGCTCAAATCATCGTCGAAGAGCAAGGACGTCGGCTCTCAGAACGACGACTCGGCGTACGCACGCCGTAAGAGTCTTCCTGAGGACAATCACACTACTAGAAAAGGCGGGTTGGTTTCAATCTACAATTGTAATGTACTGACGTTTATATTGCATTGCAGGCAAGGGACGCCAACCGGAAGAGTATTCCGAAGACGAGAGTCTCCCCCAAGGTTTCGACGATGACGACGTTCATGCTGACCCCGACGTTACCCTTCGCCGCATCAAGGAACGCTCGGCAACGGGATACCATGTCAGTAATACAAGTTATATGGCGCACATTCTCGCTCATAGTATATTCTAGATCCAAGCCGACTGCTACGACCTTGATGGCGAACTACTCTATGAACAAGACACCCCAGGACCAAGTCGGATCCCCGCTCGTCATGTAGCAGGTCGCCGCTACCCGTCCCCACAACCGCGTCGTGGTGCAGATGCAATCTCTACGCACAGGTCGACTTCCGCACGCGTGGCAACATCTGCACGCCAGTCGCCGTCGTCCTCGTCCTCGTCTGTGGCACGTGTGTCGCCGTCGTCCGCTCGTGCGTCAACATCTGCATGAGCATCGAACTCTGCACGACGTACATCAACGTCAGCACGAGCCTCAAACTCCCCTCGTAGCTCGCGCGCCTCAGCGCCGCGTCCGCGCGCGTCCGTGTCCTCACAATCGTCATCCAGGACTATAGGTACCAGTGCATCTACTTACACATCTGTTGATACAAGTCCATTGACCGTTGATCTAGATGACCACTCAGGCGCGATGTCGAAGAAAAAAACCAGGAGGCGGACCCCCTTCCCCCTCTGTAGCCGTCGGTAACGGCGGTACGACCCCCTCATGTTGCCGTCGGTAACGGTGATACGAGCTCGTACGAGCTCCGGTCATGTAGACCGTCGGTAACGGTCGTACGAGCTCCGATCATGTACCCCGTCCGAGACGGTCGTACGAGCTCCCCAAAGGCGGCACGCAACGGAATTGCGGTAATGCATGTAGTACGTAGCCACAGACGTTCTGAGCACATACAGACTTGTTTTACGGCCGTACGTGCGGTGGTTACCCCGCGGCGATGCAAACGCTGCCGGAGCTCGTACGAGCACGTACCCCGTCCGAGACGGTCGTACGAGCTCCCTCAGCTGGCACGCACCGGAATTGCGGTAATGGACGTAGTACGTAGCCACAGACGTTCTGAGCACGGAATGTGTTGTTTCACGGCCGTACGTGCGGTGGTTACCCCGCGGCGATGCAAACGCTGCCGGAGCTCGTACGAGCACGTACCCCGTCCGAGACGGTCGTACGAGCTCCCTCAGCTGGCACGCACCGGAATTGCGGTAATGGACGTAGTACGTAGCCACAGACGTTCTGAGCACGGAATGTGTTGTTTCACGGCCATGCGTGCGGTGGTTACCCCGCGGCGATGCACACACTGCCGGAGCTCGTACGAACATGTACCCCGTCCGAGACGGTCGTACGAGCTCCGGCAAGCGACACACACCAGAATTGTTGTAATGCATTTAGTACGTAGCCACGGCCGTCCTGATCACATACCGACTTGTTTTACGGCCGTACGTGCGGTGGTTACCCCGCGGCGATGCAAACACTGCCGGAGCTCGTACGAGCATGTGCCCCGTCCGAGACGGTCGTACGAGCTCCCCAAAGGCGGCACACATCGGCATTGCGGTTATCCAAGGCAATCTCGGCAGTGGCCTCGGTATTGCAAATGCATGGACAGGTGATGTTTCCCTAAGGGCTTCCGTGGTGGTGGTAATAAAACGCGACCTATCAGTAGCCGTATTCAAGTGACGAGTAAAGAACAAGTACAGCTCTACAACCAGGAAATCCTGGTTATTACCCGAGGTTGTACGAGTGTGTCCCCCGCCGAAGACGGCTGTACGAGCCCTGTCCGCCGGAAAACATCGGAATTACGGTGGTGTATGAAGTACATTGCCGCATATTTCGGTTGGTCCGTTGGGCTACGGAAAGTACTGCTGCCTGCTCGATCCCCTTTCATTATCCTGTATTTTGAGGCTAACCCGTAGCGATAAGACTAGTGTACGCCATGCTCCTGTGTCTTCTTCAAGTGCGGCTCCTTTCCGGGTCTTCCACAGGTTCAAGTGCGCACATGGTTTTGAGTAATCATTGATACCGATAATGTGTTCGGTATTGCTCGTCATACGATTGAAACATACCGTCAGACGTCAGGTTCTGTGTTCACATAGCTAGTCCATTACAAAATACGAAAGCATTATGTATACAAGGCACGAAAGCATATTCGAAACATTGCAGTACTTCACAAACCAAGAAAAAGCCAAGTGTCATTTAACCTCCGTATCATGAGTCCGCGCTATGTTCACGCTCGGAAACGTGCTTCAACAAGCGTTTGAAGGCGGGAGGAGCAACTGAATGCCCAGGCTCCTCGATATTCATCCTCTCATCGGTGGGACCCATGGTAGGATTCGCCAGCTGGCGCGTGAAAGCCGGGGGTGAGGACGAGGAGGTTGAAGGGACGGCCAGCCTACGTGCGAACACCGGTGGCATGGGTTCCACAGCACTGGACAGTGTGCGAGTGAACACCGGTGGTGCGGAGGTCGGTGTTGGAGGGCGGGCCAGTTGCCGGATGAATGCCGGTGGCGAAGCGTCGGCAGGTGCGAGCGTTCGCATGAATACCGGCTGTGACGACGTCGGTTTGGACTCGACGGTGAGCCCTCGTGTGAAAGCCGGTGGTGGGCCTGGGACGGTCAAGGATGCCAACGGCGACTCGAGTGTGCGGGTGAATACCGGCTGCGAAGAGGATGTCGTCGACGGAATGGCAAGCCTTCGGCTGAATACCGGAGGAGACGGTTTGGCAGTCACGGGCATGGTGAGCTTCCGAGTGAATTCCGACAGTGGAGAGTCGGGCCTGGAGGAGCGCGCCAGCGGTCGCGTAACTGTGGACAGGGGGGAGGACGACGAGACACCACCCATCAGGCTCTGCCCTCCGGGGGGGTAAATGGCTTTGATGGGGCGGTCGAGGAAGACGACACTGGTTCGAGTGTCCGCGTGAACACCGGCGGCGATGTGGAAAGGGTTGTCAAAGGTCGCGCCAGTGTCCGGGAGAAGACTGGCGCAGCGACCGAGGCGGATTCCGGCGGTACTGGGCGGTCATCACTCCTGAGTGAAGTGTCCAGTTGGCCCAATCCACCGAAGAACCCAGGTATCATGCATGTGACCTCCTGTGGGGGCGTAAAGGGGTCTACTAACCCGCCATACAGGTCAGAAAGCCGCTTGCCACTCTGGAAACCTAAGGCCCAAGGTGATGTAGCGGTCGAGGAAGACGACGGTGGTTCGAGTGTCCGCGTGAACACCGGCGGCGATGTGGAAAGGACTGTCAAGGGAGGCACCAGTGTCCGGGAGAAGACTGCCGGTGGAGAGGGGCCAGTCAAGACGGCAGGGCGGATTGGGGGGAGTACCGGTGATACCGAGTGGCGATCAGTCTGGTCGGAAGTGGCCGGTACTAGGGTACGCGTAAAGACTGGGAGTGACGGAGGAGGCGCCATATCGGTCGCCAGTGTACGGGAGAAGATTGGCGGTGGGGAGGGGGATCCTGGGCCGGCGGAGCCTACCGAGTGCGATACCGGTGATGCCGAGCGGAGATCTTCCCCGTCGGAAGTGGCCGGTAACGACCCACTCCGTACTGTGTCCTGCGACTCCCACAGACTCAGCTTCTCATCTTCCAAGATGACCGGATTCTGAAAATGATATCATGTTTAGAGATGTAGGAGTGACTTTCATCTAGACTTACATGAGGGTGGTGGTCCAAGATGGCAAAGAGGACTTCTATGCGATGTCTTCGTGCTGTTTCGCTCGAGAAAACCGTCAACCCTTCCAAAAGGTTCTTCAGAAATCCTACAGCGATAGCAAGCCCAGACAAGACGGAGGCTTCTTGATCTTCATCCCCACGCTGATATTTGCGCACTATCCAGTCGGTGCGAGTCTGGCGCACCGACACTTCCACCGTGTGAGCGATCCGGATCGCAGTGCGCATGGCGATCTCGAGTAAGCCATCGTGGTCGTGTTGGGGGATGCAATAACCGATTCTGATGTCATCACCTGCCATGTTGATGAGTACGAACACCCACTCGCCGCCAATATACCACGGGAGGCAGATGATGCTGTCAGTAGCGAAGTCACCTCGAGCGGCGAGTTTGCCGAAGAGGTCGACCAAGTCTACCGGTGACAGTTGCGTCACGATAGGGGAATAGACGTGGAGGGGCGGGTGAGGCGGTCGGTATGACGCATCACGATAGCGACGACTGCGTCGATCAACTCGTCGTTGAGGTCACGGTCGTCCGTGGTCAGATGCGAGAAGAGGTCGCACCATGGGTGCAGCAACGCCGGCAGGTCGAGCATTCGGGCAGTCTGTACTTTGACGACCGCTCTGTCAACTTCTTCTTGTCGTCCAACTTCGCTGAGCCACTCCAGTCCACGCTCGACATTGGACCGAACCGTATGGACGTTGCGCAGACGTCGCCACAAGTCCAAGAGCCAGAATGGTAGCGGGGTGCCGCGATCGCCGGGATGGATTACCGAACGGAAGGTGCTCGGTAATGCCAGAACGGCATCTTCCTTCGGTATGTGGACGGCAGTGTCGGCAGAGTAGTGGTCCACGCAGAAGACCCAAGGCGGCAGGTCTTCCGCGGCGACCGGTGGGGTGCTTGAATACGAGAGCGGGCTCCCGGCAGCCCACGGCCGTGGGGCCACCCCAGAGCAAAACTGCCGGCTGAGAAGCTGGCGGACAGTCATCGCGTCTGAGGGGATTAACTGTTGGGTCAACTTCTTTGGCGCTTTCTTTGTCTCCCAGTTTGCGAAGGACACGTCGAGGATGTCCTCGTACTGGGTGTTGATTTCAGCATCTGCAACCGAGGTCAGCCGTGTGTGCAGACGTGGCATTGCCGGCACCTACCGCCGACCGGTGATGGAACTAGACAGGACAGGGAATAAGATTTTGGTTGTGGGACTATACAAATGCACATTACCTAGGACTCGAAGGTTGTACTTCATTGTTTTTCTTGCAGTGGCGTGGATTGAGATAGAGGGGAGGTTGAAATCGTGCGAGAGGGGTGAGGAGGAGGGATGAATTACGTTTGGTTCGACTGTCGGCAGTGACCGACCTCCGCGTGTGATCCCGATACAGATCGGAGCAGTTTTACGTCAACGATGGCATGTTGAAAGATGTGGCGCCTGCTGTGTTCAAACTCTCCCACTTCCAACCACCGAGTTGACCATCTGCACACGCGCCTCTACCTTCTTATCACCGCATCCCACTCTCTGCCTTGCTACCGAACATCTCCCGACATGTCCACCCACCCATCCGAGAGCGACATGCTGACTGTGCGCCATGCCGTCACCGAAATCCACTACGCGCTCTCTCGCCGTCCGTGTCAGACCAAGCTCGGGCACGAGAATATGAAGAACTGGTACAATATGTTCTTCGCTGCGCTCGACAAGGCCTACGACTTCCAGGCGCAGTTCAAGTTAAACACCTGGCCGCGCTACACCCTCGGCGCCTTCTACGAGTACGAAAAATCCCGGCACGTCGCTGGATACGCCGGGTCTCCATTCGAGATCGTACCCATTGCCGACACCGCGGCTGCTCAGAAGGCTGGGTACAATTTCGACTTGCACATAGTCGGTAATGACCACGGCCAGATTGGACTCTTGCCGGAGCAGGACGTCGACCTTAGTTGGTGTGACATCGGTAAGCATCCGGCTTTCTTTCCTCCCATCCATATTCTCTAATCTCAGGTTTGAGTAGAAGCCACAGTGACAGACTCACAGTCGACGGGGATGGTGCGCTTTATGTCTGTTCATATCGGTAGTACCACTGATGATTAATCCCAGGAGCTAACAAGTCAAGCACCACGAAGTCCGGAGCTGCGAAGAGCACCGAGGGTACGAAGAGTGCCGGGGTTCCGAAGATTGCCGATGCTACCGAGAACACCGGTAGTTCAAAGACTACCGGTACTACGAAGAGTGCCGCTTCTCCGACGGCTTCCGGTGCTACGACGACGGACGTGAGTTCCAAGACCGCAAAACCTGCGAAGGGGGCGCGCAAGAGGTTTAACCCGAGGATGTCACGGCCCATCAAAAGTAAGTACCGGAAAAAATCATTCAGAATAGATCTAATTGTATTCTTAGAGCCTGCTGAACCGGCAAAGCCTGCGTAAGTACCGTACTGTGCCGGCATGACGTTGCGAATTACGCTAACACCGCCCCAGCCGTCGTCAGCTGACCAAAGACAAGAAAGGCAAGGGTCGGGCGACAACGGTAGAGGTGACTACCGATGACGATGTCAGCAACGAAGAAGAAGAAGACGACGAGAGCGAGGAGGAAACCCCTCTCCAAGGTATGTGTGCCGTCGGTAATCACAGCCAAACGTATTTACTCGCTATCACTCAGATGTACGAAAGACACGTTCGATCACCAAGAAGGCAGTGTCTTTTGCGACCCCCACGACGCCACCGCTGTCCAAGACGAGGCGGGCGACATCAGCGGCACCGGAGCCGCCAAAGAGGACCACCGCTACGCCGAAGAAGAGGGCGAGGAGCCAGAGTCGTGATGTGACGAGGACTGCCGGGACGAATTCCGGTGATGAAGACAACGCTCCGTCCGGCGGTGGTAGCGGCAAGACCACCACCAAGAAGCCAGTGAAGCGAGTCCTCCGACCCGCTCATCCCGACCATGTCGCGCCGGAGAAGAACTTCGACCCGTTGCCCGACCACAAAGGCCGGATCCCGGTCTATGTGATTCGAAAGGACGGAGTGAGTCGCCAATGTGTTCTCTCATAGCCGATTGTACTTACCGTTTGAATGGCAGCCAATGGCACACTTCCGGTGTGGACGTTGCAAGGCTGCCGGCACCGACTGCCGGATCCTCATCT